TGTGATTGCGATTGCGATTGCGATTGTGATTGCGATTGTGATTAAAATTGCGATTGTGATTGTGATTGCGATTGTGATTGTAATTGCAAATGCAATTGCGATTGTGATTGCGATTGTGATTGTGGCCGCATCTTTCATGGATCCTTTCGTGTCTGTCAAAGAAATCTGGTACGAGCTGTCACTGAATATTTATAGAAGGACCATAAGCCGAGGATTGAAGGAGGCGGGCATTTACAATTTTGCCATGGCGCAAAAACCTTTTCTGTCTGAGCGACAGCGCCAACAATGCATGGACTTCGCTTTGAACCGCCAGAATTGGAAGGAATAACAATAGAAAAATGTAGTTTTTTTGATGAGTCGACTTTCTGCACTCGGTGGGATCAGCAGAGGAGGGTGTGGCAGCCCTTGAATTCGAGGTAAGCAATGCGTTCACTTTTCATGGTGTTAATGTCCTGCTGCTTTGCATATGCCAAAATATTTTCGTACATGTAATATTCTTGAGTTTTTTTCACACTTATCTGAAGAAATAAAAACAAATGCACTGCAAATAACAGCACGTCCACAATCATTGCTAGTTAGCAGCACGTTAATAACACGTGTTTCAAGTTTTCCACACATCTTCTTGTACGCGTTCTTCACACGACAGTTTAAAGCTCACTAGTTTTAAGCGAAACGCGCATAACCGATTCCCGAATCAATTTTCTACACCTTTTACCTGCCCATTCTGGTTCTCTTAAAGTTACAGGTACCACCTTGATTATACTTGGAGTGTCCTTTCAAGTGGCCGATGTTCAGTGTCCACGTGGGGTTCTCATTGACTGATATGTGGGGTGTAATGTCCCACAACCACCATATGATTATGAGAGACGTCGTAGAGGAGGACTGCAGAAAGTTTGACCACCCGGGGTTCTTTAACGTGCACTGAAATCTGAGCACACGAGCCTACAACATTTCCGCCTCAACCGGAAATGCAGCCGCCGCAGCCGGGATTCGATCCCACGACCTGCGGGTCAGCAGACGAGTACCCGTGTGGGGTTCTATAAGCAAAGATGGGCTAGGGCAAAATTGAGGGCAAATTCACAGTGTCCTACTACAGTTCCCTGCTACAAGACACCATGCTCCCCATGGCCTGGACGAACCGTTCCCCAACGACTGCTTCATCTTCCAGCGCGACGAAAGCACCGTACAGATGGCTCGCCAAGGGACCGACATGATTGAAGACTTTGGCGTACGCACCTTGTGTCACACCTGTCCCGTTAATTAGGGAGGCGATCGCCGGGCTAATTCCAAGAGCCGAAGTATCGGCCCCCCGAACCGCATCACGAAAGCGTGGACAATTTAGAAGTGGTCCTTATTGGTGCGCCAGCGGACGCCGGCTGTGGCCCAAAGAACAAGACAGAGTCGAGAGTTGATAAACAAAACAAATTATATTCTCAATAATGGCAGATCGAAAATAATACACAAAATGCACACTCCACAATAGTTACATACAATACGTCACCAATCAAACAACGTACTACACGGCACAATCAGCCACACTCAAAACAACGGACACAGACAACAATACGCACTACAATGCAGTCGCATGCATTGAACAACCAAGACACTTAAGGACTAAAGAGATAGAAAACCTATTCAGTCCAAAGTCCTTGGAACAAAAGTCTGAATGGTACTCTTCCGAGAATCACTCACTCAAAATCCAGCGTTGTTGTCGTTCCGTAGCTCTCGAAGTTTCTCTTCCAGGAAACCTCGCGTCCTCAAATGGCCACTTTCCAAGCTTCAAACTTCTTCGCCGGAAATCCGTCGGCTTCACACACGCAGCTGTTGCCCGCGTCTTCGCTCGATAGCGGTAAACCCACGCTCTTGCCTGTAGCTCGAGCCGTCCCTACGGACCAAAACTTTCGCCGACTACACGGCGGAATCTATACGCACTCTGGCGCTCACTTCCGTCTCCTCCTGTTCTGTCACTACGGGCAGAACCTTCGCCGACTACACGGCGGAATTCCTACGTGCTCCGGCGCTAACTTTCCGTCTTCTCCTGATTTCTCGTCTCGGCCGCTCGATTAAATCCCTTCCACGCCACCTTCCAGAAATTTCTCGTCATCTCGTCGGCGCGATACGCAGCGAAGGCTGAGGAGAGGTGCGAGACGGTTCGACTGCCCTCTCCGGAGGATGATTCACTCGGTTTGACCCCGCCTCCTTCGTTCTAGAAAAATCGCGGCCTTGCTGGGCCGCCGATGTGGGGTAAGGAGGATCGTCTGCGAAGCCGTGCTTCTGCGGGGAGAGCGCGCGCCCGGGAGCCCTGGATGTTTGCTTTCTTTTTTTTTTTACCTCGCGGCGTTTCTGCCGCCCGTTGTCGCAAGGATTTGGCGGCGCGCTCTTTTTTAGCGCTCGTTCTGTGACACCTTGCCATGGCCTCCCCGTGGCGCGGACGCAAACCCGATCGAGAATGTGGGCTCTAGTGAAATGGGGTCTATCCAGGCGCAACTTGTCCACGGCAACGCCGGATGCACTGTGGAAGGCAATTCAAGTAGAGTGGGAGGCCCTTCGGTTGGACGGCGAATATGTCGCCTCGTTACACAAAACTTTGCCAAGAAGGATGTCAGAAACAATTTCCGTGCACGGCCACTTCATGCACTATTAAACTGTTGTTACAAAGGGGGTGAAGGGGGCAGAGGTGACATGTTTAGCCATAGCTATATTTCAATCGCCCCCAGCTGCTTTCGTTTTTTGTTCTTTGAAGGCCAACCCATGACATAGCCTATTACGGCAATCGTTTTTTTTTCTTTTTTTTTTCTAGCCCATTCGCCTCTTTTGTTGCATGTGCAAGGTGATCTGCCTGCATCAGGTTATAATATCTTATTAACTGAAGCATGCAACAGAAACATGGTTGCTATATTTATTTTTTGAATTTTGACGTGATTTTTATATCTTTATTTATTTTATTTATTTATCTATTTGTTGTTTTTGATATTGTTGTTGACTTCACATTGCTGATTGTTTGCCACTGCTGTCGTGCTAAAAGGTAGCTGTGGGCCTTTGTCAAGCTGCCTCTTTTGGAGAGCAGCTTTTACCTGCAGCTGTACTTCATCAAACTATTGATGAAAAATAAATTATTATTATTATTATTATTATTATTATTTAGGCTGCACGCCTTTTCGTTTTCTATGCCCTCGTTTGTGTTTCACTATCACAAGCTTCAACTAAAACGAACGTGCAGAGAAGAGAATTAATGAAGTGTGTGGCAACGGTGGCCACTAAGACAAGATATGCTTTCTCTTTAGTTATGGCGCAGCTAGTCGCACACACTTCGCCGCCATCGTGCCCACGTTGAACTGAGCGCGTCACGGAAGGTAGAAAGCGACGCCTAGCACGAAACGCTGCATGCAATCAGTGGTACGCTGCAAGAGAGTAAGTATGCAATGCTGCGAAATTGAAAACGCGCATGCGCACTCTCCATCGTCAGATGGCGCGGCGATGCAGTTTTATCGGATGGTCGTCGTCGTTCGCACGTCCCGACTTATTTCGTCAACGGGTGTACTTATCGTGTTTACTCGCATGCTCCCAATAATTTTGAGCGCTCCTGTCAACGTTAGCACGACTGCTAAAGTGTTTACTAACATTGGCTGCTAGATGAGATGGCAACATCACCGTTTTAATTCAATATCAATACAATGGTTTGTTTGTATATTATTTTGCTTTTTACAAAGTGTGCCTCACAGTGCAGCCGGTGTTGAACAAGCCTTGTTCCTTCAAGCCCATGAGATGACGCAATGGGTCATAAAGCACACTTTAAAGGCCAACTACGGCGATTTTTCGAGGTCAGTGGATATCAATGAAATTCACTGGGTACGTTCATTTGCACGTTTGCGCGGTTCGTGCCAAATCGCAGGCTTGAGAGTTTCCCAGATTATTTTCAAATGAATTTTATAGCTTGCCTCGAAACACTCACCTCACTTGCCAGAATTAATGGCAAGATTCTGTATGTGACGTTCAGTTTTTCCTGGCGTAAGTGACGAACTGATGTGCCACTGCAGCGTCATGCTTGTCTGCTACAGATTGTGTGAGTTTGGCCGGCACTTCTTTGGTTGAGCGTGCGATTTCTTTTTCAGTGTTGGTGGGCATGCGATAGGTTCCAAGCAGTGTCGCGTTGTGAGCCACACACAATTCACCATATCTTCACCATAACAGCGTAAGCGTTTTAGCCGATCGGCGCTAGGGTTCCTCGATGCGCGCGCGCTCTCACCTCCGCCGCGCGCGCACGCATCGAGGAACCCTAATCGGCGCAGACAGGTAGTGCCATCTTGCGGGTATTATGTGCAATCAGACGGGTTCCGGCAGCGTCAGGCAAATTTTTACGTGACACGTAGAAGCGCACTTGGTTTGGTTCGGTATTGTGGTTTTCGGTAACTAAAAATTATTTTCAATTTTTTTGAGAATTTCAGTTCTAGCGCGCGTGAGAAGAGTGTCCAAGAAGCATAAAACCACCATTATGCTGACATCGTCACAAAAATCGCCGGAGTTGGCCTTTAAAGGGTGTCGCCCTGGTCGTATTTCACCGCAGGGTGGCTGCGTGCCTCCGGCTAAACGTAGTTAGAGTGTACGTCTAGTACACTGTAACGTAGTTTTACCTACAGGGAGTGGTCGCCTGTGTCCACGCCCCTATCCCTCGAGTGGGGTTCAACTAGATGGGTCGCAGTTTTGTGCGTATTGTGGTTTCATCGCGAGGTTTACGTTGAAAACATGAACCGCTCGAATGTTACTTTACTCGCTCCAGCATGTTTGTTAGAGGAGTGCGCTTGAAGACTTTCTTCGCATGACATTCTGAGTTGCTGCTATCGCAATCATGTTTAAGTGTTTCACATTTCCCTTTGTGTACGCTTGCAAACGTGAAGGCTGCTGAGTGATACATACCAGGAGGGGCACTCCCCGTCCTTTGCTGGCCATTATACCACTGCAGAAGTCCTCCGCTGTAATGACTTGACCGGGAAGAATGCCGCTTCGGGTTTTCGTACTTGATGAGGACGTTTCCGCCAAGCACTTGTCAGATATGATACTGTAAACGGATGTAGGTAAGTTCTTCATCAGTCTGGTTCTGTGGGCCAGTTGGTACATGATGGGAAGTGAAGAGTTCCATGAACATTACAACGCGAGCACAAGCCAAAAGTAACGCACAGGACAAGGCTGGTCCTACTTGTCCGTCGCCTTCTTCTTGTGCTGGCGTTGGAGACTTGCTGGAACCCTTGACTTCCCATAGAAAAATCGAGATTGAGTTGACTGAAGATTAGGCACCGCAGAACCCCAACACCAGGTACTCCAGAACCCCAAGTACAGCTTGCATTCATGCTTGGCGATGTGTCTTTTTTGTTTCGTTTTGCATTCTTTGGCCGTTTCAGTCTAAACTGCTATCAAGCTACTGCAACAAACGCATCGGCGTTTATTGCAGGGGCTTAACTACTATGGCTGCTTGGGAGCCAGCTACATAGATAAGGCATGTCTCTATTCTCAAGCAATAGACGACCTAGCTACCAGCCTTTCTTGCAGTTTGAATTTTCATTTAAGCAATTGGCACGTGCAGACTACCTCGCACTATCAGGCTTACGCCGTGTTAACTGCACTGTGCAATTTCGTGTCTGTTAGGCTTGTTAAGTTTAACACACTGATGTTGCGGCACTGTTCCACATCGTTTCACACCCTTGCTTCCTTAATGAAGCACCGAAAAATATCAGGTGACAAGTACTAATTATATTCTCATTACTCCTGTCGTTTGCTACTTCTTTCGAATTATTATAATTATTTATTTAGAGCACGCGTTGCATTATGACGCGATTTTTTATTGTGCTGTATCATGTGAGCATCATCGTTTATAGGAAGGCTGACTCGTTGTGGCAGCTCTTCTTTTTTTTTCACAAACCTAATTTCCTTAACAAGGCAAATTCGACTCCCTTCAGAGTCTGCAATATTTGTACTTGAAAAAAACTGCCTTGTAGAATATGTTGAACTTCAGTTGAGTTTTTGTTTGAGTAACTGGAATCTTTCAGTTAAACTACAGACGGAATAGCGCTCGTCTATAACACCCAGCCGGCAGCTTCAGCTGTCGCTTTCTGCAGAAATATGCAAAGACCATGGCCGGAATGATACTGGACGTTGTTATACTAGACGCTACGCCTTCCTGCTATAATTTAATGGTAGCCGATAGCCAATGGTAGCCGATAGCCAAGGCGAGGTACCAGATGTGGCAAAAAGCGTCCACAGCCTTACATTCCGCAGCTATAGACAAGTGTGATTCCGTCTGTACCACACAAGGAATTGATAGTTTTAGAAAAAAAAATCACTGGCAGGGCTGTCTATCTCTCGACATCGCAATAAAGAATCCTTGGAACACGAAGTGTCGTTGGAACCCACTTTTGATAAATGAAGGGGTCTTCTTCAAGGCACGGACCTCTCTTTTTCAGGAAGTCGCAATATTGGAAAGTACTCTTGTCGAAACGTTGGACGCAGTGATCTGAGGATTTCGCAAATCGCTTCAAAATTCAATCGGCTTCTGTACTTCCACTGTCTACATTTAGGCACATTTGCGTGATCAAGTTTATTTTCTGTTTTTTTGTTTTCCTGAGCACTGTACACCATACATCACGAGCTGAAAGCTGTCATCAATATTTTTTAAAAATAGAAATATACAAAAAATCTGCGGGCAGCTTGCACTACGGTACGAGGCTGAGAAAGCAGCACAGCTGAAAGTCTATTTTCTAGTTAACTAAAGTTTACGGAGGTATTGCTTGTGTTACGAAGTTTTGTTAGGTACTGCGAATACTTATCACATCATTCCAGAGCTTTAGCTAATATTGCAAAAGCTTTGCTAGTGTTGCCAGGTTTTGGCTAGGTAAAGTGAAGTTTTCCATGATAGATATAATAGCGAAAGTTGGGCTAGTTGGTGGTTCCTGCTTAGAATGTAAAAACTGTGCAATAATATGGACAAGGTGTCATGTCTTTCTCGCTCTTTGTCCATAATTTTGCGCTATATTTACATCGTAAGTATTACCATGATAGTGCTACAGTTATTACGAAGTTTCAGAAGAGTTTAGCTAGGCACCGCAAAAGGCATTGTGGGAGCTCGGTTAGTTGCGAACAACACGGCTAAGAAAAGCGGAATGACGTCATGGCTCGGCACAGCTGTAAAAAGCGTAGTCATGGCTTGGCACAGTTACGAAAAACGGTTGTAAGAGGGACTTCATGGCTATCGTGCTTCGTCTGCCATGCAAGCTCGGCAAAGCTAGACACATGCCTGTCAGGTGGTTGCTAGGCGCCGCACTGTGACGTCACATCTAGGTTTATGCGAACGTGTTGCAGCGGAACGGCCGGCTCACGTAGTTAGACACACCGAGTTAGACATGTGCCGATTACGAAATAACAGCACCTGATGAGCCCCCGTATCTGAGCCTTGGTGCAAGGTGAAAGCTGGTACTTCTTGAGGCCACCATCCACGTAACTCATGAGGTATCCTTCTTGCCAAGGACACGGTCTGCCGCCCCTGTTGTTTGGAATCGACGGGTGACCCGGGGATCCATCGTGAGACGAGCCCAAGCTGCGAAGACGCGATGGTGCACCGATCGAGTATAAGTTACACGAATTCAAGTTTAGTTGAGATAAGCTGGAACAGAAGGGTACAAGTCGGGCTAGCTCGCTGATGTTTATTCCGTAAAGATTTTAACTTGCGTCAGTCAAGCTCAACAAAAGATTATAGGAAAGCATGTGCACCGACTGCACATCTGTTGTGTTCTGTTTTTTTTTTGTTGTTGTTGCTGTTGTCCTTGAGTTAGCGCACTTATATCTATTGCGGAATAACTAATAAATAATAACAGATTTTTTGTAACGGAAGTTTTATTACGTTTATCTCGAAATCACCCCCGATCCAGCACAAGCGGCAAGTGAAAGATATACGTAGCTTGCTGTTTCAACTATGAAGGAAGTGCTCCCTCGTGGCTGAGACGATATATAAATATAGATATATATAAATATATATACTATATACTATATATATATATATATATATATATATATAATATATATATATATATATATATGATCAGGGTTTCTTCCGGCTACCGTAATAAAAGTTATAAACTTCGAGAATAGTGCAGTATAGGAAACAAAACAATAAAATATTTATTTAATCCTAACAGTTTCGGCTGGTGGACCAGCCTTCTTCGGAGGATGTGCCTTCTTCGGACCATCCATATATATATATATATATATATATATATATATATATAAAACCCGATGTAAAATTTGTGCGCACATGACCACTGCAACTGTTGCTAAAAGCACGGCATCTAACTTTTCACTTAGGATTAAAGGGGACTTAAACTGCGATAGCAGCAACATCATTTACTTGCTTGAATGCTCAATCTGCCACATGCAATACATCGGTCAAACCGAGACATCTTTTCGCATCCGTTTCAACAACCACAAATCACACGTAAACATTTTGCCACATCTTCCATTGTCCAAGCATTGTCATCTACCAGGTCATTCGTTTGACAAGATTATGGTAACACTATTAGAATCTGGCTTTAAATCGCACCATGATCGCGAAATTCGAGAATCGTTCTTGATTCACAAGTTCAACAGTCTGTTATCCGGCATTAACCGAATGCGTAGGAAAAGTGTCATGCCTTTCTACGATGCCCTTACGTCCGAAATTTTGAGAAATATTTAAAGAAGCATCCCGACGTATAATATACTTCCTAAAGGTTATCACATATTTATACTTTTTTCATGCGTCATCCCCGTCGTCAATGGTGAATGTTAGAAATGTCTTTTACATGCCCACAATCTTGTCTATGTATTAGATTTTAATCGTTTGTAGTGTAGTCCACGGCTGTTTAAAAGAATTTTTGTGACACTCACATGCTGATCGCACGTGTTTTGTACTGACGTGTTCATGCCTGCCCATAAAAACGGCCACATACTCGTATTTCTGTTAATCCTGACGAAGGCCGTGCCACGGCCGAAACGAAAGAGTAAACAATTATCAAATTTTCGTAAGTCTGCTCCTTTATTCTTCACTATATTTGCACCGGACCCACAGAATTCTTTTTGAATTCATAGATATATATATATAGATTATATATATATATATTATATGATATATATATATATATATATATATATATATATATATTATATATATATATATATATATATATATATATATATACGGTGAATGACGCCGGCGGCGGTAGCAAAAGCCAGCCGAGAGTGTCCATATAATTGCTATCGCAATGAAAAGGGCGTTCCATACTCGCCGTCATGGCTACTAGGGGATAAATGCAGAGCGTCTTGGACGAAAACAGCAGGTACATACAACACAAACCGGTGCTGACTTGCAACTGGGCTCTGGGTTTATTTGCGCTTCGCAGACTTTTTACGCACCAAAACTTCCTATATCAATCATTACACAGATTAGCAACATAATAAGACGACGAGAAAGGAACAAATGATGCCGTATGCAAAAAGAAAAAAAAAATACGCGTTCCTACAGCGGGACGAGAATGCCAACACTGATGCGCCCAAGCTCGCCCAAGCTCGCCCAAGCTCTCCCAAGCCAAGTTGCTATTGGCCACTAGCGGCGCTGACGAGCACTCCACGGTATACATGCACATATATACCCCCCCCATGCAGTAGATGAGGTGATGACTATCACTGTATCTCAATTGGTACGTTGAGCCTCGCGTCCTCCATTCGAAGGTCACTGGTTCGGTTCCACACAACGGCAAGTTATCTTCTCTTCATTTTTTCATTATTCACAGTTATGTTACAATTGCATCCCCTATACTTTCCTTGGCGTCGTTCTTTGTTTTTGGTTCGCAATGAGATTGTGGCTAAGAAAAACACACCCTTAATTTTAACTTCCCTTCTTCATGTGCTACGGCATGCAGTGCATATAGTAAAACAGAAATACGCTCACATAAATAGACAGATGTATCGCCCGACAAGCACGAAGAGTGTGCTTCAAAAGTGGCTAGACGCAGTCACATTACGCACATGTGGCCAATCTCGTGGGCGGCGATGTAAGCTCCGCTGAAGGTGCCGGCCGTGTCTTCGCCCAGTCCGACCTTGAGGGCAGTGCAAAGAGATGATAGTATTGCGATACCTGCAGACATAACAGAACACATCGGACCGACGACAACAAATATAAATTCGCGGCGCTAAAGCGTCCTATCTATCTATCTATCTATCTATCTATCTATCTATCTATCTATCTATCTATCTATCTATCTATCTATCTATCTATCTATCTATCTATCTATCTATCTATCTATCTATCTATCTATCTATCTATCTATCTATCTATCTATCTATCTATCTATCTATCTATCTATCTATCTATCTATCTATCTATCTATCTATCTATCTATCTATCTATCTATCTATCTATCTATCTATCTATCTATCTATCTATCTATCTATCTATATATATATATATATATATGTTATGAGATCTAACAGACAATAATGCCAAGGAAAGTGTAGGGGAATCGTAATGTAAATATGAAGAGAAGTGGGTGAAAAGATAACTGGCCGTGGGCAGGATCCGAACCTGCGTCCTTCGAATGACGCGTTCGATGCTCTACCACTGAGCTACCACGACAGCTACCCCCAGCCACTTTATTGGGTTTATATGTGACTACAAAAAGGGTATTTAGTATAGAGCTCACCACAATTGCAATTTGAATTGTTTTTCGCATTCACTTACTCAATGATTACTGGTATTGCCCTGTATTAGAGAGAGAGAGAAATGGAGAAGAAAGACAGGGAGGTTAATCAAGCTTGGCTCGTTTGGGTATACACTTGGGGAGGAGGGAAGGAGGAATAATAGAAATGAAAGATATGGAGCACCAACTTTTTACCATGCCAATGGTGCAAGCAAGTGGTACAAATGACGGGCGTGAATTAGTTTGCGATACAATGCGCTTGAAATAAACACGACATGCAATGTTAAACACTTACCAAGAAGATTGCCACTAACTTTTCCTGTATAGTCGAGTGTAGCGAGGTTTTGTCTGAAAAGAAAACGTTTTTATAAGTGAGCGTACTGTGTCGGGTGACAGACATCTGCAATGCAAACAACGATGAAACTGAAACAACCTTACAACCAGTTTTATTGTAAATAACACGCACACACACACATGTTCTGTATGTATGTATGTATGTATGTATGTATGTATGTATGTATGTATGTATGTATGTATGTATGTATGTATGTATGTATGTATGTATGTATGTATGTATGTATGTATGTATGTATGTATGTATGTATGTATGTATGTATGTATGTATGTATGTATGTATGTATGTATGTATGTATGGGGACTATAGGAAGTATCACCGTGGCCCTAATATAGTAGGAAGGGATTTGAAAGGCACACTTTAATCGGATCTTTCAGCCGTGGGACCTGCCTTCATTTGGGACCGGCCCTCTCAAATAAGGGCCGGTCTAGCGGCCGGAACCTTGGAAAAAACTGTGCTGAAACGTACACTTCACACACACACACACACACACACACACACACACACACACACACACACACACACACACACACACATACACCTATATATATATATATATATATATATATATATATATATATATATATATATATATATATATATATATATATATATTGTGGTAAAGCCTTTGAACAGTGGGTCGCCCTCTCCAGCGCCTTCTAGTGGGTCGCCCTTTTCATAAGAACAGCTCGTGCAAAGAGTCGGTCCCCGCATTGACTGTCGCTGTCGTGAATCATCGCGGAGTGTCCGCCAATAAACCTCTTAACAATATATATATATATATATATATATATATATATATATATATATATATATATATATATATATATATATATATATATATATATATATATATATATATATATATATATTGACGTCGCCTCCCATACTTCGCCACTACGACCCTATGGGCCCTACAGAGGTACATACGGATGCCAGTGGTGTGGCGGCCTCGGCGCTGTCCTTGCGCAGCGCAAACCAGGGTTCGCGGAATATGTCGTGGCGTATGCAAGCCGTACGCTTACTAAAGCCGAGACTAATTACAGTCACCGAGAAAGAATGTTTGGCAATCGTCTGGGCCCTTGCAAAGTTCCGATCTTATTTGTATGGTCGCCCATTTGATGTCGTCACCGACCACCACGCACTATGCTGGTTGTCGTCATTGAAAGATCCTTCAGGCCGTCTCGCCCGGTGGGCACTTCGCCTGCAAGACTATGACATCCGCGTGCTGTACCGCAATGGAAGGCAACATGCTGACGCCGACGCTCTGTCACGCTCTCCCTTGCCTGACGACAATGCCAACAACTCAGCGTCTCACCTTGCGATTTCTTCGATTAGCATTGATGCCATTGCTACTGAACAGCGCAAGGATCAGTGGATTGCCTCACTGATAGACTTGCTGACTGATCCATCCACTCCATCCACTCGCGCGTTGCGTCGTCAAGCCCACCATTTCGCCCTTCGCGACGACCTCCTACACAGGCGCAATTACAACGGTGACGGCCGCCAGTGGCTACTAGTCATACATCGCAGTCTGCGCTCTGACATATGCGAATTCTTTCATTCTGATCCGCAATGTACGCACTCCGAGGTATCGAAGACTTACCACCGTATTCGCCAACGGTACTTTTGGCGCGGCATGTACCGCTACGTGCAGAAATTCGTTCGCTCCTGCATAGATTGTCAGCGCCGCAAAGCTTCAACGCACCTGTCGCCGGTAGGTCTGCAACCTCTACCTTGCCCTGCCAGGCCCTTTGGGCGTGTTGTCATCGATTTGTATGGGCCACTTCCACTAACGTCGGCTGGTAACCGCTGGGCCATTGTCGCTGTAGACCACCTCACGCGATACGCCGAAACGGCCGCTCTTCCCGCGGCTACAGCGAGCGATGTGGCCTCCTTTCTGCTCCAACGATTCATTGTGCGACACGGTCCACCCCAGGAACTGCTCAGTGACCGAGGCCGTGTCTTCCTGTCTGAAGTAGTTGAAGCCATTCTCAAAGAGTGCAACGTTGTTCACCGCAAAACTGCAGCTTACCACCCACAGACGAATGGCCTCACCGAACGCTTCAACCATACGCTCGGCGACATGCTCTCCAAGTACGTCGCCGCCGATCACACAAATTGGGATTCCATTCTACCCATCGTTACCTACGCATATAATACCGCCCCTCAGAGCACTACTGGCTTCTCACCTTTCTTTTTATTATATGGAAGGCACCCGTCACACACCATCGGCACGATACTTCCGTACAGGCCAGATTCGTCTGAGTGGGCACCTATTTCTGCTACAGCCAAGCTTGCTGAAGAGTGTCGAGAGCTTGCAAGGACTTTTACAGCGCATGATCAAGAGCGGCAAAAAGGCATTCGCGCTGACACCAGCACTACTGCGCCCACGTTCCTCCCTGGAGCGCCCGTCTGGCTCTCGATCCTTACCACTACAACTGGCCTATCTTCAAAACTATTGCCCAAATACGAAGGCCCCTACCGTGTCGTCAAATGCCCTTCCCCTGTCAACTACTTGATTGAACCCATCGAACCATCTTCGGACATGCGCCGTCGAGGACGCGACATTGTTAACGTGGGGCGCCTCAAGGCCTACCATGACCCGCTCATTGTAACCAGCTGTTAGGTCGCCAGGCGGCTCCCTTTTCGCACCCGGGGTAGTTGTGGTAAAGCTTTTGAACAGTGGGTCGTCCTCTCCAGCGCCTTCTAGTGGGTCGCCCTTTTCATAAGAAGAAGAGCAGCTCGTGCAAAGAGTCGGTCCCCGCATTGACCGTCGCTGTCGTGAATCATCGCGGAGTGTCCGCCAATAAACCTCTAAATAAACCTTTATTTATATATATATATTGTCAAGACAAAGACGCTGGGGCTCGGGCGCGTGGACAGCTAAGAGAAGAACGAAGGCGGAATAAGAACAGCTGACCCAGGAACAGCGGACCCAGGTTTTCCCACGGAACTTGGGAAAAGCCCGACCTAGAGGATGGGTTTCGAGCCCCTACCATCCTGTCATCTCTTGGTGACCAAGATGTAGGGAACAATCACGATCGTGTAGCTCTGCCTTGCACAGGCATTTCTGCTGTCATAGAGCAGCAGCCCGATGGTGCGCCTGTGTCCGGTAGGTCTCTCACCGCAAGTTTTACAAAACGCCCTGCGACAGGCTCCAACGAACGCCATCCGGAGTCGTCAGACCATTCGGTAGACGCTGAGGCGCCAGCCTCCATCTTACTGGACATTCTACCGCGTCATCAAACGCACGTGGCTGTGGATTTCACCATGCTCATCCTTGACCAGACGAAAACGGGTCTGCACGCTTTAAATGATTCAGTAACTGAACATGAGAGCACTTTCGCCTTGCAAAAAGATGCCTCTCAAGAAATGAAGTATATCGAGGAGTTTCCTGCTGCTGACCCTGACCAAAGTGACCACAGTCCTCCTTTGCAGGTCGTGAACTCTGCATCGGTATTAGACCCGGGAATACCACCATCAGACCTTCCTCAAGAGATACTATCCTCGCACTCGTTGTCATTTGAGGACATGGAGGCGCTCACATCTATCGTACCAGACACAACTGTACCCCACCAGGCCATGATTGTCGGAAACAAAGTGCACTCCTTACCGCTTCACAAAGCAGGCCTTTCCGAGGATGCGAACAAGATCAGCCGTAACCTGACACAGCCATGTTTGCAGACGACTCATAAATTCATTTTCGAAGACGCACATACGCTCAGCCGTGCAGACACTTGGCTCTCACGGGATGTTTCGTTTGAGAAAAGCCAGACACCTAGCCAGGCTGACGCCACTGCCATTGAGAACTTTCCAGGACCAGCCCTCGTGCTGTTCGCTCCCAGGACACCAAGTCTGCACGTGACAGCTCGCCAGAAGACACCATCTGGACAACTTCAGAGAGTTCTGTTGTGGTATTTATGCCCAACCATGAGCTGCGTCGCAACTCATTTCGAGAAATGGCACAAACGTCCACACGGCTGCGTCACAGAGCGTCCCGCTGCAGTTCAGTCCACCAACGGCGATGGGACAAACACCAGCATTTCCAGGTTACTCTGCGACCTTGCTGGAACAGTCAGGGTCGTCCGCCTGAGCGGTATTCTACGAGTTGTCAGGAAACGTTGTACCATGGACGAGTTCAACCGCAGCGACAAAGCCATTTCCGCCCACCTGAGTACACACTGACAGATCTTCAAGCAGAGGCGCACCGTGGCGTTGACCGACCGGCTCGAGGCAGCCAGTGTCGTCCCCCAGACCATCACTCCTTGTTGCATTGTGGTTCGGGACGACCACCACGATGCAGCCAAGCCCACACAGCAGAAACTTTGCCGCCAGCTCTGCGCGCGTGCAGTCATGGCCGAGTGTCAAGACGAAGACGCTGGGGCTCGGGCGCGTGGGCAGCTAAGAGAAGAACGAAGACAGAATAAGAACAGCTGGCCCAGGATCAGGTGTTGTCTCTTGTTCTATGTCTCGCTCATCACAATATATATATATATATATATATATATATATATATATATATATATATATATATATATATATATATATATATATATATATATAAGATCAGCATTCCGAGGGAAGGAAAGGAGTTGAACCGAAAGTACGAGCCTCAGAAGTTGAAGCTTTACAAATATGAGAAAATGAACAAAATGAACAAACGCTTCAAAAACAGAACAAGCTCAGTCGCAGCAGATGCATTGACCAGCTGGTGTTCCTCGAAGCTCACTGGAGTCCAAGTAAACGGGCATCATGCCTTTTCAACTCCATGGAAAGTGATCACCACGGCCGACATTCGATCGTGCCCCCTGTGGGTCAGCAGCATCGGAGCACCTTAACCCCTAGATCCCGTAGTAGGCGAATTTCGTCGGAGTACGTGAATTCATTGGAATTCACGTACAAGGCTCCGGTGTGGGGGTCGAAACGTCGTGCTTTTATTTGCTTTTAATCGTGGTCAGTGTGTTGCTTTAATTGTACTCGCAGAACGGCCCTTTGGGCCACTGTACCGGTTGGCGATGAGTCGCGCCAAGACACGACATGCTTTGTAAAGTGTTACGCAGACACATAGTTGACGTACAAGGCAAATGGCTGCGAGGAAACAGGTTCTGTACGAACCTAGTACGGCAATGTGGGCTTAGCAGAGTGTGCGTGTTAGAAAAAGTTCCGCATGAAGTCTGGAGGTCTACGTTCGAAACTGTTATCTACTCGCAAAGCACGCAGTATACGAGTGACACACTTACCCTGTGAACACGTAAACGGCGTCTGGATCTCTTGACAACGTTCTATTGAAATAGTTGATGAATTTTTTCAGAGTAGCCTCGCCGAGCAGAAAACGACCGGCTGTTACGTCATTGATGCCTTTCTAAAAAAAAATGAATGCCACAGTTTCGTCTGAAAGTCGAAACACTGTACACTTTAACAACAAATTGGAATCTTATACGAAGTTAAGCCGGCTGCTAGCGCCTTCAGGATCCGATATCGTGTAATTCTAGAAAACACTAGAATGATGAAATAAGGCCCTAGCTAGCGGCGCCTAGCCGAATGTCCTCAGTCAGGAACCCTATGATATGCAAATGATTGTTTTGCATACTGTAAACACTTTTGACATCTATCTATCTATCTATCTATCTATCTATCTATCTATCTATCTATCTATCTATCTATCTATCTATCTATCTATCTATCTATCTATCTATCTATCTATCTATCTATCTATCTATCTATCTATCTGTCTGTCTGTCTGTCTGTCTGTCTGTCTGTCTGTCTGTCTGTCTGTCTGTCTGTCTGTCTGTCTGTCTGTCTGTCTGTCTATCTATCTATCTATCTATCTATCTATCTATCTATCTATCTATCTATCTATCTATCTATCTATCTATCTATCTATCTATCTATCTATCTATCTATCTATCTATCTATCTATCTATCTATCTATCTATCTATCTATCTATCTATCTATCTATCTATCTATCTATCTATCTATCTATCTATCTATCTATCTATCTATCTATCTATCTATCTATCTATCTATCTATCTTCAGGAAACGAAGTGTGGGTTCGTTGCTGTCTGTCGCCTGTGCTGTATGTCTAAGTTGAGGGCTTTTAGCTTGTACGTATACTTCGTTACGCTACCGTGTTGTTAGATACAGGAAGGAATCTGCATATGCACGGGCGTTTATGCAATGTAGTCATTTACCGAACGTAAGCTATTCGCCGGATCGGCTTTGCATTTACAGCCCTCTCTCGCAAATACACCTTCGTTCATGCACAGATATTTGCGAGATATGCTTTGACGAGATTCCGGCCGCCGATTCAGAATACTAAGCACGGCGAGCGCCAATCGTGGCCACCGAGAGTAGCCCAGGACGTGACGTTGCCGGAGGCAATCACGGAGGCCACCCTTCAGCAGTACTGATATGGTAGATAACGTGGCATACCGAGGATCACGTTACCGCGTTCGCTTACCATCTCAAGAAGTTCTAGGAAAAAAAAACCCATAAAAAGCGATACAATTCTCTGAAGCTTAATTATCTTGTCTGCTAGAATGCACTGACTTTCTTCAGCTCTAGCGAGAAATAAACTTTTACGTTTAAAAAAGATGTACACACTGAAGTAGGGTTGGTATGCTTGATACAGCTTTCTTAATTTAAAAGGGCATCGTGTGTCTTGCATCTATTCAAACTTGAATCCCGATTTCAAATAGCATTGCCTTTGATGAAAGAGTAGTGTGTTTATAGTATTCGTAGTATATTTGTCGTGTTTCTCTAGATTGATGTACTTGGAACGTACGCTTACTTTGAACCGTGAGATTCCGACGATCTTGGTCCTTACTTTAGGGCTTCTTCATTCCTTCATACCAAACGTTCACCTGAAAAAAAAAATTCGTGTGTTAATGTGTGAGAGGTGTCACGACCATATACACTTCGACGCTGTCCCTCATATCTAAGGCACTTCGCCGTGCTCCCGACCGGGTTGCAGAAATTAGGTGCCTTTTATCATCTTCTAACCACTACCACCACCACCACCCTCATACCTGCAGTATCTAAATGCGCGGCAAACGGGTTGTACCATAGAGCTTCCTGTAGAAACTTTATAGGAAACTCTGGCGCTAGTGTCTATGGGAGCTGCAACACCCTATGCTTCAGCGAGCATAGGAATCATGGGTAGCTGCCTCGGCTTTTCATTTGATAACAAATTTGCCTGACCCTCGTTCTTTCGGTGCCGTTTGACTACCGCGTGGCCTTAAGCCATTTTGTCACGAGTCGACAATCAGCAAATGCTAAGCAGTCGCACTTCACCATAACTTTTTTTGCCTCACCAACTCAAGTTTGGTAAAGAAGTGAAAGGCAGCTTGTTATTTCAATCGAGACGAAACTAAAACACAGCAGTAAACAAAGCCACGACTGCACTCGATGCCAGCAAGCACGAAGACTAGGCACATTTCTGTACTACCCATCATTCCCATGTTTTCTGAAGAATCGCAACGCCAGAGTCCGCTATAGCTAATTTTAGAAACTCTGGCTTGCAGCACCTACAACACGGCACGATAAAAAAAAAGAGAATAACAACGGTATTAAGTGAAGCAAACTTATAGTCGACTGCGACCTAACAATACACATGAGCTCCGCCCACGAGGCCAAACTTCTGTTTCCTGGCCTGCCTTCACGCCGCAAGCACATTGTTACCAAATAATAATCAATAAAAAACTGACAAAGTTTCTTACGTATTCATTAAAGAGGACCCGAAGGCAAAACCTTCTTCGTTTTTTTTTTTGCTAGTCGATGCCATGACTTTACTCCACCATACTATTAAAGCTGTCGCACTACCTCCAAAATTGGAGCTACAGCGGCTGTTCTTGCATGCCTCCACGAACGGCTCAACTCAGACCGATCAAGGATGTCATGTGATGACGTCTCATCGTGACGTCATCACATCACAGTTTTGCTCGGTCGTCACGTTAGGCTACATGAACGGCCCAACTCGGACCGATTGCCCCGCCGTGGTGGTCTAGTGGCTAAGGTACATAGCTACTGACCCGCAGATCGTGGGATCGAATCCCGGCTGCAGCGGCTGCAGTTCCGATGGAGGCGGAAATGCTGTACGTCTGTGTGCTCAGATTTGGGTGCACGTTAAAGGACCCCAAATGGTCGAAATTTCCGGACCCCTCCGCTACGGCGTCTCTCATATTCATATGGTGGTTTTGGAAGTTTTGGGACGTCTCGTGGTGACGTCATCACATGACATTTTTGCTCGGTCATCACGTTGCGCTACCATCAGAGCATAACGCCACGTCAGCCTTCACGTTATGCTAGCATCACATGACATCCTTAACTTGCATGACGTCCCGTTATGCTGTGCCACAGGAACAATTACTAATCACGTCACTACTTCTGGCATTATGTGACGTCTTCATGCGATGATCTTTTGTCTCGCTACTCTTGATGCCGACGCTGGTCATCATTCGCATTTGATGAGACATATAGGACATTCAGCTTTAAAAAATTGATGAATGTGCTCAGGTAATACGCATGGTGTGCCCGAGTGATGCAATGAAGACAGTGCTAGAACGACGGTACGCGATCAACTTTCAGAACGCGTGCCACTTCGGTACGCTTCAAAAGTGGCACAGTCACAGGCTTCCACTGCATCGAAGGACAACTGACGAGAGTGACTCTGTGATACGTGCGAATAACAGTGAGATGGCAAGTGCGGCCACTTGGATTACGTTCATAATTAAAAATATTTTGAAGCGCACCAAAAAAGATCACAGCATATGCACGGAGTGAATGATGATGAGTGGGGTGAAGCGTCCGTCAGCCCGTCCGTGCTTCCGTCCGTCCTCGCGACCATCCGTGCGTCCATCCATGCACCTGTCTGTGAGTCTCTCCATCCGTCTGTCCATCCATCCGTGAGTCCGTCCGTCCGTCCATGCGTTCGCCCGTGCATCCATGTAATGAACACTCCAAGTACCGCCATCTCGCATCCCCTGTGGCACATACTCGTTCTAGAGCGGGTATGTGCCACAAGTGATGCCCCTAAAACAGACGGACAAAAGAGGCTGACAAGGAATGTCCTTGTACGAAGGAAGCAGTTTTGGAAGCAACGTACTTGACAATAACGTTTGGATGACGGTCGCCGGTGCAGTAGGGTCTCACTTATCGTTTTAGAAATCGATTTTATGTTGCATTTTTAAGTTTTTAATTTAATTTACGTCGTAGAACAAATATGCCACTATTGGGCACACATTTTATGCACGGACAAGGATATATTTTACATTTTCTTGGGTTGTCACCAGCTGTAGTATATTAGCTACCAGTTCAGCCGAATAGAACGCTTACCTTTTTTTCGTGGATGAGGTTTTATTAATTAGTTACTATTACATTTTACCTTGAGCTAATAATAATTTTTTTTCGGTACACTAATTATTAAGCAAATGAGAATGTTAATCCACTGCGCTTCTTGGGGTCCAACCCAGTTGCATATTATTTAGGAGGATTCGGTAGGCATTACTAGAATTGATAAGTCGTTTCCATAATAAAAGCATTAAGTAGAATGTATTCAGATGGTTACTGAATTGGCATAGTGCGTCGTAAAATATAACATATCACCTATGCGTGAAAAGCAAAAAAAAAAAGAAGAAACCCAACTTACTGCGTTCATCATTACGGCGAAGTAGGCAATCAGTTCCTTATCTGTCGCGAACTGTTTCTGATGGCGGCGGTCGGATACTAGAAATATTTCAGCGACGTACTCCTTTGGAAGCTTCTTCCTCGGAATAATCCGGTCTGAAACACCATGCCGGATGTGTGAGATGAGGCTTTTTTTCTTTTCAGAAGAACTGGCATTTCAGCGAGTTGGATGTAGTTAAACGTATTGAGTGGTTTCAGCGCGAAACGAGCGAAGACAAAGGAAGAGAAGGAACGCAAGCGCAAGTGTCCTTTATTGGCCTCGGTTCTCGTCGAATTCGCTTTGAAATTACTCAAGATTTCGTTTAAACGCCCCGCCGCGGCGGTCTAGTGGCTAAGGTACTCGGCTGCTTACCCGCAGGTAGCGGGATCGAATCCCGGTTGCGGCGGCTGCATTTCCGATGGAGGAGAAATGTTCGAGGCCCGTGTATTAGATATAGGTGTGCGTTAAGGAAGCCGAGGTTGTCGAAATTTCCGGAGCCCTCCACTACGGCGTCTCTCGTAATTATATGGTGGTTCTGGGACGTTAAACCCCATATATCAATCAATCAACCACTCAACATTTTTAAAGGGCTCCCCACCAACCCGAGTTCGAACATGAGGCAGTAGTTTCCCCTTCACCTTTGCTGCCCTTAATTCCTACGGAAGCTTACTGGCCCATTGTGTCTTAAAGGCACGCGTACAACGTGAGCACCAAGCATTGAGTCTAGTTCGCGCTTGTCGGCTAGAGGCTGTCATCGCCACTTGCACCATCGCAAAGGCGCAAGTTGAAGTGAATGTAATCAGTAGATTGCACATGAGAGACGTGCGAGACAAGGAAGACAAGCAAGGCAGAGGAAGAGCAGTGCAAGAGATAATCCACACTTCACATTTCGTCTATAAACATCAATAGAGAGCATGTTTTGTTAAGGTCGTTCCGGGAATCACTGTTCCTGCATCACGAAGTCTCCGCCAAAAAGACCAGAAACGCCAGGAGACAATAACTCACTCCTTTTTCTTTTTTTTTTGGGGGGGGGGGGAGCGTGGTGCGGGCCTTTGTACTATCTGTAATCTTATCAGTTCACGTTCCGCTTACGCACCGTTCATTCCCTATCTTTCGTGGCTCATCTAGAAATGCATTTTCCTATTTTTATTGATTGATTGATTGATTGATTGATTGATATATGGGGTTTAACGTCACAAAACCACCATATGAATATGAGAGACGCCGTAGTGGAGGGCTCCGGAAATTTCGACCACCTGGGGTTCTTCAACGTGCCCCCAAATCTGAGCACACGGGCCTACAACATTTCCGCCTCCATCGGAAATGTAGCCGCCGTAGCCGGGATTCGAACCCGTGACCTGCAGGTCAGCAGCCGTGTACCTTAGCCACTTGACCCCCGCAGTGGGGCTATTTTTATTCACGCTCGCATATGTACACTGACAATGCGAAAAAAAAAAACTGCCTAACGGAAAATGATGACAGAACTAGCCATCCGGACACCAGATGGATTGCTGTTAAAGCAACATTTCTTTGTAGTTCTTACAGATTCCTGATAAGTGAACAAGTGTAAACAAGTGCTTAAAAAGCCAATAAACAAAAAGTAAAAAAAGTCCTTACCTAACGTTGTTCGTCTTGGTCTTCTGAACACAGGAATGTTTATATTAAGATCACGAAAAGCGAGATCTGTAAACAAAGGTCGAATTGGGCAGAAACGTTAATTCTGGAAGAAAAGACGCCAACTTATCTGACGCTTGAGGTCTTATCTTATTAGATTATGATTTATCTGGCTAATATGAAGACAAGTTTCACGAATGGACGAATGCTAAACCTTATGGTAAGTCTTGAAGTGCACGACTGAACACGCACTGGGCCGTTCCCACGGTGGGACAGTGAGGCCAAGCCTGACCACCGCTACGCGAGCACTCGGGACTGCCCACAGTTGATCCCCGAAATTGGGCCTCTTAATAGTGGATAGCCACTTATCTTCTTTAGCTCAGTTCATGCGCCGCAACAGGGGGCAACACCAGAGCGTACTGAAAAATTAATTAAATTTAGTTATTTCTGAAGAAGGATAATTCACCCTTCAGACAATGTATGCTAGGATATGTGATTTAAATGTGGTTTTCAACTTTTTTTCAAAATGAATTTTCAAAGAAAATCTATTTTGTTACAGCTTTGTTCTTTAAAACAAATTTTCTGAATTTCAACAGGATGTAGCTGGTAAACCAGAAGTGCTCCGAGGAGTACCAAGATCTGAAATCTCGGTTCTCATCCCTAATAAGTAAGCCAAATTTCTATGCAGGGATGTTGTACTCGAGCGCAAGTGCCGTGCAAAAGAAAAAAAAAGAAAATTGTTGGCACGAAAACGAGCTGATGTCTAACCGTTCATGATGTCTGTGCCTTGAATTCGGTAAACCCTGTGGGGCACTGCAGCATCTTCCGAGCGTTCGACCGACGACAGAGCTGCGATTCTCCAGTCTGGGCTGAGAATGCCTTCCTGAAATGAACGGAGGAGTTCTAGAATATAAACTGACGTATAGATTTGTGTGCTATCACCCCCGAAACGTGCTGTGCTAACAAAAGTTTCCTGGTGCGTGCAAATCTCGGAGGTCATGCGTGTGGAAAGTCAAAGTGTCTGAAGCCTGTCAGGTCATGTTTCAGAAAGGAGAATTCTTATGGTAACTTTAAAAAAAAAGCTTACCACTTTTACTGTACTGTTAACTTGGTGAAACATAATCGATGACTGGTGCTCACTGTCATGGTAAAGGTTCTCTTCTAGGCTGGTTCCATTCCACTGAAAAAAAAAGTTATGTTCTCACAATATGTTTCAAAAAACTAATGCCAGGAACAAAAAGATTATGTCGCATTTAGCAACCAGCAGACACTGCTACTCGGTGGCAACCAGACTTGGAACATTTAGTCCCGAGTTCCAGTTCCAGTTCCAGTTCAGTTTATTCATTCATTCAAAATACAAAATTCGTAGAATGTAGTATGCAAACGAGGGTCCCAAAGTCAAGCGACTGCAGTGGGACCCTCGGTTAACAATAACAATAAAATTATTAATTATAACAGCACGTAAAATACGCAACACATGTGAAAAGTAAACAGTGAACTTACATAAAATAACATCAAATAAACAAAAAAGGCAGTCAGAATGCGACACAAGAACAATAGTAATAAGTTATACAAGTAAAACATAATCACGCCATAAAGCAATAACCTAAATTTGCAAAGACTTTCCCATTTCATGCCCGGATACATAAGAATCATTAAGTAATCATCGTTGTCAACCTAGTTATGCAAGATGAAGTTTTTAAGATCACGTTTGAATGCATGAAGAGATGATGATGATTTTAGTGTATAGGGCAGGTTATTCCACAATTTAATGACCGCGAAGGTGGACGTCATTTTGCAATAATTGGTGTTACATTTAGGTAAAATGAAGTTGAGGCTGTGGGTTCTCTGTCAATGTGATCATCATCATCATCATCATCATCATCATCATCATCATCATCATCATCATCAGCCTGACTACGTCCACTGCAGGACAAAGGCCTCTCCCATGTTCCGCCAGTTAACCCGGTCCTGTGCTTGCTGCTGCCAATTTATACCCGCAAACTTCTTAATCTCATCTGCCCACCTAACCTGCTGTCTCCCCCTAACCCGCTTACCTTCCCTGGGAATACAGTTAGTTACCCTTAATGACCAGCGGTTATCCTGTCTACGCGCTACATGCACGGCCCATGTCCATTTCCTCTTCTTGATTTCAGCTATGATATCCTTAACCCCCGTTTGTTCCCTAATCCACTCTGCTCTCTTCTTGTCTCTTAATGTTACACCTACCATTTTTCTTTCCATTGCTCGCTGCGTCGTCCTCAATTTAAGCTGAACCCTCTTTGTAAGTCTCCAGGTTTCTGCTCCGTAGCTAAGTACTGGCAAGATACAGCTGTTATATACCTTCCTCTTGAGGGATAGTGGCAATCTACTTTTCATAATTTGAGAGTGCTTGCCGAATTTACTCCACCCCATTCTTATTCTTCTAGTTACTTCAATCTCGTGGTTAGGCTCTGTGGTTATTACCTGCCCTAAGTAGACATAGTCTTTTACAACTTCAAGTGCACTATTACCTATCTCGAAGCACTGCTCCTTTCCGAGGTTGTTGTACATTACTTTCGTTTTCTGCAGAATAATTTTAAGACCCACCTTTCTGCTCTCCTTGTCTAACTCCGTAATCATGAGTTGCAATTCGTCCCCTGAGTTACTCAGCAATGCAATGTCATCGGCGAAGCGCAGGTTACTAAGGTATTCTCCATTACCTCTTATCCCTAACTGTTCCCATTCTAGGCTTCTGAAAACCTCCTGTAAGCACGTGGTAAATAGCATTGGGGAGATTGTGTCCCCCTGCCTTACACTTTTCTTGATTGGTATTCTGTTGCTTTCTTTATGAAGCACTATGGTAGCAGTTGATCCCCTGTAGATTTCTTCCTGAATGTTTTTATATACTTCATCTACGCCCTGATTCCGCAGTGTCTGCATGACGGCTGATATTTCTACTGAATCAAACGCCTTCTCGTAATCTATGAAGGCTATGTATAGTGGTTGGTTATACTTTGAGCATTTCTCTATTACCTGACTGATAGTATGAATGTGGTCAATTGTTGAGTAGCCTGTTCGAAATCCTGCTTGTTCCTTTGGTTGATTGAATTCTAATGTTTTCTTTACTCTGTTAGCAATTACCTTTGTAAATAGCTTGTATACTACAGAGAGCAAGCTGATCGGCCTGTAATTCTTCAAGTCCTTGTCATCTCCTTTCTTATGTATTAAGATGATGTTAGCATTCTTCCAAGACTCTGGTACCCATCCCGTCAGGAGACACCTCGTAAACAGGGTGGCTAGTTTTTCTAACACAATCTGTCCTCCATCTTTCAGCAAGTCTGATGTTACCTGATCCTCACCAGCAGCTTTGCCACTTTGCATGCTCTCCAAAACTTTTCTGACTTCTTCTATCATTACTGGTGGGGTGTCATCTGGGTTACTGCTAGTTCTTATAGTATTAAGGTCGTGGTTGTCTCGGCTACTGTACAGATCTCTGTAAAACTCCTCCGCTATTTAAACTATCCTATCCATATTGGTAGTTATTTTGCCTTCTTTGTCCCTTAGTGCATACATTCGACTTCTGCCTATCCCAAGTTTCCTCTTCACTGCTTTGACGCTTCCTCCGTTTTTCCGAGCGTGTTCAATTCTCTCCATGTTATACCTTCTTACATCGCATACTTTACGCCTATTAATCAACTTTGAAAGCTCTGCCAGTTCTATATTGTCTGTTGTATTTGACACTTTCATGCATTGACGCTTCTTAATTAGGTTCTTCGTTTCCTGGGAAAGCTTGCCAGTGTCCTGTCTAACTACCCTGCCTCCAACTTCCACTGCACACTCCGTAATGATACTCGTTAGATTATCAATCATTGTATCTACGCTAAGGTTGGTTTCCTCACTAAGAGCCGAGTACCTGTTCTGCAGCGACACTCTGAATTCCTGTACTTTCCCTCTCAGTGATAGCTCATTGATTGGCTTCTTGTGATGATTGTGCACAAAACTGCTTCAAGATTTTTTTTATTGATTCCACGGAGCGTACATCGTAGTTTCTAGATATCTTTCAGAGCGTATCTTTGAGGCGGGATGTCCTCCTGACCTTATTAGTACAGCCAAGAACAGGGAGCTCTCAGCCACCCTTTTGTCCCTGAAATGTCGCAATTCACATGTGCATATATACACGCGCACACAAAAGTACGCACATGACCTTACACATAAAAAGTGAGTAAGTCCTCCGTCAAAAGACCTTCCCCGTTAAAATTTCCTGGCTACATCCATGGTTGCCGCATACACCTGTGCAGATTACCCAGCGAGACAGGTCATGCAATCCACCGCCCTAACACAAACCACTTACTTCCCCTTTTAAGCTACAGTAGTTGGGCAGTTCTTATAGACAATTCTAGAAGCAGTAAAAGATTAAGCACAATAATTAAATATGTGATAATGATTTTATCGAATGATGCAAGGAAGTGGATAGTGGAGAGTGAAGCACTCGGTTGTCTTTTATGCCCATCTTATACACAACACACGCACACAAATATATATATATATATATATATATATATATATATATATATATATATATATATATATATATATATATATATATATATATATATATATATATATATATATATATATATATATATATATATATATATATATATATATATATATTATTTTGCCCTATTTCATTGCTTCCAATTTACATCGGAATTACTACTAATAACATTCCCTGTACTTTCCTTGGCAACAGTGTATGTTAGTTCTAATTTATTTTACGCAAGTCATGCTTTGCGCGACAACCTGTTCATAATCGTCACGCTTTCTTACTTTTAAATAATGTGGTCGTGCAGCAGTGGAATTGCCACGGGTTGGCATGCATATGTTTTATATATAGCCAGTAGCATACGTTTTATGTAACCAGTTATATACACGAAGGAAAGTGTAATTGTAAGGGCTCGTTTTTCTTTCTTAGGAACAATATTAGTGACGACCAAACGACAGTAATGCCAAGGAAACTGTAGAGAAGGTTATTAGAAAAAATTGTAAAGTAAATGTAAAATTGCACTGCAATGGCTTCTAATAATTTCCCCTATACTTTCCCTGGCATTGCTGTCTGTTAGTTTTTATTGATAGTTATATACACAGTGGCATATGTTTTATGTAAACACTTATATAAATACTAGCGTATTTTATATATAACCAGTTCTTTAGAGTCCCATTGTAACATTGATATACTGTTATTTATTTCCTTTGTTTATATCGCTCGATAGCGGTTACGGACAGTGGTTGAAGCTGCGGTGCATTACGGTGCTAAAAACGGCTGTTTTCGAGGTCACATAATAACTATCGATAGAAAAGAATTAGCGTCAAACAGCTAGTCTCAATTCGCCCAATTACATTCAAGAGCTACGTGCAGGGTCTTTGGAGATCAGTGTGCATTCGTGGGGTAGTCCTTTGGGACACCAAATTAGTTGATGTATCTCTTTAAACACAGAGTCACGCATGTATGTGTACCTAGAATATTGGGCTAGTGAGCATTTCTACTCGAGGAAGACTCACTGGAACCACGAAGGCTCACGAAAAACGTCGAGGAAGATAGGCATGCGCTCTTACAAGCGTGTATTCGCTTTCATCGCCGTCGCTCGTCGTGTCCAGAAAAAGGTCGTGGGCCAGCACCGTGCTCTTCTTCAGGCGCAAAGTCGTGTCCTGAATTCGCAGCAGAAGCTCCCCGTTTTCACTCCTTTCCTGAAGTAGTTCCGGGTATACTAATTCTTCCCTGAATGGATCTGAAAGAGGAAATATAGAGATCACTCATTACTTTGATGTCCACCATTTTCGCCTGTTCATTCATATTGCCGACCACACATAGAGCTTTTAAAGCAGTGAAAACATGTACACAATAGCAGGTACAGTTGCAAATAAACATTGTATGTTTTCTCACACAAGTCTAGCAAGTCAACACTAGCAAGCATGCTTCTAATGTGAACATTGGAAAAAGAAATCAATAAAATGTAAAAAATAAGGTAGTTGAGTTGATCAGAAATTAAAATATGCGCCAAGTGTTCAACTGCAGTTTTTGTACTTGGAGCTCGTACTATCCAATTATTGTTATTTCCCAGATCGGCTTTATTGGGTAAAATTTATCTTCACAGTATCCTAACAGATCTTGTAGGCACTTCAAATAATTCGCTAGTCCAAAATAAATGTTCAGTGCGCAGCTCGAATAGACGAGAAAAAAAAAGTGGGAAGGGGGCAGAATACGAGACACGATAGGGCGTCATTTTTTTTTTTTTTCAGAATAAACCAACTAGCCCAACAACACGTTCTTGGCCGTTAGCCTAGAACATATTACCGGGCGTTGCCTCTCATTACGAGACACGGACCAAAGTACTGAAGACAAGTAGTTTTCCGCTATTGAGAGCCTCCACGCCGAAGCCCAGCTATGACTTGCCCAGAAGGTCCCGAAATTCGGCGATTGGGCTTGACCTGACTATCCCAACGTAGGAGCAGCTCGCTGCGCATTGAGTCATGCACCTGATCATCAATGCGATTTCGGAAACATCTATCCCATTCGCGCCCTCAAGCATGTGCAGTTAATGTGGAGTTCAGATAAAAATGTCGAAATCTGCAACCAAAATCACTTTCTAAATTATTGGTAACGCATTTCACCTGCACACCGCTGCAGGATGCGATCGCTCACCTGCTGACGTGATCCCGAGAAAGCCGCAAACGAACGCTACGAAGAGCATGCTGTGTCATTCTAAGGTTCCCAGCCAGCTGGCCTGCGTTATTTATAAAGACCTTACCTGTACATTATTTATGTGTTCAGTTTCACGTCTATATGAAGTTCCGCTGTAGTTTATTTTAAGGTATTTGTTAAACAAAGGCAGTGACTCGGATATGCTTGCTTACCTTATCATCACATAGTGGGCGTAAAGACTGTCGTGTTATGTGGAGAATCTGTTCCTCGACCTTAACTGCCTTTTGCTTGGGATTGTAAGGTCGTGAGTGTTGACCGAATTGCCTTTTAACTGTGGGTCGCTGGGCAGCAAAAGCAAGACCGTGCCTTGTGCATTTGAAAGCAAAGCCAAATATATCGCTGTCTTCTTGCTTCTGATATTCAGACGCGGCCTGGAGTTTCGCAGCTTACTTTGCGCTCGTCGCGTTAAGGTAGAAGTTTTTTTTTCTTCGAAATTTATGACGAAAATGAGCATTTACTATAGGGCCAATGCTTGACCAGATATGATGCTTTTTTCATTTTATTAAAGAACTCAGACATTTACAGGGAGTTTCTACCCATCCAAAAATATCTATAAGGAGTAATAAAACGCAACAAATAGCAAAGGTTCAATCTAGAAAGCATCGGTGCTTGTAAAAAAAGGAAAGAAACAACGCTTGAAGCGACAGTTTCCATGTAGAGATGGAAAGCACTTATCTTGCTTTCATATATATTTTTTTCTATGGAGATCATTCATTTCACTCGTCACCCGATGCGTGCTCATGATATAGAACTTCGTGCTATTTGCACGTTCTCCATTGCGAGGACGTCGTTAAACTACCACCAGCTGCACGTTCGAAAAACAACAACCGAAAATGAAGTGTCAAGAAGGCGTTGGTAGCAAATTCTCACCGCGCTATACTACTGGCGGCTGTAGGGCGAGGAACAAAAGAAAAGTGCCGATGCAGGGTAGCAAACCGAAACTTTTCTTCTGATTAGTCTCCCTGCCTTTCACTTAACCCTTTTTTCTCTCTAGTGGCAGGTATCATATTATGACTGCTTCCTCGAGTGTTCCTCAGCCACCACGCCAACAATAAGTGCCAATGACGGTGACTATACAGGGTTTGGAGACACGGAGGGCTGGCTCTTCAGTAGGCATATCCGCGTTTGCGTGTAATTTCTTGGTTTTCTTTCTGTCCACCACCAGTTGATCATATGTCAATGTTATCCCGCAGTAGTGCCACGCTGGCTCCTTGGAGACCTTTCTTCTTCGATACGCTTGGAAATCAGCTTCACCATTTCGTAATTCCCGCAAATTAAACTAGACAGTTTGTTCTTACTTGAACTCAGTATTTTAAATTGCTGGGGCTCATGAACTGTGTCTTCTCGCTTCAAAAAATAAAACAAAAACAAAATAGAAGCATAATACGTCAACAATTTTCGCAAGATGAGATTTAGGCTAATCATGATGCGGGAGATATCGTTTACAATGCAGATGGGAAGACGTGCTCACGAAAGGGAACATTAGTAAATGAGGCTTGAGGCCTGTCTATCATGTTGTGTGGTGGTGACAGCATTATCAATAACTCCGGCAAATTTGTGGCCTGGACCTAGGCTGCCCTCGAGGAGGACCGAAGACCCTCTTTCTTCGCCTCCTCACAGGCTTGCTGGATGGCACACAGTTGATCCTGGAGGTTGAAGCAGCGCCGTCCAACGCGCCGCAGCTTCACCTGGGGAAACTGCATTTTGTTCTGATGAAATTAAGCATTCCCAGAGAATGTGCCTAAGTGATGCGTCAGTCCAACCGCACGATTTTCAAGTGTCATCTGGATAGACGTCTGGATGTCTGCTCCTGATATGAATGGGGTTGTGGAAAGTCTGGGTTTGTAATTGTCTTCAGTCTACCGTTTTTGGATCTCTCGAGTTGAGGACTTGACGGTGGATAAGTACGCATAGATTTTTTTTTATCGGCTCATTGCTTTTGGAGCATTGTATGACATCACGCACGTTCCGACAGAGGAGGTGGAGGAAGACAGGGAGGACAGGAAGGTTGGACATGAATATTATTCAGAAAACTGCTCGTGCTGCTCTAATTGGGCTTTACCGGCAAACGCATCGCCGTAGAACTGTGAAATTACGCAGGCTGCAATTCACAACAAGTGAACATAAGTATTGTGCACTACGCAAAGCCCAACTTCGTCACCTGGCACGTAGTCTGAGTCTGCGGGAGTGGAGCACCCCAAGCATAAGACATACGAGACTATACCAAATAAACCCTCGACTGGAACTTCGACCTCCATCCGGACTTCGTCGACGTGAAGCTTCACTTTTTTGTTTCCTTTGTTTGGGCGTTGCCTTCACAAGAGCATATAGAACCCTCATCGGATTGACCGACAATGCGGAATGCGACGTCTGCTGCACCAAAGAAGACATCGACCATCTGATATGTCATTGCCCTCGATTTGCCTCTGAAAGACAGAAGCTTTCGGACGCATTGCGACAATTGGACGATCGGCCACTCTCTGTGCAGATGCTACTGGAACACCGTCATCGCCTTTCAGTCGGCTCAAAAAGCAGTCAAAGCTGTCTTGTGCTTTTTGAGGACTACAGGCCTATGTGACCACCTTCAACTTTTGTGTAGTGCCACCGCTGCATACGCACCAGCCGATTGACTGACAATCCTCCTTTTTTTTCTCTCTCTCTTTCTCTTCTCTTTCCTCTCTCTCTCTCATCTTTATGCCCCCTTCCTATTCCCCCAGAGTAGGGTAGCAAACCGGGCATGTGCCTGGTTTACCCCCCCCCCCCCCCCGCAAAGCCCCACTGGCTAGCGGTATAGGGGCTATATAGTGCATTACTTCAGCTGGGAAGAACGTTGAGACTTGAACATTGAGTTAATGCTCAGTGTTTTAAATGGCGGCGGCTGCACTTTCGATGGAGGTGAAAGTGCTGTAGGCCCGCGTGCACAGATTTGGGGGAACGTAAAGAACCTCAAACGATCGAAGTTTCCGAAGCCCTCCACTATGGCGTCTCTCATAATCTATGGTGATTTTGGGACGTTAAACCCTAAATACGAATCAATTATTTAATCAATCAATCAAGTTTTAGAACGACGCAAATATGATTAATATGTTTTGTTATGTACTTTTTTCTGGCAATTGGCCAGATGGGAGGGGCGAAGAGCAACTTAAAAGCTCTCTTGTTGGAAAGTTAGTTGTTTCAGTTTTCTGAAATCGGGCATAGATGACGAGTGATGGTGGCTAAACGGACAAAAAAATTCTAGCGCGGCCACAACCATTTCAGACACATATATCATGCTGAGCCCAAGTCTCTCCCTAATTACCGTTTCTCAAAAAAATACACTTGAGTAATGCTGACAGTTTATTTGTGTACGTTTCGTTAGGAACGCAAGTTGTCTTGGGAGTTTGTAAAAAATACTGAAAAATATTGAAGTCAAGCGGACCACAAGTAAGGTTTTGGTGGCGCATAGCCGCATTCACGGCTTTCTCAAGAAAAAAAAAATGTCAAGACATCCTTTTTTGAGCAGTGCGAAATGCACCTTGTACACCAGCAAGTGATTTAACATTTTTCGCAGCTTGTGCTTGCGGCTGCTTGTTTTTTTTTTTTTTTTTGAGGTCGTGTTTTTCGCATCTGTGTTATCCAAATTTATCGGAGCTACGGACATTTATGGTAAATATTATGAACATCGCATGCCATACTTTTGTTTAGTTTACTCGTTTTTCTGCGTTCTTTTTTTTTTTTTGCACTATCTCCCACTCACACGCAATCTGGTGAACTGAAATGAAATCAAATGCCGCTGACAGCGCCCGGTTCAGGGGTCACTGATAAGCTACCTAAAGGCAGCATAAACATTAAATTTTCGCCCCCTCGTCATGATTTTATCTTCGTGGAGATATGTTTTATTTTTTTGGCAATGAATAGACGTCTGCATTATGCGTCTCGTCGTTTGCATCGTTGCGAGCAGCAGCACAACACGATGCGGCCGCACACACGAATTTTGATGATAGCGGTCGCCACTGAAGCTCTGACGAAGTCCGTGCCAATGGCTGGCAGCCTTGCATTTGCGTAGCCTCTCTAAAGCTACCAAAGCATGTGTGTTGACTTCTCAGGCTGAAAAAAGCAGGCGAGGAGAGTGGTGAAGGCTCGAATTCGGGTGCTGATTTCTCCACGCGGTGAGCACTGCTGCTTTCTTTGCCTCGTAGTCGGGAACAACGTCTGCGGTGACTCACAGCCCCTGCATTTTTGAGTGGATCTGTTTCAAACCATCTTCTTCAGAATGCTTATTTTCTTTCCCATTCTGGAAAATTCTTTTCATGTTGAGTTTTAGACACCTGAGCAGTTTGTATGTTTTGCTGAAATCATCACGATTATTGTGTGCACCACAATTTACAAGAGTGGAAGCTTGGGCTAGTTGGTGCGTAGTGATTGATACTGGCAAGCTTTTTCAGCGCGTGAACATAGGGAAAAAGAACATAGTAGACAGACGAAGCGCAGACTTTCAATTATTTTTATTTCGTAAAGTGGCAAAATATATCTGCCGAAAATAATTATTGAAAAAAAAAGCGAGGGAATAAAAGCCATGCCCAATCAATGCATCAGCAGGCGAAGCACGTGTCATAGGTCCTAGATGTCCTAAAGCCCGGCCAGGTAATCACGTTCCAATTATGATAGTGCAACCCATGGGGACCTTTATACGCAGTTTTCCCGCATAGAGACGATTTTTCTCTTCCGTTTCGACAATCTCGTGTGCAAGCTGAGTCCTGTGTTTTGCCTTTATCACCCACCGATCGTAGAGGGGGGTGCGGCCACAATCCGGGCAATAGATTTCAAGATGCGTATATGCCACATTGCGCATATTATTTCGGTGCTTTCGGAGGGGGTTGTTCACGCACCTGCCGGTTCGGCCGACACTGGCCTTCCCGCACGTCAGTGGAATCTAGTAGACGACTCCCACAGCGCCCCTATAGCGTGATATGTGCGCAACAGGGCAAGGCGCCGAGGTGTACTAACCTGTTTCACAAGTTTCTGCAATTTTTCATGCACAGAAAAATCGCAGCATATCCACGGAGTGTGAATGGTGATCCGCTTCTTGGTTCATACATCCAACAAACTGGAAGAATTGTAATGAAACCACTAAATCTGGAGATCTCAAGCTGTAAGTTTCTGAGCGTGGGCGTGAATATATATATATATATATATATATATATATATATATATATATATATATATATATATATATATATATATATATATATATATATATATATATATATATATATATATATTGTAACGAAAGTAGCAGCCTCACAACAACGATGTTCTATTTACACAATTTATTAAGGGCGAACTTGTGCCCAAAGTGAACGACGCACAGCAATCAAGAAGATTCAAGGGCGGCAGTCCTCGTGAGTCTCTGCCTCGAGCACCCTCGTTCTCTTCTTCTTCACGCGCGTTGGCTGTTCGGCGGAGTACCGGGCGCATGCAGGGCCGGCTCGTGCATTGCGGCTGGCTTCGTCGCTCGTAGTCGGGCCGTTAGCGTTTCTCTGGTTCCCAACGTCCGCGTTGCGCGGAGCAATGGTAATTTCCTGTGGCATTATCCCCCCTCTCAAGAGGCATCACCCCGATGCTTTCGATGATAATGTATGCAGCGTTTCTGTCTCAGAAGGTTTGTAAGAGTGAAATGGTTGTACAGCAAGAAAGGGGTGGCTAGTCTTCGTACCGGTCGTAGTACGGTTTCATGCGCACAATGTGTACACGCTCGGTGGGGTTGCGTCGTTTAGAATGCCCATGTCCTGTAGGCTTGACTTCATAAACGAGGTCGCTGAGTCGCTGTACTACCTCGTAAGGACCGAAATATCGACAAATGAGTTTTTCAGACAGGCCTCGTCGTCGTACTGGGGTCAATATCCACACTTTGTCACCAACTTCATACCGTGTTTCTCGTCTTCCTCGGTTGTAGCGGTCGGCATCGATTCGTTGTTGGTAACATATTCGGTACCTTTCTAATTGGCGGTCCTCCTCCACTTTCTCTATATAGTCATCGAGATCAGAAGGGTAGTCATGTTGATCTATAGGTAACATAGCGTCCAGTGTTGTGGTAACTACACGACCGTAAACTAGTTGAAACGGGGTAATCTTGGTAGTCTCTTGTACGGCGGTGTTATAGGCGAAAGTGACGTATGGTAAAATTTCGTCCACTTTTTGTGTTCGACGTCCACATACATAGATATCATGTCAGCTAGAGTTCTGTTAAGGCGTTCAGTCAGGCCGTTGCTTTGAGGGTGATATGCGTTAGTTTTCCTGGGAACAGTGTGGGTCATGTTCAGCAGGCATCCCATGAGTTCTGCCGTGAAAGCCGGTCCGTGATCGGTGATTACAACAGTTGGAGCGCCATGCCGTAGCACTATGCTCTGTACAAAAAATTTGGCGACCTCAGCTGCCATTCCTCGATGCAAGGAGTCTGTTTCCGCGTGTCTCGTTAAATAATCAGTCGCTACAACAATCCACTTCTTGCCAAGTAAAGATGTCGGGAATGGTCCAAGGAGGTCCATTCCAACTTGTTGTAAAGGTGCTTTCGGTGGGTCTATCGGGTGCAGAAGGCCCGGTGGCTTAGCACGAGGCGCTTTCCGTCTTTAGCACTCACGGCATGTTCTGACATAGCACTGTACTGAAGACAATAGCTTGGGCCAATAATAGTGCTGACTAATTCATGTAAGCGTTCAAGTGACCCCCAATTGTCTAGACGTAGGCTCATCGTGGCACGCTTGTAATATTTTTTGCCGCATAGTTGCGGGAACGACAAGCAGAAACTTTTCACGGTTGGGCTTAAAGTTTCTCTTGTAGAGGACATTTCCTCGGAGGCAGAACGATGCGAGGCTTCGAGAGAATATATAAGGTACTTGTACGTCAGCTCTTTTCAGGTGTTTGATGAGCGGGAGTAATTCTTCGTCCGCATGTTGAATTTCAGCTATCTGAGAAGTCTCACAGGCGCCACGAATGGAAAGTCCTCTTCATCTGATAGTGCTGTGTCTGCAGATGCCCGTGACAAACAGTCGGCGTCGGTATGCTTCCTGCCAGATCGGTATACCACAGTTACGTCAAATTCTTGCAGCCTATATAGATATATATATATATATATATATATATATATATATATATATATATATATATATATATATATATATATTGAAAATGTGACCACGAAAGGTTATAGTTATATCTTTTTTTTAGTCGATTAGGTTTCTTCAAAACTAAACATAATATATTGTTGCACGAAAATAAACTTGCCATGTTCTATATTTCAGGATTAATTTTTCTTGAATAGTTTTTATGTCAGGTTAATGTTATGTCAATGTTATGTCAGGAGACTTGGCCTTGTCGCTCAAACTTTGTTCTTCACCGCACTTCGTCCAAAGCATCAAGACCTTGAAAATGAGTTTAATTACAATAGCAGAGGAGAGTACTTTCCAAAGTGCGGAGGTCCTATAATTATTTTAAGTTTGGAGACGGTAAGCAACGCGCGTGATGTGTTTTGGGCAATGCAGGTTAGCATAAATAACACTGTTGACATATAAAAGACAGACATTTTTATTTTTCGTATTGACTTCCACGTTTCGCTGAATTTCAGAGCTGATGAGGTCAATAGTTGCTTCGTGACAGCTTGAAGAATTAGGAAGGCTGCTATGCGAATTCGTTTATATTATTCTTCCCACTGGAAGTTGTCACAAACACCCTTTCGGCAAGTCTGTAAGGCAAAATTCATTCAATGACTTCAACATATTATGTTACACTTCAGAGTAATAAAAGTTTTCATGAAGACATATAAATTTCAACTCCGCTAAGTACAAATCATTAATAGTATCTGAAATGAGTCTGTATATTGTCCCGCCGATGTACTTTTTTGTTGGTATGCTTTTTGTGGAGGCACTTTCACCTCATCAATGAACAAGCACCGTTATGTTTTAACAAAATATCGTTCACCCTTTCGGTTTCCGTGGTGTCAGATGACACGACGACACAAAATTTCCCCTAGCACCTCGGAAATGAAACAAAAATTGTTCATTATTTGGGAAATACTTCTTCAATGATATTCACTGCAATCGATATAGAAATTGTAACGTGTTTGTGGAGCTGGGAGCCATGAAAAAAAGAAGCTTGACCAGTCTTGGGTGAAGCAGGGGCGCTTAAGTTGATGAGGATAAGTGACATTTCACTCGCACCGTACTGGAGCTTTTTCAATGAATAATACACTAAAAAATAGGACACTGGTTCACATTTTGTGTATTCTAGTGAGTACCGGTAACAAAGAAGCCTTTGTTTTTTCACAGCCACTGAGCCCTGATGACCATAATTTGAGGCCATGTTCATTCATCTATAAATACTTGCACCACTGGCTCTATTTTCGTTTTTGGTGTTCTGAGGTCCCAACAATTAAAAAGTCTTTAATCAAAGTTAAAAAACGAAATTCCGGGCCGAAAAAAAAAGAGCTTTGATTCATTGATTGATATGTGGGGTTTAACGTCACAAAACCACCATATCATTATGAGAGACGCCGTAGTGGAGGACTGCAAAAATTTCGACCACCTGGGGTTCTTTAACGTGCACCCAAATCTGAGCACACGGGCCTACAACATTTCCGCCTCCATCGGAAATGCAGCCGCCGCAGCCGGGATTCGATTCCGCGACCTGCGGGTCAGCAGCCGAGTACCTTAGCCTCTAGACCACCGCGGCGGGGCAATATAATGCCATAAAACCACCGCGGCGGGGCTATATAAGGCCATGAAAACGCCATGTATTACAAATACCACCTCCGCATAGCAAAAAAAAAAAAAAACATTGCATGCTGCTACAGCGCAGTAGTTGTCATGGCTTTATTCTTGCAACCGACGCAAAAGAAACTTCTGTTGTGAGTGTGCTTTCTTCCTAACGTCTACCATACTACACTTTTTCGTACGTGGCTCGACACCAGCTCTTTGCAACGGAATACCAACTTTAGCCTCCGTTGATACCCTTGTTCGTTCAGCATGCACCAAGGAGAATTCCGTGCTGTTATGTAAATCATCAAAGCGAGGCGATGTTTAGGAAAACTATTTGACTTCTAAAAAAAATCCTCATGAGCAAGCTGTACGGGCCCACCTTGCCTTCGTCGCAGGCCATTCCTTCCAGCACGTACTCCGTCTGACATTTTCCCGCTCCGTAGTAGGTCCTCAAACAGCACTGAAACCTGCATTCCTTCAGCATGTCTGGTTTCTGAGGAGCAAGAAACAAATATACAAATGGCGATTAAGATAATGACGAAGGATTGGTCATTTCTGAACAATTCGAAGCACAAGAGTATATGTGAGCATTTAAGGGTGAGGAGATAGCTGAGTTCAACAGTTGGTTTGCCTCAGACTTATTTATGGCACTAAAGAGCTTGCCTCAGAGGCTACTGTCATCCGGGCATAGCTTATCGCAATATATATGTATTCTCCCCGTTTAAGCCAGAATTTTTGGTTCTGTGTCTGAATTCAATAACAGGAAGTTTTGTTAGTAAAATCACGGAAAAAGGCAGAAGTTCCAAAAAGTGATGATATATAACGACATGTCTGGTACTCATATCTTGATTTCGGCAGGTGAAATCAGAGCACTTATGTTCAATTTAGTTACAAGGGGCAAAAAGAAATGTCAACGGAATATTCTAAAAAATGAAAGTCGCTGAAAAGCTTCTGTGCCAATTGTCACGTGATCATAGAGAGCGGTAACAAGCTTTGGGCTGGGCGGAGCACGAAGTCGCCAAGAGCGCCTGTGTCGATGGCACCCAGCCCTGTCAACAGACATAACATAGGTCTTTAGCGTATCTAGGTGTCCAGTTGTGGAGAACGCATACCAGCAGCGGAACTCCACGACCTTGATTCTTCATTAAAATGTTGCAGTAGTCTTCGGGACTGATCAGCTGACCCGGTAGTTTTCGGTGATTCGCCATGTAATCTTCGTCAGATATCTCGTCCAAACATGTCTGGGGCAAAGACCTGCGATGATTGCACTTCGTTCACACAAAAAAGGTTTGGCGTAAAACGAAGTTATAAAACAACAAGCACAATCAAGTGCCGTGATACCAAGTTATCTGCTGAAGAACGCTGTGCTGGCTACATGACCTTATTATTCGCATAATGTGCACTTGTTATTTTTCTCGCATTGCACATGTGTGGGTGCGCAAACGCGCTTGTTTACTCACTCAAAAACGCCAGGAATGTGTGGAAGGTGCACATAGTCACATCGAAAGCTAGAAGAGTGGCCTTTCAGAGCCTTTTCCAAACAATCATTGGCTAACTACTGCAAGTGCTGTTGCTTGATACCCACTAGGGCGCTAATAATCAATTTTTTTGGATAGTAGGCTAGCATTCGCTATGCTATTTGTCGTCATTCTTCTGAGAAGCGTGGTAACCGCTAAAAACTTGCAAGGAATTTCGTGCCAATTGTTCATGCAGTGTCTGACGACGATGGGTAACTATAGCTGAAGCGGGTATGCGCTACAGTTAGCGCGATTGCTTTCCCGACATCAAGCCTGCCTAAGGCAAGTTTGCCAACAAGCACCGGCGTAACTCAATGGTGGAATGCTGCACTGGCACCCAGCGGACCCGGGTTTGAGCCCCACTGTGTCATTGGTGTTGTTTTTTTTTTGTCTAATTTCGCACGGTGTGATTACGGACACTGGCGGCGGCGGACAACTGCGCGTGACCCGAGTTGTGATCTCGTAACAGCTTTCGCTGTAATAGGTGCAATGACACGTACAGCTTCACGCACTTGTCATACTAGTTTTTGCACACAGTTTTATAACACGCAGCTGTAAAAAAAATGATAAATCCCTCGTCATCAATTATTCCAGCCTGACAGAAGTTGCGTAAACATTGAATAGCATAATTTTATTTAACCGCCTTCCTTTGCGGCTGTTTCGCAATTATTGCCAGGGGCAGAGCCAGCGAGAAGCCCTGGGGAACCAGTGTTGAGGTTAACCTTAAACTGACTTACCTGAGTGTGGCACGTATCTGCGCTTCGCTGCAAGGCGACAAATGGAACTTCTTTGTCCCTCCGTCCTTGTAGCTCATGAGGTAGCCCTCCTCCCAGGGGCAATCCTTCGCTCCCGGGTGGTCTGGTATGTGGTCCACCCCGGCGTAACCGTCGTGAACGGAGCCCAAACTGGAATAAGCACGCGGTGCAGAGTAAGTCCAATGAATGTCTCTTCCTTCCAAATTTCAAATTGTGGTATTCTCACGCAAGCGTACTAAATACACACGTAGAACTGCACAAAAGAATTTACGAAGCGTGAGCTCGACTGCAAGTGCGGAGTTCTTCTCTGCTTCTAAACTATGGCAGGCAGCTGTGTAAGTCGCAAGAAATACACTATAAACAAAAAAAAAAAACTTTCAAGTATGACTACACACCAACCAGCTCAAGCTTCAACTCTTGTAAATTACGACTACTCTACAGCCTGGAACATTTGGAGGCTATGTTCACAAAAAAAAGTGGGAATATAGCTCTGTAGGAAATTTAGTACTCCGATAAACGTGCAGGGGGGGGGGGTACAGTCTCAACGGAAAAAGACTGGCACAAGTGACCGGTTGCCGGAGCGTCAAGATTGCTATGAGCGGCGCTGTTTTTCCCGAGCACGCCGATATCGAGAAAGTGCCAAGCACATTCCATTTTTTTCAAAAGGGGGTGACCGGCGGAAAATGCTCCGACGAACAGCTTTTTCGGGGCAACTGAGATTAACATACCGTTGCTCGAAACTCCAGTGAAAAAAAAGAAAAACAAAAGAAGGAAAAAATAGTACGCATAACCACAACTGCCGATAAGCAACGAGCAAGCGTTTTTTTTTTGTTTAATATCTGGGTTCTAGGATAGGCCAACAGTAAGATGAGCTGCTCTGCGTCAGTCCGCCGGCCACCCCTGCTTTGCGAAATGGAATGCGCTTGGTAATCTCGCTATCGGCGTGCTCGTTGCGCGCTCGTGAACAACACCGTCGTGCTTCGCAATTTCGCGACTCCGGCCACCGGTCACTACGCTGTTTTTGTTGTTGGCATGGAGCCTGAGTAATACTACGTTATCAGGAGACCTCCAGGTGGCAGACGAGTATTCTATCACAAAGCTACGCAGATGCCTGGAACTCATTTCCAAAAGGACGCCATGCAAGACCTCCTCAGTGAAGCGTGGGAGGCTGCGATCTCCCAGCCGGACCTGGTCGAGCAGCGTCGACTCGTCGCTCGAGCTCGGCGGGCTGTCCAAGCCAGAGGGTTCCTGGAATAAGGGACCCTCCCACCTTCACTCACAAGCTTCTTTCAATAAATGTTTTCTCTCTCTCTCTCTCACCATGCAGGTGCCCTGTCGGGCAATGAATCGCCTATGTGATAGAGCAGGGCACAAGAGTAAAATAACAACCCGTCATTACACTATGCTGATTTCACAATGAGTGTGTGCTTTAACGCTTCCCAGCCACTGCAATGGGCAGAACCACAATATTTGATCATCATCAACAGCCACATGCAGCGTCAACAAAGTGCACCTAATGCCTAACACACGTGTAGCGGGTAGCTCGCTTATTCACAAAAAATACAAACAATGGCGCAGTGGGTGCTGTCTTGCTCGACGAAAATCACGATTTACGGTGTAGTCTCGTGAAAAACCAAAACTTCAAAGACAGTTGGCCCTAACAAGAAGCTGCGCTTGAAGCTTGCATTAGGCAGCATCGCGACTATTGGGGATTTTATTTTTCCCGAAAAGGGTTAGAGCTGGCAACACGCTTCACTTTTCCGCAGCTACTACAAACTACTTGAGCAGTCGCCATACACCTTCCTTGGATTCACTGCATGTTGGTTTTCATAATTTATACCCTTATTCTATTCTGCGAAATTTTGGCGCAACATCAGTGATACCGCCGTTTCGCACTATCAGGTAAGCAGCATAGAATGCATGCAATATCACAAGTGCAGCAGACTACTGAAGTTGGCTCAGAAACATACGTGTGCGCCAGTTCATGTGCGGCAGGGTAGACTCCCTTGAAGCTGCCGGCCGGATCTTCACCAATGGCCACGTTGCGGGGACCACATAGCATTGCGACATATGCCAGACCTGTTTTAGAATGCGTGGTCCACGTTATCAGACGCGATGAGCTGGTTACGTTGGGTTAAAAATGTTGAGGCGCCATCTGCTGTGCACCCCGAAAAGAGGATCGTTGTGTCTTTAGAGAAACGTGGTGACCCGGCCACCATTGTGATCAAACCGTAGGTCAGCAGTCTCATCCCGGCCTGGACGGCTGCGACTGTTCGAAGCCAGTGCACTTCGATTAATGTGCATATTGAAAAAAAAAACCCGGGCAGTCGAAATTTCAGAAGCCTTCCACTATGGCATCCTTCATATAGATATCGTGGTTTTGAGAGGTTATATCCCGACAATTATTATTAAAGAAACCTCGTGGTCATTCATTAATAGTTGCTCGTGGGAAATGGGCCTCGCCACTTTCCGCGCCCTCGATTAATTATTTTCAGACAAGTTTGTGTGCGTCTGCGCCTATGTTTTTGCATAAGATGAATTCTTTGTCAAAAAAGTAGATTGAATATATTATATTTGGAGTTCAAGATGAACGACTGTACAGTGCTCTAGTGTTTATCGATCTAACACACTTCTTGAAGATTTGTATCACTAGCAATCACTTTATGTACTGTAAAACACGACAGTTCACACAGCTGACTATGCTATATGGGGATTTGTGTGCGTTGGGCCTAGTGACGATGACGGCATAAGATCACTGCGTACGACAGCATACGAGGTCCAGTCCTCAAAGGTGCTCCGTACTTATAACGCCTTTGAGCTTCAGACACCCTGTTTTTAGTTTTTTTTGTTTTGGAACAAGAGGAACATTTTGAGTTTTAGGAAACAGTAGAGTGCTACAATGCTAGCAGTGTAAAGGCAACTTCGATTATGGCTGTCTCATCTAAAAGGCGTTATAGACCTTTAAGCCCAAACTCCATAAGCGCGAAAATGCACGCGACAGCGACGAGCGATGCTATGAGCGACGAAACAGGGCGTTCGCGCGACGTGTCGCGTGCTCGTTTTCGCGCGATCGCTCGATTCTCCAGATTTGGAAACCGTCGCTCATCGCCCGGAAGTGCTGGGCTCAAGCAGCCAATAGCCAAAAACCGGAAAAGACGAAGACTACATAGGTGCACGTGACCCTGCCCGAGTCACGTATGCGCAACAAGAAATAACGCAACGTTTATTACGCATGCGCATATAAAAAATGCTGCAAGGCAATAATAAACACTTTGCGTTCCATTACACAACAATATAACTTATTTTTAAATTGGAAACCGCTCGCTACGCGGTTTTCTTGGTGCGAGTTGACGGCCTCATGCCAGCAACAGTGGAATTCGCTCGCCGAAGCCGTCGCGTGAATGAGGTTTGCCTGCGCTAGCGACTGATCGCGCGACGCCGATCTACGTCGCGTCGCTCGTCGCTGTCGCGTGCATTTTCGCGCTTATGGAGTTTGGGCTTCAATCGTTTATTTAGCGACTCTTTTCATAATTGTAAAGCTAGCTTTTCTGCTATGCAGTTTGAACAGCTAAAGGCGGCTCGTCGTTCAGTACAAATAGCCTGTTCAAGCGCGGTTTGCTCACGCAGTGAAGTTTGAAAGCGCCGAGTCACCTCTCTTTGCATTGACACTCGTGACAGACAAGCCCCGCCACGTTCAAATAGGACCGCGTGTTCGCTTGAAGCACGACAGGTGCCGCCACTTCCCGTTCAAATATGCAGTGCAGAAAAACACGCTCCCGAATTTAGGAATGGGCCGATTGCTCGGGAAACAGCGAAATTTCACACAAAACACCATTAAATCACGCCTGGCCTCCGCCATTTGCTGCGGCAGCCCACCGTTGCTATTTGCCGGGGCTAACGGCAGAGGCCGCTGTTGACATCTGCGATGCTCACCAGCGACGCCGTTGTCGATGGTTCCAGAAAACGAAACAGAAGCGAGGTCCTGGCTGGAAAGTGGGAAAACAATCAACGTGTTTATAACGATGTCGACTGAACTGCTTTCAAGAGGAAACGGTATACGTTTTATACTACGAACTTCAAGAGTATTTTTATACTGCTGAAGGTATGAGTAAAGCACGCAAAATGAATGTGTGTCGTAGTCGGGCATTTTCACACGGGCCCGCACTTCTAATGAAGTTTGTTTTAAGTGCAACTTTTGATGCTGTGCCCCACTGGTGTTAAATACAAAGATGTTTGGATTTAAATAAGAAATGACATAAAGACAAGAATAACGCAACAACGTTTTACCCAGTCATCAAGTAAACAGCATCAGGTTTTCCTGGTAGTTGCGTCTGGGCATACTCAGCGAAGCTGTTGATTGTTCTTTCGGCAATCAGAAAGCCGTCTTCTATTACTTCGAACTCGCCATCCTGAAAACGAAAAAAAGATTTCTGTGAGTGATGATCACACACAGAAATCCAACTCTCGCGCCGGGCTAAACGTTAGATTTGTCTTGCTTCGTGTGTAGATTGCTCAAAAGAACACCACACTCTTTTCATTTCTATAGAAAACTGCGTGAATTATGCTGCGTGACACCGCAAGGTAAGTCAATATTGAAGAGCTTTAAATGTGATCCGCTGCACGTTACGCTATGAAGAGTTGGGGTCTTAAATAATGCTTTAAATGTTTCAGCACTCACCTTATTGCGAGAAATGCCGACGACTTTCACTTTTATTCTTGGATTTTCCATTCCTTCGTACCATATATTCACCTGAAAATCCCAGTAATGCGATGCGATTGAAAATGCTGATGCGAGCAGAATCGCTTAAAAGGATAATAAGGCATCGGAGAAAACACAACGTAACGTTAACAAAGTGAGCACGGGACAACTGACTGCTCAGAGAGAGTGGACCCACGGTTTTATAGTGCTTTACGCAATGGCCTAAGGTTGCGAGATCGAGTTATATCCACGGAAGCCGCTTTTCAACGGAGGCTAAGTGCCAGGGGTCTAAGTACTTAGGTCTAAGAGCCTATCAAGGAACACCACATCGTTGAAATGTCCCGAGTCTCCAACTAGCGTATCCTTCACAAGAATATTGTTGATTGGGGGAGTTGAACACGAAGAAATAATATTGTGGAATTCACTTCTTTTGATATATTGCTCATTGATTTTTACCAGTACGAGCTATGCTCGTGGTTTCGTATGCTATGTGAAAGAGTAAATATTAAAGGATTACATCATCAGACAGCGGAACGAATTGAGCGCCACACTTTAACAGAGAGGGCACATGCACTACCTGCTAAAAAGAAGAAAAAAAATGAGGGCGGCTTACCGCGTTCATCAATATGGCGATGTAGGCGATGAGTTCTTCGTTTGTCTCGAAATTCTTCTCGTGGACGCTGCAAGACACAACGTGCACCTCTGCGACGTACTCCTCGGGCAGCTGTTCCACTCTCGTCGTCGGTGGTCGTCGCGGGGCCTGCTCATCTGAGGAAGACGAGACATTCTATTCTGTTCAGGTGCCGATTAATAATGTAATGTAGCTTTTCCAGGAAACGAAGAACCTAATTAAGAAGCGTCAAATGATGAAAGTGTCAAGTACAACAGACAAAATAGAACTGGCAGAGCTTTCGAAGTTGATTAATAGACATAAGGTATGCGATGTAAGAAGGTATAATATGGAGAGAATTGAACACGCTCGAAAAAACGGAGGAAGCGTCAAAGCAGTGAAGAGGAAACTTGGGATAGGCAAAAGTCGAATGTATGCACTAAGGGACAAAGAAGGCAAAATAACTACCAATATGAATAGGATAGTTAAAATAGCGGAGGAGTTTTACAGAGATCTGTACAGTAGCCGAGACAACGACGACATTAATACTATAAGAACTAGCAGTAACCCAGATTACACCCCACCAGTAATGATAGAAGAAGTCAGAAAAGCTTTGGAGAGCATGCAAAGGGGCAAAGCTGCTGGTGAGGATCAGGTAACATCAGATCTGCTGAAAGATGGAGGACAAATTGTGTTAGAAAAACTAGCCACTCTGTTTACGAGGTTTCTCCTGACGGGAAGAGTACCAGAGTCTTGGAAGAACGCTAACATCATCTTAATACATAAGAAAGGAGATGACAAGGACTTGAAGAATTACAGGCCGATCAGCTTGCTCTCTGTAGTATACAAGCTATTTACAAAGGTAATTGCTAACAGAGTAAAGAAAACATTAGAATTCAATCAACCAAAGGAACAAGCAGGATTTCGAAGAGGCTACTCAACTATTGACCACATTCATACTATCAATCAGGTAATAGAGAAATGCTCAGAGTATAACCAACCACTATACATAGCCTTCATAGATTACGAGAAGGCGTTTGATTAAGCAGAAATACCAGCCGTCATGCAAACACTGCGGAATCAGGGCGTAGATGAAGTATATATAAACATTCTGGAAGAAATCTACCGGGCATCAACTGCTACCATAGTGCTTCATAAAGAAAGCAACAGAATACCAATCAAGAAGGGTGTAAGGCAGGGGGACACAATTTCCCCAATGCTATTTACCGCGTGCTTACAGGAGGTTTTCAGAAGCCTAGAATGGGAACAGTTAGGGATAAGAGTCAATGGAGAATACCTTAGTAACCTGCGCTTCGCCGATGACATTGCATTGCTGAGTAACTCGGGGGACGAATTGCAACTCATGATTACGGAGTTAGACAAGGAGAGCAGAAAAGTGGGTCTTAATAATGTATATCAGATTGTTATTCCACTTGGGTAAACGGTGCGCATAACTGGAACTAAGAATCTTAGAAATACGTGACATTTGCTGTATCGAGATGTGTTCTAGTCTTTCTCGTAGTAATCAGGAAAATACGTGACTTCTCGGGAACGTCTAAATTTAGATTACTTGTCCCGCTTCTTCGAGAACATTCACCTGAGCGTTGAACCGAAAATTGACTTAGATTCGAATCATTACGTTGTCACGTCACACCAAGATCCATCTTTTTTTTTTCTTCCCTGTCCTCCTCCTCTTGGGGCCCTTCTGTCCTCAATTCGCTTTCCTCTTACAGAGTAGCATGTAGGTGCCTTTGAGTACGCAGTTCATTGAAGAGCATTATCTCTCAGTACTGATACCGCATGCTGCTTCCCTCACATGGAAAAATGGTCAATCATTAACTAACCCAACTATACCACCGTACAGAACTTCCTTTCAGTTGGGTTTCTAAGCGATATTTTATGCACTTTAAAGCATAAAAAAACGTGCAGCTTCAGAACAAATTATAGGCGCTGTCTTTTGAAGATAACACTTGATGTTTTAGTGCTCGATGCTTTTTTTTTCTAATGCGCCTGAGTGATAATTAATATTGGCTATTGAATAAATCAACGTCGACAAATGCTCGATATGTGCCATTGCAACAGTAAGGGTGTTTTCACTTAGTCTCAATCTAACTATTATGTTTTCCAGGAGATATTTTTACGGTGACGTCGTTCAAGCTTAGGGAACATCATTTTGTCTAAGAACAACGTGTGGTACAATGCCACGCATGAAAATAAAAATATTAAATTTTTAGTGTTTACTCAAAAAGTGAAAGAAAATTCTTGATGTTTGACACTGCGATGTACAACTCAGAAAAAGAAGCGTGTCACATGCACAGACTTCGATAGAAAACGCCTGTCAATTTGCGTTCATACAAATAGTGTTAAGCTATTGTGCGCATAGTATTCAATGCTGTTGTAGATTTTGCTCGGATGAATTATTTACTTGGTTGAAATTCCTCTTCGTAAACAGAATACAGTCCCTGATATCCATACCTAACTCGTTATTTGGCTGCTGCCCCTTCTAAACAATGATGTTCCGTACTACACCGGAAAATTCCCATTCAGAGACATGAAAGCTCTCTATGGCGGGGATTTTTCCTTGCAAACGTTGACGAAATTCACAGCATATTGCCCTGCACAACAGTACTGATTTCCGCCCCCATCCACGCACACACGTACTATAATTACACGTGTCTGACATACTGGCGACTTTTGAAATCATGACGAGCCCCTCCACTGCCGCATGACGAAAGCATGACTTCATTAATTCATATACTGTTAGTACACTGCACATTGTGGGCTTCAAGTCTAACACCAATAGTGAATTAGAAATCACTCCGCGTAAATATCAGAAACAAATTCGAAGGGCTATGCTTGAGTTGTGCATGCGCCAGAACCGATTATAACAGACGAAGGCGCACTGTGACCGCTAATTATCAGTTGTCATAGGAGAATTTGACCATTCATGAAAATCCCTGCACTATCACAAAGATTCCCTTCTTCCCTGTGGCTCAAAATGACTGGTGAAAATTCTCCGAAAAAAGGAAACTTCCTTGCACGAAACATCACTGATTCTAAACATCATCATCCCCATAATCATAGTCATTACTATCCCCACATATGTCTTCCTCAGCATACCTATGTGCATATCAGGACAATGATCTGTTTTCATGATCTCTAACCGACCCTTTCCTGAACGAGATAATTTCTGTTATGTCTTTACATTATGAAAAAAAAAAAATCCCTAAACGGGGCACAAAGCGTCGAGCCGACGTTTTGGCAGGTGGACTTGTCCTCCTCAAAGCTAAAACAGAACTCCTCAAATAGCCTTCAGAAAGAGCTTGTCGAAACGCCGGCTAGACACAACGCAGATTCACCGAGTTTTTTTTTTTTTTTTTATCGCGAATACCCATCTTTTTCTTCCTGCCGCTTTTTGTTTTGGCCTCCAAGTTACGCAGTTTTGGCACTCCACCTAGTGGTGCGGCAAAATTAAGCGCGTCTTCATTCAGTCACTGTCTGGCTATAGAATTTGAAAAGTTAGTAAGTAATGAGGATATAATGTGACTTCGCCACCTTAAGTAGAATAACGATGAATTTGTGTAATGATGAGGAAACAACAGTAACTAACGTAATAATGAGACAACGACACTAACTTGACCCTTGCCGTCCGCGGCCACAGTTTCCCATATCATGCTATCATTTCCTGCCTAGCATCGCCCTATGTATGCAATGCTGCAACAAATTATTAACTAGACAAAGTGTGTGCCCCTTAATATTAACGTATTACTTACTATTAATACTTAATACTCAATATTAACGTATTACTTACACGGAGTCTCCCATGGTGTGTCGAACCAAGGCACGTTGAAGGAGACAAAAGAAGTGTGAAGTGCTGAAGAAGAGGCAGGGCCGTAAGATAATTTGTCCAATAAGATTATTCAGTACACTGTCCCAGTATATTCAGCTGGGCCAATGCATCTTAACAATTAGGAAGGTGTGAGGTGTTACAAGTTTATACGTCTCTCAATTAAAACACACTTACGGGGTTTCATGCAGTAGTTCACTCTCGTTGTGGGCCACTTTTGCCAGTGATTCTTGTAGGCAACGATTTATGCTCTTGGCTGACGTAGTTTTCGCAGCTGAGTTACGCACGATCACTTTCCTTGTATATATACTTTTTTCCGCTAAAGTTATGCTTTCAAATACCGCGAGGAGTTGCCTGCGCATTTCTTTATATTCTAAAGGAATTAGTTTAAAATTTGTGAAGTTTTACCATGCATAAGCTTACGAAGCGTTCGGGATGCTAAGACCATATGTAAACCACCTTACGTCACATTGCTGGTAGTGGGGCGTGGTATCTAGCATGCGCATGTGCCTGGATTAGTTTTGGGGATGGCGTGTGTGAAATGGCACATAGCTTCTTCATTATGTGTACACCACAACATGCTTGAATTACGACCTGATAAATAATGAAAAACACTTTCGACGACTCTTTCAGAGCGTCAATACAACTGCTGTACATACGTAAGCAAAAATGAGAAATCAAGCAATAGTGCGATCTCATCTGAAGCCCTCAAATCGACATTTATAAACGACGTAACAATTGTTTCACAGCAAAGTAAAGAAGGAAATAAGAAGAATCTTGCTCTTTACGAACATTTCCCGAACTCTCGTTTTGGATCTTCGATTTCATAGACTTTATGAAGTATTCTAGGATCCCTGGAGCGCTCGCCTAATAGTATTGGTTTTATCCGCAATGTGGGGCTTAATATGCCTTTCTGAAAAAAAAAGAGTAGTAAAAATATAGTAAACTCACTCCATACACTTAACAAGAAGGAGGCCTTAATGCCTTTAGCGTAACATATTACATGTAAGACTTCGCTCACAAACGTTCTAGCAATATTGCTGCAAAAAATTGGGCAAGAAAACTTTGGCTTACTACTCTCAAAGTGTGGCCGTCTTGGTAAAGCATCACTGAGGACTGGTGCTTGCTATCATGGTACAGATTTTCTTGTATACGAGATCCGTTCCACTGGATAGAAAAAGTGATCAATTAGTGCAACAAGATAATCTAACATTCGTGCTAAAAAGACATAATGAACAACACCGTATAATCTTAGGCGATGTACATTGTTAAAAAAGATTATTCTCGCCAATATCCCAATGGCCACTAGATCTTTGAAAGCGTTGATATTGAGCATCAGCACCGACGAAAAGCAGCAACATGTGACGAAAAATCCCACACCAGCCAATATTACCCAGTGTAACCATGATGCGCCAACACCCACTGGCAACACTCTCTTTGGTGCATTATTAGGCACAAAAAATATTTTCCAATATTGTGTTAATATTCTTGTGTAAAATACATTTTACATCCGTTAGGAGCTTCATACTAAATGTTTCATATTACAGGTATCATGTACTAATTATCAGTCCTCAGCTGTTCCCGCATTATGAACTCGACAAGTGCCTTCAAAAATGTGGCCCACAAAAATTGTAATATACCTCCTTCCTCCTGCACTTTCCGGATGTCCCCCATAAATATTTCCTCTACACCTGAGCTCAGACCATCTTTCTTGCGCTTCCTTTCGAATGCGGGGCATCATAGTCGCAACCGCAGGACACAGCAGATCATTTAAAAGGAATGTGAACTCACCAATGTGTTTTCGTACTTTCCGGCGGAATTCGTTGAGAAAAATAGATCATTGGCCAACACCAAACTCCTCTCAAGTCGCAGCGTCATGTCGCGGTTGATTCGAAGGAGCAACCGTCCATCGTCGCTACGCTGCTGCAGAAGCTCTGGGTAAACTAGTTCTTCTCTGAGCGTGACTTAAAGAAGGAAGCCAAAAATCAGAATGGCAGTGTATAATCTGGTTAGTCTCTTTTTTTTTTTAGTCTTCTCAGTTTACCCTGCCTCAGCGCATAGCAGCAAACCAGGTATTTGATTCGGGTGAACTATTATGTATATTTGTCTCTTGAAATGTCCACAATTTTCTGTGCTTACTTGACAACACAAGTGCCGCGCCCATAACCAAGGTTGTACTTGTAGTGCAAACTTTTCTAGTACGAACAATGCTTTCTGGGTGGCGAACAGCAGTGAATCTGCGCATGTGCTCCGTTTATATCTTTTCTTTTCCTTCTTTTCATACTACTCTCGTCCCCAACCCACTGAGTAAAGTAGCAATTGGAATGATTTTCGTACTTAACGTCTTTAAGAATTTTTCTTTTAATTGCCATCTTTTATTCTCAACGCATTCTTTGATATAAAAGGCAGTGAGGCTTCAACAGTGTGACTTCGGCAGTTAAGCACTTTATCGTAAAGCTTAATAGACAGAAGTCTTGTTCAGAAAGAGAATTTCGGTGAAGCTTGGACACATTGTAATTTGAAATTTCAGTGCCCTACGTGGTCGTCTAATAAACGAAGAGCCTGATTTCTTTCTTGTAAACTTCCATAGTTGTTGTTGACTCCGTGTCCTGTAAACCTCTGTGCATTAGTGTTGATGGATCGATATGTGAAGCTTAACGTCCCGAAACCACCATATGATTATGAGAGATACCGTAGTGGAGGGCTCCAGAAATTTTGACCACCTGGGGTTCTTTAACGTGCACCCAAATTTGAGCGCATGGGCCTACAACATTACCGCCTCCATCGGAAATGCAGCCGCCGCAGTTTGTGTATTTGCGTCGAGATAAGAGCTAGTAGGTATAGGTTCAATACAACAGCACAGAAAAAGAACGAGACAAAAGACAAAGGTTACTAAGTGCGCGCTTTTCTGTAGTTTTATTTTCTTTCTGTATGTTTATGCAAGCATGTATGTTTTGTACAAAAGTAAAAATAAACTGAACTGAACTGAACTTTCCTAGCACATCCTTTTTTTTTTCAGTGTTCTTATTTATAGTAGCTTGTTTGCTTTACCTCTTAAGGCTGCCCCAGTCAACAGCTTCTTCAACACAAAATCGCAAAAAGCATCACTTGTAATCAGTGTCCATCGCTTCATCAGAGTCAAATATGATCGGCACATTTTTTTATGGCCGCTATAAAATAATGACATTTATTCTCAACGTACTTAAGAAAGTACACTTTAAAAAAATCGAGTATTTGGAAAGTGTTTCTGCTACGGAACAATGATCGCTATTTACCTTGAGTACTTTCCTCGCGTTATTACCACGGGTCCGGTAGTTCACGGTCACGATCGGCACGCGCGCTATCAGTGTGATATGGAATTCGCGATAGGAAAGTGGCCATCACCAGGTTTTCGAGAAACAAAACGCGATCAAGTCAAATGACGATTGTTGTCGTGTAGCGGAACTACTCCCCGAGTACTCCATTTTTTCTTAAAGCGAAGGCCCACGATAGATTCTTTAAAGAGACAAGCACACCAGATTGCCAACGCCTTCGTTTAACCCATTGTTGCGGAGTCACCGCTCCGCAATTGGAATGACTCGGAATCATTCGACATTTTCGCCTGATGACGAATATTGTTGTGCAGCAGAAACACTCCCCGAGTACACTACTTTTTTATAGTATACTCTGTCCCGAATCACAAACGATTTGCGTAAATGTTTTCTACTCACCCGAGGAGATAAAGTCTACCAAAGTTAAAACGAGTGTTAAAACAAACATGCCCGTAAGTTCTGGGCTCCAGGCGACAGGTATTCGCTCCAAGAAAGCAGGTAGATTTAACAGGTTTTCGTTATATACGCGCGCCCGTGTGACATTACCATCTTGACAGGCAGCTGCGGTCGGCAGTGCGTGACGCGAGGTCTCGAAGCAAAGCCGCCACTACACTGGGTCTGTTGAATATTTATTTGAGCTCGTGTCGGGCGGGGCCATGCCTAACTTTAAAAAAAAAAAAGTTTAGAAGTTGTGCTTAGCGTTTTGTGCCATATAAAGTCAATAGCGTGGTCACACTTTATTTATTCACCTGGGAGAAGGAGGGGCAAGAGAGCGCAATGCGTGAACACATTTGTTATGAGAATATTCTGGCGTAGAATACAAAACATGTGATGAAACACGTGCATTAACTTATCCGCAGTACGGAAAGGCATGCGATCCTGTAGAAGGTCGAGATGTCGTTTTTCACTGATGTGGTGCCTGTTATCTGCGTATTCGAATTTCTACACAATGTGCTATAAGCGAAACTGAAGCACGAACAGTGCATTTATTACCTTCGAGCCTTACTACTAGTGCCTCACAAGTAAACATAAGGAGTAACTTTTCGGTACTTGCTATGACTTCTTATGTGTTTCGAAAAAATGTGACTGATGAAAGAATTTAGCATCTTGGGGCTCCTCGTTGTCAATTGTCACCGATATTGTTTTATAAGAGTCAGCTAAGGCCAGACTTCAGTGCCGTAGCCGAAGTATCGCCCACCGAACCCATGCTCCCCCCCCCCCGCCTCTTGAATTTTTTTCGTCATGAAATACAGAGCGAAAAATAACCATTTTAAAGGGGTGCCGCTCCCTTCCTCCAAAAAAGTAAAAAAAATAAAGAGGCGCCCCTTGACTCCCCCCTCCCCTCCAAAAAATCTGTGTACGCCTCTGGCAGACTTTTATGCAGGTTGTGAAATTGTGATGCATTGTCTAAAGTGGCCATCGATGCGGGTCCACTTGCGATTAAAGATGAATTTTCATGGCAGTAGCTCCTGCAGAAGTGTTTGTTGCTCGGTTGAATAACGCCAATAGACTGAAGCGATTCCTCACGTGGAACAACCAAGGACTTCGTCCAAACAATACGCTCTGCAAACAACTAGACAGAATACATAAAGAGAGAGAGAGAGAGAGAGAGAGAGATCCCGCCCTTTTTTTTTTTTTGCTCTGCAGTAAAGCACAAAATTAAGGAAGGATATGTGTCCTTCATAAAAAGTCTGTGCACTCGAATTTCGTATGCGACGAGGCACTTGCGAAGCAAACATCTATCTTCTGCTTAGCATTCATTTAATTTATACCACCAACTGGAAGAACACACCGAAAATTCACGGCACTGTTTTCAGACATTACACAAAGGGGGACATTTATAATGTTTCGATGCAGCGCAACGGACCTGCTTGCCATTCAGAAATATCAACCAGTGATTTCATTTCTGACATTCTTTTATGTTTCCGTATGAAAGCATATTGTGCGAGTTGCCATAAAATGAGCGTGGCAAAGTGTAAAGAAATGTCAATCTTCATGGCTGTCTCTCTCTCTCTCTCACACACACACACACGCACGCACACACACACACGCACACACACGCACACACACACAGACACACACACACGCACGTACACACACACACGCACACACGCACACACACACACGCACACACACACGCACACACACACACGCACACACACACGCGCACACACACACACACACACACACACACACACACACACACACACACACACAAACGACTGCTTAATAAAAAAAAGGACACGCACTAGCGATGCACAGGACCACAGCGTTGTACTTACACGCTATTAGGTCCACACGATTACGGTAATATTTCGAGCATAGGAAACTGTAACGCCGCGTAAATTAACCTTCGAAAGCATACTGCGGCACCAACTTTGATAGTTTTATTGAACTTTACGAAGAAAAACGTCTTCTAAGGCAATAAATATATTTGAGTGAAAGACGCCAGTCTTTTAAATCAGCATCGTATGTCAGTACTTGGGTACCATTTGCCTTTTTTGAGATGTTCTATCATGAAAAACCAACTAGGCATCAAAAGGACCAGATACTGGAGATATTCGAAATTCATCTTGGCAGTCAAAGCACGAAATATATTGCAGCACAAAACAGACACGTAGAGAACTGCTGACTAAGAACATATATGTGTTTGTAGAATTTTAATAGAAATTCTGAAAGTCAGCACTCATCCGCGTAGCGTTTGTCGTCCTGCAATATTGCGGTCTGAATATCAACAAAAATATGCATGCTTGGTTGGTAGCACTACACGTACTGACCACCTTCAAAGCTAGCACATGTCACTCGCTATCGAGTGTAGCTGTTATGAACAACGAAATACCGTTAATAACTAAACACTAAAATCCCGAAGTAAGAAGAAAAGCTTCCTGTCAGGCAGATCATCAAAAATATAACGGTGAATGAACAGTAGATAGCTATGAGCGTGTTTGCATCACCTGATAAGTGAATAAGCTTTACTCAGATCAAAGTGCCGTGCTCCTTGGAGTAGGTACTGTCATTTTCGCAAGGTAGCAATAAGAACGTAGCGCTCATGATGTTAACTAAACTACGTTGGATGTTTTTGCATTAAGAACTGTTATTAACTATTAGCTTAACTCATTGTATCTAAAATACTGCTACTTGTAATATGCTGTAGATGTATGTCTGCTTCACGATACTTTTCGCAGTTCGAAAATAACTTCCATTTATTCGTGTGCTTAGGTAATACTATAGGTAATTTTAATATACTCATGACAATATTTTCATAACAAAGGCAGCTGTAACATCTTCAAACTGCCCGTTCTTTTCTGAATGAAATGTACACCTAGCCCCAAAAGTTTACAGACCACGAGGTGCAAGAATAGGCTGAACGGTTGCTTTGGCAGGTAACTTTGAATTTATATATCGACCTGTTCCGAAACCGGCAAGCATGAAGAGTGCAATTGCACTGAAAAGTCACTAGTAACGGATGAATTCATAATGTATTCTCAGACCAGGTAGTTTCTAAACTTCTGGCGCCGACTGTACGCAATGCGGCCACCCGGCTCGTCCATAGCGACTTCAGGTCCAGATAGAAGCCCTAAAAGCGTCACGGTGTTTCTGTGGTTGTCGTCCACGTGCATGTGGGATTGTACATGTAGTACTTTCTCGAAGCACCACAGTTCTGGTCGAATATGAACTCGCAGCAATACGCCGACTCGTAGAGGTTGTTCGAGCGACGCCAAAGCGAACAGCCCAGACCTGCATGGTAAGAGGAAATAATGAACACACGAATAACAATGAGGGGACACCGAAAACTACTTAGTCTAAGGATTCACCGTTGGGATCATAGGAGTAAGCATGAAGGCGTGTGCACCACCCCCTGGTAACACAAGAGGAGGGAGGGGGGGGGCGCAAAAGTCAACCTTATAGATAGATACATTGACATAATAGGGAGTGGGGCACTGCGAATCAGGAGGGGGGGGGGGGGACAAAGTCAGCCCCATACATCGACATCATAGAGGGGGGACGCACTGTGACGAACCTTCGTCCCCCTCTCCCTCAAAGCGAATCCTGATCAAGCCTATGGGTAGGAGATTTGACAATCGCGCATGTTGGAAAGGCACACTTCAGATTTTTTTGTACCAAAAACAAGTGAAGAGTAAACTATAGAAGTGTTCGCTGTGGGCTTGGTTCATGTTTTGTGTCAGTAGTAAGCTTTCGGCCAAAAACACGACCATTAACGAGAAAACAGCTCACATGCATGGTCTCTTCTGAGTACACCTAACACTATTCTAAGGCAAAAGTCATTTTCTTTTTCTTCTAAGTCAACGTGTGAGGAAGCAGGAAACAAGAGACATGGCTTCACTTGACTCTTACAAACGTCCTCTACATTTTGTTGTCTTGAGGTCATGCTCTCTCCTGCTTCGTTCACCGCCCAAAGGAGGGTGTTAGAAGAGCCTCATGTGACGTTAGGCCACATGACGTCACCACAAAATTTGTGACTTCATGATGACGTCAGAATACTCTCTGTACTTAACTCTTACATGCAGCTCAAGACATAGATGTTCCCTCAAAGGAACACCTTTTTGAGCTGTTCTCTCAATCCGGGGATATGCTGCAACTTTGTGCGAAATGTGAAGCTCAGGTATTGAGGCCACCATTCTGCTATGTGTCTTTCGCATTCCCGCGTGGTTTTGTTTTTTGGCGCCAAGTTTATTATTGAAAATTCATTTCAATGGTGGCGCGAACTGCTGGGCTAGCTGATTTGACATATAGGATGAGGCTAGTTTCGTTGTGATAGGATGAAGAATTACACCTTGCATCGTGGCCCCATCGGGCAGAAATGCAGTGTTCTACCTTCGCTGTCATGGCTACTAGTGGCACTGGCCAACAATGTCAGGTTGATATGCACATATGTACCAAATTAAGTGGACGGCGAGGTCACCAACGCCTTAGCTCAGTTGGCAGAGCGTCGAATGCGTCATTCGAAGGTCGCCGGTTCGGCACCTGCCAGCGGCAAGTTATCTTTTTGTCCACTCCAGTTTCACCCCATTTATACATCATGCATTGCTACTACAAGTAATCTATAGTTTACTTTCCTTGGCTTTCTTGTCTGTTCTAATTACTGCTGTTTCTAGCAAAGAAAAAGCAGCCCTTGAAATGATTCTTATTCCACTCATTTGCACCGAAAAAAAGCAACAATGGGCTGAAAGGATAGTCGATACTATTACCTCTTACTACCACTGATCGATACTACTACCATCACCATACGGCTACGAATACTACCAACCTCCACCCTTACTGCGGCTGTAATTACAACGACGGCTAGTAGTAGGTACCACATACCATGATCTACTGGCCATAAAGTCTCTTATAGATGCACTAGAGGGGACTGTGGCGCTAGTGTATATGAGAGCTAGCATGAAAATGATGGGTTTGCCTGATCTTCGTAGTTCTGGCTCGGTGTGCGTTCATGTGGCTTGGAGCCGCTTTGTCACGAGACGACAATCAGCGAATGTTCAGCAGTTGCTGTTCACCGCCCAGTGAGTCTTTTAGGCTGACTAGTTCAGGGAGGATCTCGCAGTTCACAATGATCCGTTTTTTTATTCGAAACAAAACAAAAACACAGCAATAAACAAAGCTGCAAAAGCGTTCGAAGTCGCAAGGACGAAGTCTACTAATTTGTCCATTACCAATCATTTCCATTGTGGCTGAACGATTGCAGTGCCGAAATTCCCCGTAGTTGATATTAGAAAACCTTATGCTACTACCACCACACTACTACAACAAAACAAATACTAATGATATTACTACTACTACTGCCACCACCACCACCACCATCATCCTCATCATAATCAGCTTGCATGACTGTACCCACTGCAGGACAAAGGCCTCTCCCATGTTCTGCCAGTCTACTAGGTCCTGGGCTTGCTGCTGCCACTGTATACCCGCAAACTTTTCAATCTCATCAGCTCCCCTGACTTTTCGCCTCCCCTTCAGCTGCTTGCTTTCTCTTAAAATCCGGTTTTTATCATTAATGACCAGTAATTATCATGCCTTCGCGCCACGTGCCCTGCCCATGACCATTTCTTCTTTTTGATTTCCCCTGTGATTTCTTTAACACCCGTTTGATCTCTGATACAATCTGCTATCTTCTTGTCCACACGTACCATTTTTCTTTCCGTTGCTCGCTGCATCGTCCTCAACTCAAGTCGAACTCTCAAAGATCCACTGCAGAGTAAAAGTTCACTCACCATTTTTGGCGTACGGGTGGCGAGCAACGAAACAAGTCTCACAGTTCATGTAAATGATTTGAGTCCACTCTTGCGGATAATTGTCTGAAAAGAAATGCAGCTGTCGTAATTAATCGAGCTGTGCATGCCACACGAGGGTTGTCATTCAGATGGGACTTGGAATCTATACGTACTGTTCTGCGGAACAAATGTCTTCACGTTTTTGCCGATGTAGCAGTCCGTTGAGCTCAGGCTAAGTTTTCCCTTCCTGAAATGTAACAGGAGTATAGGTTGGAGCCAAGAGATGGAGGCAATTCAATGGTCAATAATAGGCATCTATTATGGTCGTCTATTAAACTGGTCGTCGTTTTGATAGTCAAGTCTGACAAAAACAGGACCACTCATAGGCGTGTGCTATGGGGTGGGGTGGCAATACAGGTAAAGCGGCCACCATTCCGAGTCTTCTAGGGGGGGGGGGGGGGCAAGTTATTTGCAGAAGGAGAGATCGTGGTAGCAAGTAAAATTAGCGTTTCAAAAAGCATAGAATTTAACACAAGCTTCTTGAGAAAAAAAGACAAGAAATAATATATTCTTGGACGGCGATTAAAATCTAGATACATCGCTAATGAACTTACAGAGCCAAGCCAGTTATGTGAAAACTCATCAGAAAGTATAAGGGGAACATGAAGGCTTCAAGAGATCGTACGTAACTTATCAAGAAATGCCGGTGAAGCTAGCGCTTCGACAAAGGGGGTTAGGCTCGTTGAAAATATTTCCTCTGTATTAAACTTTTGGACCGTTGTAGAGCCCGCTAACAGCATATGCTGGGCAGCTGGACTGAATACAACCAAAGCTTACTGGAATTTTAGAGGTTACACATATCTAGTTGTCTCTAATCCTTCAACGCCGAGCGTGCATACAGGAAATGAAAAGTGCACAACTATACCGTTACAAGGAATTTATCTGCTCATAGAGCACTGACGTTTGGTCGAAGCGAAGTAATAAAGTAGTAGTGATGATCGATTTCTCGGCTTTAACACACAAAGCTGTCTCAGTCTACGATTATAAATACTACTTCTTCGGGTTTAAAGTTGGGGCTTAACGTCCTAAAACCGCGATATGATTATAAGAGACGCCCCAGTGAAGGGCTCCGGAAATTTCGACCACCTGGGCTTTTTTTCTAACGCGCACCCGAATACAAGCACACGGGCCTCGAGTATTTCCGCCTCCATCAAAAATCTGGCCGGGATTCGAGCGCTATAACCACTAGACCTACGTGGTGGTTGACTACGCCATGAAGACGCGTAGAATCCGGCAAGATTGCCGGACTCTCCAGTGTGCCTTGAAGAAAGTGGATAATCGTCCCTTTACTCAGGAGAGGATTTGGGCGCATGGCCTTGAAGTGCATTAGCCCAGAAAGCCACACGAGCCCTTCTACAATTCTTGGGGGCAACATCCCTGAGCGACCACCTGTGAAACCCTGCACTGTGTGTGCGGTGCGTGTATGGTGTGCAATATCCATATCCTTCTCTTTCTTTCTCTCTTTTACTGCCTCCTTTCCCTCTCCCCACGTGTAGGGTAGCAAACTGGACTAAATCTAGTCAACTTCTCTACCTTTCTTGTATTCTTTCTCTTTCTCTCTCGTCTGTGGTTACGAGGTACACCATATAGTGGAGGGCTCCGGATAACTCCCTTGGGTTCCTTAACGTGCGGGGCATCGCACATTACACGGGCCTATAGCCTTTCACCTCCGTTGAAATGCGACATGCACCACCCTGACCAAGCTCGCGTCTTTCCGGTCAGCAGCTGAGCATCACGACTGCTGGGGGCACCACGGCAGCTAGAGTATAACAATGATACCGTGTGATACAGCTTCCTTCGATATTTATTTGTTGAATAGAAAAATTTTAACAAAAGAAAATGGTTGAGGATGCCCCTTAGCACTTTTGTGTCCATATGACACGAAGTCTTCAACGAATTTATATGCTAATCCCTTTCAGGGTACCATGCTGTGCTGGATTTCGGTTGAATTTTCCGCTAACCACTCCGATGCTCTAGATCCTGACATACGCGACAAAAATTCTGCGGTGGTACTTTCTGTCACCACAGTTCACTTTCCTTCACCCCACTTATATTCCTGAAAAATCCAGTGAGGGTCGATTGTTAAACAAGGGGTGGAGATGTAGAACAGCAACAAATATAGAGATACATACACTGATGCACATACACTGAAAGAAAAAAGAGTACACTGATCACGAACACTTAGTTATGCAACAGACAGCTTGTGTTCGTCTGGGTAAATGTATTTAGACAGGTGACGACAGTAGGTATGTGGGGAAGGAAGTTTGATTTTGGATGCTGCACGAAAAAAGAGGTATTATTTCATGCATTTCTCGACAGTAGCGGGAAGAACGCATCTTAAAACACGGTACCATCAATTGCTTCGTGGTGCTAAATTGCATTACGGTGGCTCTGCATGCGTCACACGTGATAGAAGAGTTGTAAATGATCTCACGTATATCCATCTCTGCCAAAAGTAAACATGGCAGAGGTGCTGAAGTTTTCGTACGATCCGTGTATGCTGTACTTGACGCATTTGGCTGTTCCACCAATGATGGCATCGACTTCGTAGTTCCTGTACATAAGGTACCATTCTCCAACGTTCGGGTAGCACTATAGGAAGAATAAGAAACTCGTGAGACAGAGGGTCGATAAAGACAGCGGATCCCTGTTTCACAGGAAATATGTAAAAGCAAGACAGCGACGCGTGATCCTACAGAAGTAATTGCATGCTTTGTCATAAGGAGTCACAATATAAAAAAACCATAAAGGCAGCTTCATGCTAGAGGTTTTAATCCTGAATTCAGCGCTGAGCTGGGCAGCCTTCTTGCTTTTCTTTCCGTTTTTATTTCCTGCTCTCTCTATTTTTTGTCTTCCCTGTTTTGGGGTCTTTTTTTTCTTTATTTCTACTTACTTGTATTTTTCATCTAATTTTTTTCTTTTTTTCCCCACTGTTTCTATTTCTCACTTGATCGTTTTTTTTTTAAACGTTACGCCGACCGATGAACGACAGCCTGGGTGCCTAAGGTGCTCTACACTTCTCATCACCAAGAAGCTCAAAGAATGACAGGAACAGGGCTTCTACTCGGGACGAGCATGCACTCAATATGATGATCATGTCTTTGCCTGCATTACGCTATGTTACGACAGCATACAATGACAGCATGTGACAGCCCGGGCCCCCGAGATGCTCGGCACTCAGAATACAAGCTACTCCATCGGAACTGCAGCACGCCTGCCGTTCAATTACGCAAGAGATTCGTGCTAGGTGTTTTCCGTTCGAATCAGGAGTACGTCTGCACGCCTAATGCAAGATAAAACATTACGCTCGGTACAGCAGTGGTGTTGTAGTCTCTGGCTCACATTAATTTGCCAGAGAATTTAGGCTTTCCTCAAAAAATTATTGACACTGACATACATGAGGAAGCGTCACCTTGAACGCTCTATAGGCAGATGACGTCACGTAAACGAACAAATACGGTTGCAAAGAAACATTGCTGCGAATTATCTTTGAGTTGGACCATGACGGATTGGGGTGGACCTTGAGTTTTTTTTCTTTTTCTAACGTCTTAAGCGACTATAGGTGCTATGAAATGCGGGTCCTTCAAGATGCATGTTGTTCATATCCGAAGATAAACAACAATGGCCCCAAATCAAACATGCTTCTTTCGAATTACTCCAAGGCGGCATTTTAGGAACTTGAATGAAGCATTCGGGAAACGAGACGAGGATATGTTTTTGCTTGTGGTCTAAAGCGTCATTAAGATTCACTTAGTTGCATTCAAAGCTTCCGTTTATCAAGATATACTGCAAAGTGCGACCTTCCCGATTTTTTTCATAGTTCTATATTGCTATTAGCTAGAGCTGTGGCAGCAGCAATGACATATCAGGCTTTATTGTACTACGCACGTTTTGCTAACTCAGGCTAGGCGAACTAGCTCGAGATACCAACTGGCTTTGTCTTCTTGCACTACTGCCAGAGTACTCTATACTAATTGAGGTATATACGTCGTTCACTTCATAATAACTAAAAGATTTACGCCGGCTGCGGCCGGTTTTCAACCTCTACGCTTACAAGCACACAAGCGTTTAGAAGGCGTACCTTGCTCGCATCTTGGTATTCTTGTAAGTCACTCCTTAACTCCGGATAAAATAGACCATTCGCGAAGGTCAACGGACTCAATCCGATCATCAGGCATATGCAGACCCCTACAGACTTTTCAGCCACGTGCATCTTGCAAAGCACCGAGGGTGAATAGAGCGAGGCTTGAATGCGCCAGAGCCGGTGAAACAAATTATCGAACGATCATACATAGGCAGGTGTGTTTTGACTTGTGCTATCGTAGCACATGCAGATATTATATGTGACAGTTTTCCGGTCGTTTTGCTGAAGCAAATAACTGTGGTGCGTTCTCAAAGCATTCCAAACCATCTGCCATATTTAAACGACAATTCCCTAATTTCCGGAAATCCATTCATCACCTCTTCTTGCCAAAAAGCTGCAGCAGTTAACATTTTTTTTTACAGAGAATATGCGATGCATAAACTTTTGTTGCTGTTTTGGGGCTAATATGTTTCAAGTGAGAAAACCTGCAAGTAAAAAATTGTACTGCAAGATGGTAAAAAGTGGGCGATCTCCAAATATTGATGGTGCAGTGGCTGAGTTTCATAGAAAACGTGATCGTAATAACTGCTAGCTATATTGCACACAAGTGATTTGCGTTTTATTTGTGTTTTTCCCTCTTTCTTTCCCCTAAACCTCTCTTCCTCACGCAATGCTAGGTGTTACTGTGTTGCAAGTAAGACCGAATAATTACAATCTAATCTCTATATTTCTCTGTAATGCAACAAGTGTGTTCTGCAGCAACCTATTGAACTACTGGACTCTTGATATTGATTGATATGTGAGATGTAACATCCGAAAACCACCATATGATTATGAGAGACGCCGTAGAGGAAGGCTCCGGAAATTTCGACCACTTGGGGTTCTTTAACGCGCAGCTAAATGTGAGCATACAGGCCTATATAATTTTCGTCATCATCGAAAATGCAGCCGCAGCCGGAATTCAATCCCGCCACCTGTGGGTCATACCGAAATTCTTCGATAACTTCAATAGAGCATAAAATATTGATTTTGCAAAGTTTGCTATTACGTAATGTAGCAGATAGATAATCGAGCCACTTAGAGACTCCTGCCGCTAAACTTTAAGAAGAATGTAGTTCACAGATTAGCCTGCCACGGCGTTTACCTCTTCTTGTATGTAATACATATTTTCGTGGACGACAAGGAAGGAGCAGAAGAAATCAAATATAACTTACCACCGGAGGGGACAAATGTCTTCTTGTTCTTAGCAGTGTAGCATGGTGATGAGCTTAGCGTTAGTCTGCCTCTTCTAAAACATGTATAAGTACGGGAGACATTCTCTTAATGATTTACCGAGTGTTCGTAATCCACGATATTGTGAATGGTATGACAAAATGCACATCATGTTACTTTCATATACAATCACTTCATCTAATATGAAGGTTATTTTTTTTTTGTTAACAAGCTTCAATCTCTTTGAAAACGTTGCAACAATATGATGCTCAGAGAAACACAGTAAGCAAATTAAAAATGAAAATATCCAACGCCATGAAATAACTATGAAACAGCACTGAGGAGGAGTAAGAAGAAAAAACCGATTTCCGATATGGTAAGGCAATAAAGAAATCATTTGAAGCCACCACCGTCAATACCTTACGTCCTCGCATTGTCATTTTTACTTCCCGAGCAATGGCCAGCTGAGAGTCAAACGTTTAAACTGCGAACAGCTTAGCTGAACGTCGTAGGTTTGGTTCCTATCAGTGGCATGCTGTGTGTTCGTCCATTTTACTTTATTCTCATTTGTTAATATCACAATTATTACAACATACATAAACTTTTCTGTGTGCGGCTATATTTACATGGGATCCGAGTTCAAATTATTTAATCAATGTTCTTGAACTAATCCAAAACAATTCTGTTCGCTTCATTCTTCACAACTACAGTCGTCACTCTAGCATTTCTGCCATAAAAAAATTCACTCGAACAGCCGTCTCTTGCCTCTCGTCGTATGCTTTTCCGCCTCTGTCAGTTTCACAACATTCATCATAACATTCCAACTCTTCGCGAGGCACTTATTTTTCAGCCTTCTTACGTATTATATAGAATTGATCATCCTAATAAAGTTGGCGTTATGTCATGTGTAACCAAAACATGCAGCGATTCACTTATTCCCAGAACGTCAGTAGACTGGAACTGCCTTCCCGGATATGTGGTCATCTTGACCGATTATCCCTTGTTTCATTCTGCGCTAACTAGCACTGTATAAACGCCCAGACTTACTTACTTGTTTTGTTTGTACACAATGCTTATATTTTGTCACATTCACATATACCAGCAAGATTTTTGTAGCACGATCGGAGACCAGGTACACTTGATTTAGAATTACTTATGTATAATTACGAGCTGCTATGTTATCTAAGAAATACAGATCTGCAGTGTCAGTCAGGCTCTAATATGCTCATATTGATCAAGCACCTCATAACCCTTGTTCATCACATTCACATATATATCCTGAGAGGACCATTATGGTGCCTTTGATGCCACGTATCTTTGTTTTCGCGAGGCCAGATCTCAGACGGATACATTATTTCTCATATTATTTTCTTATACAGGCCGCTTAACGCTAATAAAATAAATAACAACTCATAATTACAAAACATAAACCTAGATTTTTAGTGCAAGCAATGAAAATAAGAGGCTGATAAGTTTCGAAGAAGGTATTTGCTTGAAGCGACGAAATGCTCATGAACGCGGCGAGGCAACGCTACAACGAACGCGGCAACTTGTGGTCTCTTCTCTTTAATGGCGGCAGGTGGCTGCTTTAGCATGTGTCAGTATGTGACAAAAGCGTCTTTTAGCGTCTGTACGTACAGGCACCAAAGCAGGTTGTTACTGCCTTCGAGAAGATAAAACCGCTTGTCGAAGCGATGCATGGCTGTGGCGGCACCTCACGTTGAAGAACTTCTCATTTCTCACAATATGTGCGGTACACTTGTGAAGCACACAAAAAGAGTTCGTACTGCCCGAGCACTCACTTTGACCACTTGTTTTCGAATCGAATGATGCACTCCGTGCTGAAATTTTCGTAGGTTCCGTATCTGCTGTACTTTTCACACTTTTCAGTTCCACCGAAATCTTTGTCAAAATAATAATTTCTGTACATGAGGACCCACTCTCCGATGTCAGGACAGCACTGCGAGTGAATGAAAGAACATTAGCAATCTTCTGAAAATGAAAATTCACTGAATTTTTTATTGAACATTCACAGGTGACCCAACTTCAATTCACCATCGCAATCGGTTTTATCGCCATCGTATGCGCGCATCTGTGCGCCAGGCGAGAACGCATACGCGAGGTTCGATTACTCGTTAATATGGCAGCAAATAACGTTTTAGTCCATCAACTCATTACTCTCGTCACAGGGAACTCATTACAGCAGGTAGCGTTGGGTAAGACATTACTAGCTGGCGCATCTAGCGGAGGAGGAGGCTTGGGACTCGACAGCTTCCCCGGTACTTTTGCGTACATATATGCACGCACGCGTGCGAACGCACACCTGAACATCTTTCGGGCGAGCTGTACTCCCCCGACCATCCTCCACTTAGTCTTGCCATGCTTCTGCTGATGCCCTGACTTAAGCTCTCTTTCTTTGTGCATATGAACATCGAGCTTAATGGAAATCAAAAAGTCCTTGTTCCTAAATAAAATTATACGTTTAGCAACTACCAAGATTATGACACTATGCCACAATGACCATCATTTATGAAAATATTATCACACTATGACGGTTACCAGGAGTTTCTCTGTACGATATAAAGCGAGACACCCCCAGATAGGTCTGTACTGTAATTGCAGCCATATTAGAAACGCGAAATCAGTTGACGTCACGTAGGCGAGGTAGTGTGATTGGCCGTTCGTAACTACAACATCCTATGATCGCTAAACATAGACGAAGACGACATGTGGCTCTTAGGTTGCCGCGTACAGCAGGTGATAGCTGCGTAACAAAAAACTAATTAACCCTTTCAGACGCTATGTACACATTTGTGTACACCACTCGTTTTCGTTATTTGCATCAAGTTGAGGCTAAGAAAGAGCAAGATATATCGTACATTAGATGAATTAAACCTTCTGCGTGAATAATTTGTCTTCATTTATTCTCATTTTGTAGTGTACTGATACATATGATCACCTTTCTGAAGGCACTACCACGTTTGACAAGTCCTGCAATGTGCCGATTCCTGCAAGCAATCTGAAAAACAGAAATTTTCTTTGCTCACAATTGGCACAACCAAAAATAAATTTGCACTATGTTTCTAGCCCGAGATTAAATTCTATTTATGCCAAAAGTAAACATTAATGGCTTCAGGATAAAGAGATATTTAATTGCAACTTAATTAGGACGAGTTACTATAACACACATAGATTCAACAATTATCTCGTTATTTTTGTCGCAATAGAATATTGAGTACCTTGAAGCAACGTTGTAGCAAAAATTATTTGCACCAAACTGTAGACCCTTTCATCGTACATTGAACTGTTGCACGGGAGCACAAAGGCGGATATCACTGCCGCGGTAGTGCACGTAGGAGAGTCATGCTTATCTACAATAGCCTAATATAGGTCGGCACCCAAGGATCCTTTTCCTTTTAATGTGTAAACTTTCATTGGAAAAATGCATACTTTTTTTGAAAAAATGCGGAAGTGTAAAAGTACTTTACCCGACTTTTATCCTGGTAGTTCTGGAGGCTGCTCCTCAGTTTCGGGTAGGAAGAATCACTGGCGATTGAGAAAGACAATTGATAGAGGCATAGAAAATCAGCACATCACACAAACATTGTGTTTTTCTCGCGCACCTATACAGCTTAGTGCCATGTGGCAACGTAGAAAATACTTACTATATAACCTTGTGGTCCGGTCTTATTTTAAGCCCGTTGAGGAAGGAAGTTGTCTAGGTGCCTCATCTGTACAAATAAACAAGTTCACAATGTTACGAGGTTGTTCGCCCTTGTTTTTATTGTTACTAGTAGCCCTAAATGGCAGTTCCTGCTTCAACGGGATATTCACTGTAATGATCCTGATTGTCGGTGTAGCAGCCTATGTTCACTAGAGACGTGACGTGAAAAGATTTTGGACATAATAACGTCCAGCGTATATCTAAAACATTCTATTTATTGAGAACCAAAACGCTACAAAGTATCAGCGCGAAAACCATGCTGGAATCAATTTGCGATTTTTCGAAGAGCTAGGTATGTTCACCACTGTAAAATCCGGTAGTACTCCATAAGGTCCAGGAATCTCGAAAGTGTATAAGATATGCATGAGGTATATAGTGTGCTGGGATTTCAGGCGCAAGCACGTTGTAGGACTTTGAGGCACATAGTACTGGGGAACAGCGGATGAATTTCGAGCAGCCGGGGTTCGTTAACACGAATATAAATTTAAGCACGCACGTTTTTTTTTTTTTTTGCACTTCATGCACAACAAAATCTGGCCACAGTGCCCGGAAATCAAGGCGGTGATAAAAAACAGCTGCACCGTTCATCCGGTCAAGCCTAAGTGCTGGCTATATTCAAGAAACCAGTGAGATATGTCGCGTTTCCTGGCTATATCTAGCACTTTAAGCTGGACGTGGTTAAGAGTGTCTAGAATGATGGCGGAAGTAACTTTTGCTCGTATACAAGAACATTCGCGCAGAAGAATGATAATAAAATCATTCACAGACTCAGAGAGACGCATGCTTATAATGACCTGCTCTAAGTGTCCGTTTCCGTGCGCTATTGCAAGCGGACGTCGTTCGTCGACAAGCCGACAGATTCGACCGAATAAACGGGCCACGAAAAAAATCTGCACGAGATTTCCTCTGCATCTACACTCTCCAGCTGGCACTCTCACTCAATCGCGTCAAGGCGCGTGGAAAGCGAACCAGTCGAGTGAAAGATGTTCCTCCCATGCGTCTTTGTACTCGCGCTTCAAGCCTCGCAGGTGTGTCCAAGCGTTGTTGTTTACCCGGAGATACAACCACACCTGCAGAAGTATCAAGACTTTGGCTGGGTAAGGCATGCGTGCATTTCATGTGGCATGCACAATGTTTTCAGCTCTTTCACTTTCACTTTCACTTTCACTTTATTTCCTTAAAGACCCCACAGGGGGGTGTTACATAAGGGGTGGGTTGTACAACAAAGATACAAAAGCCACAGGTTAACATTGCAGATGCATTGACACACTTTGAATAAAACGTGATGGACAGGTGATTGAAACAACATCGTGGGGAAGGTCATTCCATTCTTTGGCGGCGCGGCAGAGAAATGATGCAGAAAATGTTGAGGTGCCAGATCGGGGTCGGAAGACTTGAAGTGGATGGCCAGTGCGGGGAGAAATGCGTGCGGCGGGAGCGATGTAAGGTGGTTGGTGGAGTGAGCTGTGATACAACTTGTGGTACAGTGAGAACGTAGCAATTCTGCGGCGAAGTGAAAGACTTAATAGACCGGACTCATTTTTAAGAGATGAAACACTGACATCGTAAGAATAAGAAGAATGAATGAAGCGAGCGGCACGATTTTGAACTGCTTCGATAGCGTTGATCAGATAAACTTGGTGAGGGCTCCAGATGGATGATGCGTATTCAAGTTTGGACCGGATTTAGGTCTTTGTACTAAACCAATCGAAAGACAGCGTTGTCCTATAGCACTGTCTCCTTAGCCATCACCGATGCATATTCACAGTACGATGATTCAGTCTTACAGGATCTAACAGTTCAGCTCTCAATATCTACCCCTCGTTCCTACCCCCTCCGTGAATGCATGGACTATGTCTTAAATATTGATTTTGCTAAGGCGTTTGACAGAATACACCACGAAGAAATGTTTACGAAATTAGAACATCATGGTTTAGAAACTTACAGAGATTGTGCACTTACCACACTATAAAGTGTGGTAAGTCCACATTGAGAAACAGTCATGAAACGCTTCGGTGATGGTAACATTACCACTCTCCGCGAGCTAAAAATATGAGAACATTCAAATGATTTCAGCGCTTAATAAATGTAAGTATGGAGCAACAGATAAGGACTGGCGAAGAACACACAAAACAGTTAATAGTGTTCGCTATTTGTGTGAACCTCTTGTGTGAATGTTTACGTGAGTGGAAATATTTCCATTTAGCTTGGTATTTATATTTTCATGAACGCGTACATCTTCACTTGCTCATATATCTTGCTACGAAACAAAACAAGACGTATGCAGTAGCCATGGTGCCTGGCATTAAAAAACACCTGGAACTGAAGAACGCTTGTACATAGATTCTTAGCACATTTCTCTACTAAAGAAATAGTTGGTGCTTCAACAGACTGAAAACAAAGTCGGCATATCTCACGTACCATGCGAATCTATATTATGCGAGGCATGCGTAAGGAAATTCACTGTGGTGGAGTTATTTTATTGAGTGAAACATTACGAAATGACGAAGTGGTCATAAAGACGTGCGTTGCAAGCACAGACTAATGCTGGACAGCGCGTATTTGTGATGTAACCAGGTCACATTTGCGTAATGATGCCCACAGCGACGTGGGCATTACTAACACCAGAAACGGTAAGCCGAAATTTAGCGCTTGTGCGTGCGAGAATGATAGTCCTGGCTAGGGCTACGTAGACCACCTTCAGTGGATGGCACTTAAGTATACGACTCACGTTAACCCGATGTGGTGCCTGCGTCATAGAAGAATATAATCAATCAATCAATCAATCGGCAAGTTCATTGCATGTAAAATAGATAGAATTATTGGTTATTAATATACAGGTAGGACCCCAGAGTTAATTGAACGGCAGTTGCAGGGGTCCGTTTTTTAACAGTAGTAGTTAGCTAAGCTACAGGGACAATATTTTATACAAGTGCAATGAAATACAAGAAATACATGCAGTAGTTACATAGCAATTCAAAAATACATATGAATACAACAAATCAGAACAATATTCATGAGTTATAATAGTCATGAATATGTAATGCTTTTAAAATTGGACATTCAGCGGTGCAATCGACGCGTCACCATAGGCGTGCGCACAGGGAGTGGGAGGGGGGAACCTCCCCCCTCTTGGTCACCTAAGAAGGGGGGGGGGGGGCGCAAAGTTAGCCCTCTACATAGATAAATATAGAGGGGGCACTGCAACTCGAAGGCGAGGGCCAAAACCAGCCCCATATACTGACTTCGTCCCCCCTGAAGGGGAACCCTGAGTACGCCTATGTTGTCACCAACATTACACCGGCACACGGTCTCTTCCAAAAGCAATTTCGAGACGTCGCATGACTTTGTAGTAGAGAATTTGGTAGCCGCGCACAATGCTCGGCTTTGATTGGCGCTGAGACTTCGATACTTATTGTTTGCATTCGTCGACTCAACGCTGCTGATATCAGTTCTCAATGCTCTCGCATTTAAATGACCAGTGGCTGTTCTCGCCGTTCCTGGGCATAATAAATATACACTGTCAATTTCCTGTGGTGCATACCTGCATACCGTGGCCCATGGCGCCAAACATGTCTGGAGCAAATTATCTGACGGCGTACGCGACGGAATATTCTGTCATTCATGTCATGACCATCGAAGTGGTTGTGCGATAAAAAAAAATTGTCGCTTTTCACATCGCAGGTGAGTGATGATGGAGACTTCACAGAATTGTCAAAGTACTGTTGTTACGACAGATACGGCTGGTAAAGTGCTAGACGGGTGTTTGGAATTGCGCTTTACGCATTTAGTAATGTAATCAGCAATCCACTGAATAACAACTACACAAAAAGGGCTCATGGATTCACAAACAGAGGAATGAATAGCACAGTTTAAGAGCTGGTGAAATGATAATGCAGACAATTCAGTTAAAAAGTTGTCATAACCACAATCAAGGTTGAATCCGGTCTGATCAAAAGTATGCTTAGATACTGCTACTAAATTCAAATTTACCGTGACACCCTTGACATCCAACAAACCTTAAGCAGTGCTTCTATCGCTACCATGTTGTTATAGTTGCTTATTCATAAAAAGAATATTTATAAGTGAGTTTAGCGGATTACGAAAGTGACAATGTGCGTTATATAAAAAAGATGACGCTTATCAAGTAATCACAAAGTACTTTGTAACGGTCATTTACAGTATAGCGTAGGCCAATCTGTGCCAGGTGTGCTGAAATCACCAACAATGACCCTTTTATAATAGCTTAGTGTTTATTTGTTTATGTAATCGGGATGAGAGAATACTACAATATCCAGGTAAAAAAGCAGTTTCTATAGCCAAAGAGAAACCATAAAGATTTGTAATACACCAAGAAGATTCGACGTTAGGGACAACAGGTAAGGTATACGGTACTGTGAAGTCAATCAATGTCTTGGCTCCAAAGGAGTGCCACTCCGACTCCACGCCGACCTAACATGTGTAAACTAAGTTGTACAAAAAAGAAGACCAATTTGCTGATTGGGAGGTGTCACTACAGGTTTGTGAAACTTATGAGATCACCATCACGAACACATAAACATGCTGGCAATAAAAAAGCAGCACATTTTTATCCTTATCATGGCACAACTCTGTCAATTCTAGATTGACAGAGTTGTGCCATGATAAGGATAAAAAAAATTGTCGCAGGAGCGTAATCCCTTGAAGCGTGACCGTGTATTTTTTTCGCAGGGATTTCCCGCCATCGGCGAGTGGATCTTGGTGCAGAGAAATTATTACGAAGACTTATTATTCGGTGCAGAAGTGAGAGGCATCAAATATCAGAGATATGGAAGGAACACAGCGCACAACACTCCAATCGTGATTACGTACCAGGACGGAACGAAAGTGTAAGGAAGCCCTGCGGCAAGTCGTCCGTGCTTTTAACGGGGTAGCTTGTCGTATAGTTTATGTGGTTTTACGCGAAAACCTCTAAAGTGGGTACGCGCCAGAGGCATCGGGCAAGCCCCACTATCACACTAATAAAATATCGGGTAAAATGGCGTCTTTGTGTCCCAGAACAACAATCGTAATCTATCTGCGTTCCTTTCCTTGATTTATCGTCGCGCTCGGCACAGCACAATCCCGAATGACATGCGCCTTATTTTGCAATGTCGACTTCGTGAACATGTCTTATTTGATTTTCACTGATTGGCTGTAGCTGACGAGTAGCGCACCGTTTGTCTCCGGTCTGTCTTCCACAACGTACGTTTGACGCCACGCTGCTTTCAAGACTCTTGACAGAGATGAAAAAGACGGAATGCGTTTTGCCACAACGAATGCTGCCCCGAGAGATCCGCTTTTGGACGCACATCTTTAAGGTCGTGCATGAACTCTGATCACGTTAGCCCTTCAATTAGGTTTACCGCCACTGCCCGCCTGATGAACCTGGAAGGTTGGTACACATTCCCTGCATCACTCTTCAAACATCTTAACACGTTCATACGCACGTTCAGACTTGTCAAGTTTGTCTAAGATTCTTCTTACTGTACATTCCGTCCACTTAGTTTCATTTTGCACTGGACATGTTCTGGACGGTTTGGTGCGACGACGTGGTGAAGAGTGCCATGGCGTCCAGACTCGCCATTTCTAGTGTGTAGCTGAATGCACTCCGCTGAATTGGACATGTCCATGAATCGTATACCGCGATAATTAAGCCCCCGCGTGACATAACATAGAGAGAGAAAATAGAGCGAGAGAGAATTTATTCACAGAAAGGTAGAGAAGTCGGCCTGAGCTATAGTTTGCTCTGGCCTGCTACTCTACGCTGGGGAAGGGTGACTGGGGAGTGAAAGTGTCATGGATGACGATGGTAAGGTAGAGAGATGATATTGTCACGGGGTCGTGACGTGGCCGAAGACAGGAGACTTCTTGCTGGAATGTAACTGTTTATTTGGGCGAACCTGTGCCCGGTAAACAGAAAGTCCAATTACAGCAGCAGTCTCGCACAGATAGCAGTCTCAGACTGATAGCGGCGAACGGAGCGTCGGCCTTCGATCAACAACTGACAAGCGGCGAAGCGCGTCGGCATTTATACTCCCGCCGTCGAATGTTCTAGCGCTATCGCTGGCGGCGGCGTACGTTCCAGAACAATCTGTACCATTCGCACAGTGGGCGTGATCTTATCGAAATGATCTACTACAGTCCGGAACATTCTAGAAACCTGCAGGCGTGGTTTGCGCCGAGAATCGTGTGGTGTTTCGGAACGATAACAAAAACTTAGGAAATGGAACGTGGCATTGCCCCCCTCTGAAAAAAGGCATCGTCCCGATGCTTTAACTAAAGATGAAGGTACAATAATAATGCAAGAAAGTACAATGAATAAATTACAATACAACAATAATACAAAAAAAACACTGTTTCAGTTTGTTAACGTGCATGAAACGGCTTGAGGCGCGCGACATGGACGACTTCAGGTCGCGATCGGCGTCGTTGAGAGTTCGTGATGCCGTCGGGGACAACCTCGTAATCAAGTGGGCCGAGACGTCGAACCACCCTGTACGGTCCGAAGTACCGTCGCAGAAGCTTTTCACTTAGTCCACGTCGGCGTATTGGCGTCCACACCCAAACACGTTCACCGGGCTGGTATTCCACGAAGCGTCGTCGAAGGTTGTAACGGTGGCTGTCGGTCGTCTGTTGATTCTTGATACGGAGCCGCGCAAGTTTTCGGGCTTCTTCGGCGCGATGAAGGTACTCGCTCACATCGAGGTTTTCTTCGGTGACGTTGGGTAACATGGCATCGAGCGTCGTTGCCGGGCTCCTTCCGTAGACCAATTTGTATGGAGATATCTGCGTCGTCTCCTGCACCGCCGTGTTGTATGCGAAGGTCACATACGGAAGAATGGCATCCCACGTCTTGTGTTCGACATCGACGTACATTGACAGCATGTCGGCGATCGTCTTGTTAAGCCGCTCGGTGAGGCCGTTGGTCTGTGGGTGGTACGCTGTCGTCCGGCGGTGGTTTGTTTGGCTGTATGCCAAGATCGCTTGAGTTAAGTCGGCAGTGAATGCCGTTCCTCGGTCGGTGATAAGGACCTTCGGGGCGCCGTGACGTAGGACGATATTTTCGACGAAGAACTTAGCAACCTCGGATGCACTGCCTTTTGGCAGGGCTTTTGTCTCGGCGTAGCGGGTGAGGTAGTCGGTAGCTACCACGATCCACTTGTTTCCGAAAGCCGACGTCGGGAACGGCCCCAGTAGGTCCATACCAATCTGCTGGAAAGGTCGGCAAGGTGGATCAATTGGCTGCAGAAGTCCCGCTGGCCTTGTCGGCGGTGTCTTGCGTCGCTGACAGTCCCGGCATGTTCTCACATAACGAGTGACGTCGGTGGTAAGACGCGGCCAGTAGTACCTTTCTTGTATCCTCGCGAGCGTGCGAGAAACGCCGAGGTGCCCTGCCGTCGGATCGTCGTGCAGGGCCTGCAGGAGTTCTGGTCGCAGAGCTGAAGGCACCACAAGGAGATACTTAGCCCGAAGCGGTGAAAAGTTTTTCTTTTGTAGAAGACCGTTTCGTAGAAAAAACGACGCAAGTGCGCGCTTGAATACCTTCGGGACTTCGGCGGTCCTGCCTTCGAGGTATTCTATTAGGGCCTTAAGTTCCGGGTCGGCCCGCTGACGTTCAGCGAAATCGTCGGTAGTTATCGTTCCCAAGAAGTAGTCGTCATCCGGGTCGTCGGGTAGCGGTTGGTTGACAGGCGCACGAGAGAGACAGTCGGCGTCGGAGTGTTTTTTGCCGGACTTGTAAATGACAGTAATGTCATATTCTTGAAGTCTCAGGCTCCATCGTGCGAGGCGACCTGAAGGGTCCTTCAAAGTGGCTAGCCAACACAAGGCGTGGTGGTCGCTCACAACTTTGAAGGGCCTGCCGTAAAGGTACGGGCGAAATTTCGACGTAGCCCAGATGATGGCGAGGCACTCCTTTTCTGTTGTGGAATAATTTGCTTCTGCTTTGGATAGCGATCGGCTGGCGTAACTAATAACCCTTTCAAGTCCGTCGGCCCTCTGCACAAGAATGGCGCCAAGACCTACGCTGCTTGCGTCAGTATGTATTTCTGTCTCGGCGAATTCGTCGAAATGGGCAAGTAACGGAGGCGTCTGGAGGCGATGTTTAAGCTCCTGGAAAGCGTGTTGCTGTGGCGTTTCCCACTTGAACTCCACGTCGGCCTTGGTAAGGTTAGTTAGAGGATCGGCGATGCGGGGCGAAGTTTTTCACGAACCGCCTATAATAGGCGCACAGGCCCAGAAATCGGCGGACGGCTTTCTTGTCAGTGGGCGGCGGGAATTCGGCGATGGCGGCTGTTTTCCGTGGATCAGGACGAACTCCAGACTTGCTGATAACGTGCCCCAGAAACAAGAGCTCTTCAAACGCAAATCTGCACTTTTCTGGCTTCAGTGTGAGTCCGGAAGTCTTGATGGCTTGAAGTACAGCTTCAAGGCGCCGAAGATGCTCGTCGAAACTCGAGGAAAACACGACGACGTCGTCCAAGTACACAAGGCAAGTCTGCCACTTCAATCCTGCCAGTACTGTATCCATAACGCGTTGAAAAGTTGCAGGCGCTGAGCAAAGGCCGAAGGGCATCACCTTAAACTCGAAGAGGCCGTCCGGTGTTATAAACGCCGTCTTCTCTCGGTCTCTTTCGTCGACTTCGATTTGCCAATAGCCAGTCTTGAGGTCCATTGACGAAAAGTACTTGGCGTTATGGAGCCGATCAAGTGCGTCGTCTATTCGTGGGAGAGGATACACGTCCTTTCTTGTGATTTTGTTCAGGCGGCGATAATCGACGCAGAAACGTAGGGTCCCATCCTTTTTCTTCACTAACACCACGGGGGATGCCCATGGGCTCTTGGACGGCTGGATAATATCATCCCGCAGCATTTCATCAACTTGTCTCTTGATGGCCTCACGTTCTCGCGTCGAAACCCTGTACGGACTCTGACGGAGTGGTCTGGCATTTTCTTCGGTTATGATGCGATGTTTCGTGATTGGGGTCTGCCGAATTTTCGATGACGACGAAAAGCAATCTTCGTATTGCAGGAGCAGGGCCTTGAGCTGTTCTTGCTTATCGTTCGGAAGTCTGGGATTGACGTCGAAAGCTATGGGAGGGGCTTGGTTCCTCTGAGCAGGTTCCGCAGAATCGGCGAGGGCGAAAGCACTGGTGGCTTCGACAATTTCTTCGATGTATGCGACCGTTGTTCCTTTGTTCACATGTTTGTACTCATTGCTGAAATTTGTGAGCATAACCGTTGCTTTGCCTCCCCGCAACTCTGCAATTCCTCTTGCGACGCAAATATTTCGGGTGACCAACAGATGCTGGCTGCCTTCAACGACGCCTTCGAAGTCAGGTGATTCAGGAGCGCCGACTGAAATAATGACGCTTGAGCGAGGCGGAATGGTGACTTGTTCTTCCAGCACATTCAAGGCATGGTGTCCAGACGGCGTGCGCGGCGGTAGTGCTTCTTCTGTGGATAACGTTATCGACTTCGTTTTTAGGTTGATGACAGCACCATGGAGGCATAAGAAGTCCATGCCAAGGATGACATCTCTCGAGCAACGCTGTAGGACTACGAAGTCTGTAGGATAAATACGGCCGTTAATGGTGACTCTCGCTGTGCAGATTCCTGCAGGCGTTACGAGATGACCTCCGGCTGTGCGGATTTCAGGGCCTTTCCAAGCTGTCCTAACTTTCTTTAACTTCGCGGCGAACGACCCACTGATGACAGAATAGTCGGCTCCAGTATCGACGAGAGCGGTCACACTGTGGCCGTCGATAAGAACGTCGAGGTCGCTAATTCGCCGTCTCGCATTACAGTTAGGGCGTGGCGTCGGGTCACGGCTGCGTCGGCTTGTTCCACTGCTTCCATGTTGCGTCGTCAGGCCACCTTCGGTAAGTGAGCTTTCGCCGTCAGGGCTTTGCCTGTTTGGCGTTGTGTTTGGAAAGCTCCGTCGCGGCGTCGTCGTCGTCGGAGGATCTTCGGTAGTTCGTCGCACAGCAACCGCACCTCCACCGGTTGCTGCCCTTAGTTTCCCGGATACGGGCTAGGAGACCGGCCCCGCGTTGGGCCAGAGTACTGTCGGTGGTGCGGTGACGTGCGGCGGCTGGGCGACGGCGAACGTGAAGGGCTTCGTGGTGTCCACCGAGTTCCTGTCAGGTAGTCGGCGATGTCACGTGGTCGTTCTCCTGGCTGTGGGCGCGGTGCATTGACGGCGAAGCCACGCAATCCCATCTGTCGGTACTGGCAACGGCGGTATGTGTGTCCGGCCTCGCCGCAGTGGTAGCAGAGCGGGCGATGGTCAGGGGTGCGCCAGACGTCAGTCTTTCTCGGTGCACTGCGCTGGGCCGCTGGCGAACGGTATGACGTCGGTGGGGGTGGTGGCGGCGGTGGCGTCTGTCGACGGAGGTGCGATGGGGCGGTGTTTTGGCGTGGACGGGGAGGAGCGTTGTGGCGCAGTGCAGCGGCGTAGCTCATAGCTTCCGGCTCGGGCAGCGGTGCGTGGGGAATTTGAAGCGATTGCCGAACTTCTTCTCGCACAATGTCGGCGATCGAATCCACTTGAGGCTGCGCCGAAGGCAACAGCTTGCGCAGCTCTTCCCGCACGATCGCTCGGATCGTTTCACGCAGGTCTCCGGAGTTACTTGTTTGAGCAGCAGCGCAGTCTGCAGTCAGGCGACGATTATACTGTCTGGTGCGCATGTCCAGGGTCTTTTCAATAGTGGTCGCTTCGGCTACAAATTCTTGGACGGTTTTCGGTGGGTTTCTCATCAGCCCCGCGAAGAGCTCTTGTTTGACCCCTCGCATGAGGAAACGAACTTTTTTCTCCTCAGGCATGTCTGGGTCAGCGTGACGGAATAGTCGGGTCATTTCTTCTGTGAAAATGGCGACATTTTCATTTGGTAGCTGAACCCGGGTCTCTAATAAAGCAGCGGCCCTCTCTTTTCGAGCGACGCTCGCGAACGTTTGCAGAAATGCGCCGCAGAAAACATCCCACGTTCGGAGCGTGGACTCCCGATTTTCGAGCCAGGTCCTTGCGGTGTCTTCTAAATAGAAGAACACACGACGCAGCTTTTCGTCATGGTCCCAGTGGTTGAGGGCGGCCACACGGTCGTATGTCTCTAGCCAGGACTCCGGGTCTTCGAACGATGACCCATGGAAAATTGGTGGTTCCCTGGGTTGATGCATGACCATCGTGGGCTGGGACGCTGCGGTTGTCATTGTCGCTGCAGTCGCGGTCATGGCCTTGGTCTTCCGCGGCTTGTCGTGAAGAAGCCCGTACTCCGGTGGTAGCCCTTGCTGTCGGCGGCTTGTTCGCTGCTCCTGGTTGGCGTCGGTGTCTTCTCCGCGACGTGGGCTGGGTTCACGGTTTGACGGGGGCGTCCGGTACATGAACGAAGCAGCACCTCCATCAGATGTTACGGGATCGTGACGTGGCCGAAGACAGGAGACTTCTTGCTGGAATGTAACTGTTTATTTGGGCGAACCTGTGCCCGGTAAACAGAAAGTCCAATTACAGCAGCAGTCTCGCACAGATAGCAGTCTCAGACTGATAGCGGCGAACGGAGCGTCGGCCTTCGATCAACAACTGACAAGCGGCGAAGCGCGTCGGCATTTATACTCCCGCCGTCGAATGTTCTAGCGCTATCGCTGGCGGCGGCGTACGTTCCAGAACAATCTGTACCATTCGCACAGTGGGCGTGATCTTATCGAAATGATCTACTACAGTCCGGAACATTCTAGAAACCTGCAGGCGTGGTTTGCGCCGAGAATCGTGTGGTGTTTCGGAACGATAACAAAAACTTAGGAAATGGAACGTGGCAATATGTTCTTATTAGGCTGGGTAACTCTACAGACGTGCATCCAGTCCAGTGGCTTCTAAAAAAGCGATGACGGCTCGTGTAACCACATGTGCGCTGCTGGTGTCAGGCCAAGGACCTAACACAACCTCATAGGTTAATGGTCGACTAATATATCGGCCAATCGAAGGTATAACATTCTTGATAGGAAAGTGTCCAGCGCCGGGTTTTCAAGAAAAGAAGCGCGTACAAGCCGGATGATGATGGCAGAAAAAGACCCTAATTTTACTCTGTCATCTTTAGAGTGCATGCACAGCAGGTGCAAATGTTTCGTTACGCCGCATGTGTATAGATATAGGAGCTGGAGGGCGTCAACACTCTGGCTCTCTTTGTGACGTGGTTTAGGAGTCTACTGGGAAGCGAAGCATGAATAGCGAGTGGGAAGGCGATACAAGCAAGGCGTTTTCCAAGTTCTCTTTTCAACTATGAGGGAACCTGATTGAAAAAAAATGTCCCCACCTCCCCGAAGAAAATCGTGAGGAAATTAGAATGTATTGCGTAGCGTACATGGCGGTGCTTCGCACGTGAAAACCCAGCGCTCCCTACAACGTGCAGCCGATAGCACCATTCGCCGCACGTGGCGTTTTTTTGCACTGCATTAAGGCGGTGTCAAGTCACGTTCAAGTCAAGTAGGGGGGGGGGGGGGGCGTTCCTGTTGCTAAAGGCAAGGATAAGCGCACGCCCGCAGTTGTTGCTGACATCTGGCGACGCCGAAGTGTGACATGTGACATGATGGGGGCTCCGGTTGCTAGAGACGCGCGCCCCCACAGCTGTTGCTATAGGAGAGAGCAGTGGACAGATCTCGATGGACGCCTGACATAGCCCGACTATCAAATGCATTCGCATTTAAAACCACCGACGTTGTTCACTACAGGTTTCTCGGTCGACTTGTCTGTGTGTCACCCGAATCGGGTGAAGTCCAACCACATCCACAGCGCCCACCAGTATTGATCTGGTTACGGCGTTATTACTTGCGCGTACTGTCACTTAAAATGGGAATATCGCACGTATCTGATGCACAACCTCAACACGTCCACATATGTGGCGTGTTTCTTTATACTACAAAAGACCTTCAAAACTAAATCTAAGGAACTTAGCGTTCATTACGCTGCGCTGATAATAAAACTCTGTGCTCGAGAAGGCGGGTGTTTCCTGCTGCTTCGATAAGACGAGATGTTGGTGGCACCTACCCTTCACCTCACATTCTGCAAACGATAGCCTCCGAGATCGCGCGTACGCGCCGCACGCTTGCTATATCGGAGGACATCCTTTAGTTTTCAAAGATTACGGCCAGATGACGCTCATGTCTGACGCAGCATTTCCAGAATCCCTTTCAGCGATTACCTCCCACTGCACATGAAATAAACGTTTTATTTACTCTCTTCGGACGAACGACTATCGTCTTTCGACATTTGCAGTGAAACATGAAAGAAACGGGGCCAACTTTTTATAGCGCTTATACATACCCCCCCCCCCAACACACACACATGTATAGCATGGTTCACTGTTAAAGGAAACACTCGAATGGGCACCTTCAATATTACTGGCCCTCTCACAGCGAGCGGACAAGGAAACCTTCTTCAGGTACGTCACCAGTTGGTCAAGGGGAGTCAGAACTCTGAACCATCAGTAGTCTTATACGAATCAAAGCAGCTATGCTTATATAAGAAAGAAAAGTCCAAACATGCACTGCACATGCAGGTGTTCCCTTTAACAGCGGGCGCTTCTGTACACATACAAACACACACAATATATATATATATATATATATATATATATATATATATATATATATATATATATATATATATATATATATATATATATATATATATATATATATATATATATATATATATATATATATATATATATATATATATATATATATTGTGTGTGCGCTCAAAAGTCCTGTGTTGGCCGTCGCAGGGGTATAGTTGACTTCAATGTCAAGGGTTCGTTACCGGCCGTGGAGGTCGTATTTTTTTTTTTCTGCGCTTAGCCATACTAATGCACGGGCGAAACGTCCGTGCATGACGGTGTATTATTGTGCACGTTCAGGATCCCCGTGTATTCGAAATTCTAGGCGCTGTTCACTACCACACGCGTCTATTCATGATGATTTTACAGGTTAAACACAACAATTTACAGTTATTATTATTATTATTATTATTATTATTATTATTATTATTATTATTATTATTATTATTATTATTATTATTATTATTATTATTATTATTATTATTATTATTATTGTTGTTGTTGTTGTTGTTGTTGTTGTTGAAAACATTGTGTTCTCTTTTATATTTAGGAGCGCACATTTAACTATCGGCTCATCAGAAGGCTACCAAGCAAGAAATCTCATTCGCATAGACTTCTGTCAATGTAAGTGCGAAAATTACTCACTTATCAATCACATTACGTGCATATTGCAACCAAGTTTCACTATTTGCCGCTAGAAGCAGGTAATAATGCGTGATTTCCTGGTTTCAAACAATCTGCTCTGAATAAGTGAGAACATTCACCAAGTCTGGAAGAAGTTGAAAAAATACATGTTTTTAAGCCGGAGTGAGACTTATCCGTTCAAAGAACTCCATTTCACGATTATTCAATCACGTTTATAAAAAATTCCACATTTCAGAAATTTATCCCTCTTCGGCACTCATTGCTTTAGAAAATGTTTTGGGGTACTCCTTAAACACGTAGACAGGAAATGCGAGTCTACCAGACGTAAATTCCGTATTTTTCACAAAGCAAAAGTTTCTGGAGACTTTTGCACCTTTTTCTCGTGAACGATCAGGAATTAGCAAACAAAAATTATCACGAGTGGTAATCAGGGGAACTTGTATAACTCATACTACAATCAGTATCCTAGGTGCATTTGTGTTTTGTTATTATGGAAAAACATTCATAAGTGCCAATGTTCATATAGCTATAAACTTTAAAAAAAATATCACAAATCTAGCTGTTGTACGTTCACAAATTCAGTTTTTCTTTAAGTGTCAGTCACTACTTTCTCGAAAAAGGTGCAATGCACTACATATAGCCCGTCTTAACACAAAGGCACATGTAAAAATCTAAGAAGTACAATTACTACAACGTCAAACGCAATTTCAACGCAGGTATGAGCTCCAATGCACCCTGCGTCTACCTTCAAAACACTTTGCAAAGTTCATTGCCAAAGCATGTATTGCCAGTGCTGTAGACTTTCGAACTACTTGTAATCTTCCTCTCAAAGTCTGACCCCACACTAAAGCTTCTCGTGTTTGCTTTACTCATACTACATTTCGTTATTTGTATGCGCGACTGGTTATTTCAAATACTTATTTTCGTTCTCGCGATGCTCTCAAGTACTTTCGAGTTCAAATTGTTCAATTTCAGCCACCCTTAGCGCAGTGCCATCATGCTACCAGTAGCGCAGACACACCCTCAATGTTCTCTTTGGCAAAGGTGTATTTCACAAGGACAATGGGAAACTGTAGCCTGTTTTTGCACAGCAACCATAGAAACTATAAGTAGCACGTTTGGTAATCATGTGTACCAAAGCACGCATGACAACAGGCTTGATAATTTTGTTATTAATGTGTGCTGTACATAATATGGATGATACAATCTCAAAGCATACATTGCGAAGGTGTTGAATACTGTCATGTCACCACCAACACTCCCCTATTCGTGAAAAATGTCTCTTTTCAAGCGAGGCTTGGGATAACTGAAACCGGCGAAGCTCGCTATGAAATTCCCCACCCTCAAAACGCTGTCCTCAATATAGCGTGTAGAGGCGCGCGGCCGCAAACAAAGAAAATCAGTAAGTTAGGCACGACCGTGTCAAGCATCGCTTGCCTTCATTTGCCCGAAAAGGTAAATGTATTGCGATGACTCTAACTACCTGCATTATGCTGCAAATTTTTTAACCTATAGCTTTCGTAACAAGGTGAACGTAATAAATGAAACAGCTATTCATTGAATTTTTCAAAACTTATATTTACTACAAGTAAGTGAGGAAAAAAAGCATACTTATTCATATAATGTTTCTGTGTTTTAGCGCACGACTATAGACCATTTACTAAGACTTTTGCACGAACAAAATAGCTCGTTATCTGGAATATTGCCTGATTATTCTGCTGCTTCGTTCATCTGTGGTCGCAGCTGCATGTGCATCATTAAAGTGTATGTTTTGTGCTCACTTGATAAGGCTATATTGTTATCTGCACGCTTCTTTTTCAGCTAACTATAGCATCGAGGCTCACCTTATCTTCTGGGAGCCCTTCAACTGCTTAATCATTCGTCATCCGTACGTTGACAATGGTAGGTGTCACTTGTCCCGTTTATAAGGAGGCAGTCACCAGGCTTATTCCAAAGGCTGACGTAACGGCCCCCCAAAACGCACCACGAAAGCGCGGACAAATTAATCGTGGTCCTGTTAGTGCGCCTGTCGTTCAAAGAACAAGGCGGTGCCGAGATTTGATAGCAAAACAAAAATGTGTACTCAAATAAGAAGAACAAAGAACACACAAACGTGCACACTCGACAGTTATCAAATACAATACGACACCACACACAAGAGACTGCAACACATGCAAAACAACGGGCACAAACAACAGCACGCGCTACAATGCGGTCTAATGCATTAGCTACCCAAGCACACTTATCGACTAGAACGTTCATCGAACGAAATCAGTTTAAAGTTCTTGGAACAAAGCTTGAATGCTTCTCTTCCAGGAAACATTCATTCTAAGTCGAGCGCCGGTGGTCGTCCCGCTGCATCCGAGGTTTCTCTTCCAGGAAACACTCGTGAACTGACCGCACTTCAATAACCAAACTTATTCGCCGGCAACACATCGGCCACTCCCGCGCTGCTACTTCAGGACACGTTTTCGCCCACTGGCGGAAAACACATACTTCATCTCCTACTTCGTCACTTTAGGCCAAGCCTTCGCCTGCTGGCGGAAAACCTCCCCTTCATCTGTTTCGACTGCCTCCACTGCTTGTTTATATACATTCGGCCTGGCATATCGAAGTTTCCAGGCTTTTCGTCGGCACGCCGCACAGCCAACGCTGGGGCAAGGGTGCGCCCCGGGACGCAACTTGCGAGTGACTCACTCGCTTCTTCTCGATAGTATTGCACAGGAGGGCAGGACGCCGCCCTATGTCAAAAAAAGAAAAGTCTTATCTGCGCATGCGCATGTGCAGTTATACAACTTGTCCATCGAGCACATGTGAGGTTCTACGCGAGAGAGAACTGTTTAAGCATTTCGTTCCGTCTAGCACGAAGGCTGGTTCACGCACGCACTTCTGATATGCCAGGGCATTAATGATTAAAGGTGTTTATTCATTGTCGTGCCTGAATAACGTGGGACATTCACCCGCTCTTAGAGTGTATCAACATTCTCGAGAATTCAACGAAAATATGAAATGGCGGGCCTCCGATTAATGACTTCTTGTGCTCCATCAATGTGCGGTTAACCTTGTAGCGCATCTGTCCCAAGTTGAAAAATGGCCACGGCTAAATTGAACATTACATACATCACCAGTAAAGAAGTCTGTAAAATCATCGGTGTATTTAAGAAAGCGAATATCTGTAAACATTTTATCTTCTACCTTCTCATTCATCCCTAGCACAGTGGCTCATATCTTGATATTTGGTAACTGAAAGGCCCTCAGTGCGCCAGTTCTGTTTATAACAATGTTAGTGCTATCTTGTTTTCTTCTTCTATGTGCGTCTTCAGACACCTTTTCTGCTGTTATGATGAACCATTACTACATATATCAACATTATGTCGTTCCTAGGCGCGACAAAATGCGAGAGATGCCCCGCCGCGGTGGTCTAGTGGCTAAGGTACTCGGCTACTGACCCGCAGGGCGCGGGTTCGAATCCCGGCTGCGGCGGCTGCATTTCCGATGGAGGCGGAAATGTTGTAGGCCCGTGTGCTCAGATTTGGGTGCACGTTAAAGACCCCCAGGTGGTCTAAATTTCCTGAGCCCTCCACTACGGCGTCTCTCATAATCATATAGTGGTTTTGGGACGTTAAACCCCACATATCAATCAATCAATCAAAATGCGAGATTGCCACAAATTCTCGACCCTGCTACGCTGATTATTATTGCATAAGTCATGTATAAAGCATTTGATCAAGACAGGAACATTTTTTATGTACGGTCGGCAGCGTCCAAGAAAGTGAAACGAGACACTAAATGAAATAACTCTACGACTGCGCAAAAAAAAAAAAAGTGTAGTTGTAAAATGCGATGCAAGTTGGTCGGTGCGAACGTGTCATAGTCCAGGCAGCACTGGCGTCATAAAACATTCAATTTCATAATGCAGGCCTTGGATGCTCCTACTGGCGCCACGTCGCTGCCCTGAAGAAGCCGGATGATTGCTGTCAATTCATTTACGCTGAGAACTGCGGGACCTCTCCGAGGTACCAGATCATTATACTGCTTGTAATCTGTGAACATTCGGGTGTTCGGCACCTTACCCATGTTGCTCAAAAAAATTGTTCAGTAGCTATATCTAAGTGGTCTTCACCTATTGGTGCAGAATCATGGAGGTCTACGTAAAGGTTCAAGTTTTAGGACGAGACAGTGAGCCGTAAAAATGAGATTTATAGGGGCAACGTCGATAGACAAGAAAAGAGCCGGGCTCGTGAACAAACGCGTTTTAGTACGTGGTCAAAATCAAGAAAGAAAAATGGGTATAGACCGGGCGTCTTGTAGCCAAAAAAGAAGATAACCACTGAACTTCAGTGAAGGAAAGGAAAAAAAGTTAGGAGGACATATACGATTACGAAGTTCGTGGGATAATGAGGCCGCGGCAAGGACAGGAATGGCTCAGAAGTGTTGTAGCTCTGGCGAGTTGGTCATCGATAACTTAGCTTGTATTCGCACAGTACATATAAAAGGGAAACAGGACACGAACACAAATAGAGGTATTACTTTAAATACCTTTCTTTACACGACGTAAAGAAACTCATGCATTTCTGTATACGTCTGTGTCGTGTTTCTTTTTATACGTACCGCGCTGATACAAGCTAAGCACAGAACTGTGTTACTTTGAAAAAACTTGTGAGAGGCATGCCATCTTTCACGGCCGTAGTCAGGATGACGTTGATGTAATTATTCCCGAGGTAGCGAGGAAGCTATCAAGCCCATTTGCCGGTACCCTCGCTACAGCGCGCTCAGGCTGTCGATAGGGACCGTGTTAGCACGCCTCACGGAACAGACCGTCAAATAATAAAGACCTAAAGTGTCACCAAACCTGATGTCTATCTAGGTTTTAATCAACCTTTTTTATGTGAGAGTGGTCTAACTGACGTATCGTATAGTGCCGTCACACACATTTACTCATTTGTGTTTCTCTTTCTTGATCGCCTACTCTTCTCTGAGCTCTTCTTTCCAGATCATCTTCCATACAATGTAAGATAGTGGTACAATGTCTGTGTGGTTTTAGGAGCGAAGCTCCTTAAGGCGTGGGCTGTGCGTCCCCTGTATGTAGCCACCTCTCGTTCAGTTCTAAGTATTACGCTAGCCACCGCCCGATCTAAAGGGTACAGCCATATGCATCCGTCCATCCGTCCATCCATCCATCCGTCCATCCGTCCATCCATCCATCCATCCATCCATCCATCCATCCATCCATCCATCCATCCATCCATCCATCCATCCATACATCCGTCCGTCCGTCCGTCCGTCCGTCCGTCCGTCCGTCCGTCCGTCCGTCCGTCCGTCCGTCCGTCCATCCGTCCATCCGTCCGTCCGTCCGTCCAAAAGATGCAAGATGTTATAAACTAGACGGCGGTACGTGTAGTTGATTATGAAAGATGCGAGGTGTTATAAAATAGGAATGATGCCACATATGGCGCGTGTCATCGTTCTATATAGTGCGGCGACGTACGCTAGGGGGAGCGTTGCAATAAAATCGAATGGGCAAAATGTACGGAGGATTCATGGTTTACCAGGTTTACCTCCGGAGCTTCGCCCACTCATCATCATTCACTTCGTGGATATGGCGGCATTTTTTTCTTCATCTGTGCCCCGTGTGTTTTTTGTGTGCCATTCATAACTATGAAACAACACCAACTGATCCAACTGTTAGTGCTATTAAAAACAGATATTTGAATTGTAATTAACCTCTTTCTCACTCAACCGCATTTCTCTCTCTCTCTTTACCAGGTACCAAATATATGATGACCTGTCGTGTTCTCCGGGACGCACATGCAGACCGCCAAGAATCAACTAAGAAGCGTAACTATTGTAAGCACAAAAGACACGCACGTAAGACGAGCGAAGGACAAGTGCAACTTTCGACTGAAGATTTAATAGAGGGAAAGACCAATTATACAGGTGTAGCCACCAGAAGGAAAAGCAACAAAACTATGCAAGATAAAAAAACAATCGAATAAAAGGTCCTATTATCAATATGCAGAGTTGATTCGCGTCAACACGTGCCAAAAAGGTATGCGAAGGCAGTGTTCAAAGTGAAGATCTAAAGACTACTAAGAAGCACACTGGAGGTGCCAACTAAGAAGAACAGCTGGATTCCACGTCGCCATATCACTTTCTCGAAGCATGACTTGCATAGTATTGCAAAAGATGCATAGATGTGGTGGAATAATATGCGAGCTAACGGGAGCTGTTTCGGTTTGGGCTTTTAATCCCGCGGCGGATGAAAGTGACAACCCGGCCATAATGCCGATCATGAATATTCCTCACTTACTCAAATTTAGTCGGTAATAGCGCATCTATAAGTTAGTATTCTACCCCACAAATTGGTCTTCCCAGCAACATGTGTCAGCCAACCATTCTGGTGAAAAGAAAAAAAAAACACCAGCGTGTAAATTTCCTAATCCTTTAGCCTCCTCTTCCGGCTTCAATTTATACCATGCACTCGGAGAACCGAGTGTAAGGCACAATTATTTCGCATGGTTGATTTTTAACTTTATGATTCTATCAAATCTTCAATTGGTAGTACAATTAGTAGTTCTTTTTTACTATTGATAGTTCGATAGTGACTTAAATATTGACAATATCGAAATCACTTTCGATAGTTATACATTGATACTTTGCGGTATGGTAATGTGCTCTGATGATATCAGCAACTGTTCCCAAAAGAATGTCAGGGCCAAGTGGCCCACAGTCCGAGAGCGCAAGCATGCATATATAATTTTTTTTTTGCATGTCCGGAAAATATTACTCCGTCTTCTATCTCATAGCAACCTCTCGTTACATCGTTTGCGTTGCTATTTGTTTCTGGCCGTGTTTCCAAGCAGAGTAATACACCTTACGGACCACGCGAGCCGGACAGAGTTCCCTCACAAAAGTACTTCAAGACGTGAAACTAATATTCAGTTGACAAAATTTAGTGCACGAAAATGTTATCACGAATTACTGTGACTAAAGTAGCACACATTCTTCGGAAATGTATCCGTGTAACTGTGTCTTTCGTGTCCTTCTTGTCTCTGTGTCGTCGTTTTGTTCTCGCGCTATCACTATCGTCATGCCATACCAACTAGCCCAAGCTGCCACACTTCTACGTGTAACTGTGATTGTCCAGGAGCACCACTGGCAATTTTTTTTTTTTACTGGGCGAGTGGTGAATGGGGAGGGGGGGGGGGGTAGATTACCTACGGTAGGTAAGTTTCTTCGGGAGTAGAAGCACCGGTAGTCTAGAAATTTCTGCGTAGTGTTCTCAATGTATGTTTGCTCTTGGAGGGGAGAGCGAACAGTGACAAGCAGAAAACTTGGGGGAGTTTGCAGTCACTCCCATTTTACTCCCCCCTCCCCCCGTGCCTCTATAGATTGAAAACAAATGATGGTTTAAGCTCTACATTCTCCGCATTTTGTGTGAACACCTTAGGCCTGCGTTCTCAACTTATCATAAATAGTCTTGCTTTATTATTTGTCATTTAGCAGATGCTGTCACCTTTACCTACTGATTTTTTTTTCCATGAAACGTAGGATATTGCAGTAATGAAAGTACAAAACACTAAAAACACGAAGTCGTCACGGTGGCGCACTGGTTGTGTTTTCCGGATGTTGACTCGAAAGGCGCGAGTTTGATCCCCGATCGCAGCAGTCATTATTCAACGAAGACATGAGGAGAACACTTATGTACATAGATACAAGTGCTTGTTTGATAATTTCGGGAGATCGAAATTTCCTAAGCCTCTCACTACGACATCTGTCATGAGCTCAGTGAGTGTTCGGCACGTAAAATAACCACATTTTATTACTGAGCTTTCAAAAACACCTCACGAAGGCACTCAACGTGAAGTCAATTCACGTAGTCTTGTAACTCAACGTTCATTCTTGATTTGTGGGGTTTAACGTTCCAAAAATCACGATATCATCATGAGAGATGCCGTAGTGGAGGGCTTCAGAAATTTCGACCACCCTGGGTTCTTTAACGTGTATCCAAATCGGAGCACACGGGCCTACAACATTTCCGCCTCCATCGGAAATGCAGCCGCCACATCCGGAATTCGATCCCATGACCTGCGGGTCAGCAGCCGCGTGCCTTCGCCACAAGACCACCGCAACGGGGCAAAATTTTTGGTTTGCTACCCTGCACTGGGGAAGGGGATAAAAAAGCAGGGACAAAATAACAGACGAATCGTTAAAGAAAGAAAAGGAATCACGCACACACTCAAGCACAGGAGTGAGAGGAGGTAGCATACGCAGTAACAATAAATAATGTAATGAACCTTCTCGCCAACCTACAAAAAGATTTCTGCAATTAACATGGTTTCCCAATGCCTCCGTCATCAGCCAGCCTTTCAGCGTGAAATGATACAAGGTTACGCCATGGTGACGTCACAACTTTTGACAATCTGTAACATCGTAGTCACGGACGTCGTATTGTTTTATCATGACGTGATGACGACCTTTTTGTATCACTCGTTTAGCGCCACTGGGGGGAGAATATTCAAGCCTAGAGACGCATCTTAAGTTCTTGGCTCAATAACACGGAAATTGCGTGTGATTGAAGACGCTGAGCCAGAAAATACTGGTTTTTGTGGTAGGCCTAGAAGGCACGCCACTCCAAGGTATTGTCAAGGACGAGGTTGGCATGAAGAGCCAAATGACTTGTCAGATTTTGACATGACCCTTCAGTCTTTAATGCATCTCCTCTATGGTGCTTTCTTAGCGGTAGTATAAAAAAAACCTTTCGAAAGTTTTTTTTTTTCACTGGCTAAACAACTATGTCCAGGCCACGGAGTAATTGGCAGGCTTTCGCAATAGCCAAGGAGCCGGTGTCTGCTTCGCCTACAATGGACAGCGGTTGTCGTAGAAGTAGTACTTCGGTGACGTGCCGCAGTTCTGGGCGCAGATGAAGTCACAGCAGTCAGTTAACCTCGTAGAAAGTGTCTATGCGACGCCAGTAGCTGCATCCGTAGCCTGCGTAATCGAAGTATTTGGTAAGCTCGACTATTAGACGAACGAGACTGGTACAACAGAAACTAGCTTATGTCTCGCTCCCTCAATTTCGCATTTTTGGAAAGTGAGTAACGTACAGATTTCTCGCTATCAGTAATGATTTTAGACGCTATGTTTAGCCGAAACAAGTACATGTCAATGAAATGTATGTGTTTACATGAAAACTTAGAATAATATATTACGTAATAATGATGAAACCCTTGCTGTTGCCTAGATGAAAACTGATCTAGCAAGTGGACTGCTAAGCAGTCCATAGATGTAAATTGGTGAGCACAATATTATGCAGCTGTGCTCAGAAAGTTAAGCAAATGTTAGTCCTTTGTTTCACAAACAGCGGACAAGGGCGATGTTTTTGCGTTTCCACTGCGCCATTTTGTTGCATTTTAAACTTCACTTTGTGTAACGAGGAACATATTCGGGTCGCAGTTCAAGCGTGATGAGACATCAGTTTAGTGCCCGAGACTCGCTGACGACTGCTGATGGTCAATCATAGCGATGAAAAATTTAACCGCGACAAGTACAACAGAGATTAAAACACAGCACTTAATATTGTGTAGAGGTTACCCACCATGATTGTCTAGTGGCTAAGACACTCAGCTGCTGACCCGTAGGTCGCAGTATTGAATCCCGGTCGAGGCAGCCAGGACTCGACTCCTGATCTTTCAAATTTCCGGAGACGTCCACTACAACATCTTTCATATTCGTATGGTGGTTCTTGGACGTTAAACCCCAACAATTAACTAATAATGCTGTGTAGTGGTTGGCGATAAAATGTGTACGACATAGGAGCAGTTTTCGACAAGATAGCAGTCTGTGGGCCTAGACAACATCAGTTTAATGTATCGTATTTCACGTCCCGAAACCACTATATGATTAGGAGTGGCGTCATAGTGAAGGGACTCCGGAAAATTTGAACTATCTGGTGTTCTTCAACGCCTCCTGACTACATTCAGTAAACTTGCCCCTAGCTCCGCCTTGGTCAAAATGCGACTGCCACGAACTGCATCGAACCCGCGACTTTCAAATGAGCAGCCGAGAGCCACAACTGGTCCGCTGAAGCGGGCGGCTTTAGCAGCCTGTCGTGAAGTGGAGTGTCATCTAGTGATGCTGGCTAGCTGTTCTTCTACAGTGGGTGAGTGTAGTTATCTGATCTGTGCGCCATACATCGAGAGTTAGAGGGCTGGATAAATCTATATTTGCCACCTGTAGCAATAAATATCGGGAAATTTCCACAAGGTATAATTTTTTACTACTCCACATATAGAGTAAAAAATTATAAGGGAAGGAGAAATCGCAGAGAAAGGGAGGAAGAGATTTTAACCAGTCCAGGAAGGCCGGTTTGCTATCCTACACGTGGGAACGGGAAGTGGGAGATCTAAAGAAGTAGAGAAAAGAATGAAAAGAGTGGAAAGTGCTTATGGTATGAAACGTTCGAATATCCCACTTGAATGAACGCAATAATATATTTAACTGCAGAGCAGCTCACTCACCACCTGCTGCATAAGGATGACGGAGGATTGAACAAGACCTGCAGTCAGTGTACAGAACTTGAAAGTCTCCCGAGGTAGTAATATCTGAAAGAGCAAATGAGTGCATTTCGGACCAACTACGGCCAAGAAATTGAGCCTCTAGCTCTACACTCAGTCTTATGGTTCATTAACCATTGTTCAGTGTAGATATGTACAGCTGCCACAGTTAATGTCCAAAAAAAAGAAAGCACCTCTACATACTTCTTGAAAAGGGTACACACAAAGTTTTTGGGAGGTGTGTTTACACTCACGTACAATTTTTGGTATACTGAGGCAGCTCTGAGCAAGATTGAGCATCAGCAAATGCTGGTAAGATATTTTATTTTCATATTGAAGTCAATTTTCCCGTGGCGCATTCACGAACATCGACACTAGCTTGACGTCAAGCACGCCTGGCTACAGTACCAACGCCTCCTAGATTTCCCGTGCCTGCCGGATGAGTGCGAAACGCCGGTCATCTATGGCAGCGCTGCCTACGTATAGGTAAGGGTCTTTGTACTTGGCCTTTGAGATCGGCAATTTTGGCGTTTGCTACTAGTTTCAGAAGATGCCCTGTATTAAAAAGTCGCTTGCTGAATGACGGCGTCACTTACATAGGGTTAATTATAACTACGTTTATGTCTTTTTAAAACTTTTTTACGTTATTTGTGTTGCATATAAGCTCCAAAACGTAAAACACTATTTGAAAACACCCATACTTGAGTGGCGCCCCTACCGTATTTCCGACGACCGCCGCTTTCCAAGCGACCGCCGACAATCCGGCAGGCACGGGAAATCTAGGAGGCGTGTACAGTACAAATTTAGGTGACTTTACGCAGAAGTTTGGCTAGTTGCCATGGCGTGAGGCACCAAGTCTTCCGAACTGACCCCTCGTGCGTCGCTAAAATATCCAAAATTGCCGCTTGTGCTTCACCAATGGTGCCACCATCCCGAGTGGCCGGGTAAACGTCACGATATCTTCGAAGCGCACTTGGCGGGAAGCTAATGCTGTGTCGTGACTGCAGTATATGCAAATTGTTGAATAAACATGGATAAATCAGCAACTAAGCAGCCTAGTAACATCGCCTTAGCTTACCGGATTTCCACATCCCAACATTACCTTGACGATAATTGATAGGATAAAACAGGAAAAACACTACTTTAAAACACAAACACAATAAAACGTTCCTGCGAATCATCTCCTCATACTTACTGTCGTATCGCACATATGTGACTGTGTCTCTAGCCGTATAACAATCAGAAGGCGTCATGCTGAACTGCCCACGTCTGAAATGCATAGAAGAAAAAGAAAGGTATATATTTCCTTGCTGATGAGTGTATCCCCATTATTCTGATGTCCTGCGTTATCATCAACATCTCCATGAAATAATATTATGCTAAATATACTAATGATGTATTACTGTGGCGGAGAAGATATGAAACAGTTCAGTGAACGGCATAAGAAATATGACATACATACATACATACATACATACATACATACATACATACATACATACATACATACTATACATACATACATACATACATAATACATACATACATACATACATACATACATACATACATACATACATACATACACCATACATACATACATACATACATGCATGCATGCATGCCATACATACATACATACATACATACATACATACATACATACATACATACATACATACATACATACATACATACTACATACATACATCATACATACATACATACATACATCACATACATACATACATACATACATACATACAGACATACATACATACAGACATACATCATACATACATACATACATACATACTACATACATACATACTCATGTCATCCCGCACCTCCACACTCTGTAAGACAGTTGCAGCGTTGGAGTCTCGACGGCGTTTATTAGGCCGAATCGTCTGATCAACGCTTCGAACGAAGACGACGTTTTTCGTGATGATGATTATATACATATGAAGAAGATGAAGGTCAAACGCTTTGAATATTGTGCTTACAGTACATACATTTTTGTTAATAGACCTGATGGTCAGCTTGGGAGCGCTTTTCATATTAACAAGTAAATGAAGTAGCAAGTCTGCATAAAGCAAAGCAAGAAAGCTGCCAAAAATTCAACATATTATATCTAAAATATTCAAATGTATTTGAAACAAGTGATTTCTTCCCGATGACCTATAATACGGCATTCCCTGCTGGAGATGACAGTGATCTTACATCAAGCCTTCATGGCCGATGACAAACTCCACATTAGCGGTGTAGTTTTCGAACGAATACATTCCGAATGTTCAAAACTTCACACATTCTTTTTCTCCGCTGAAATCTGGATCCGCGTACTGGTTCCTGAACATGAGATGCCATTCTCCAACATCCGGGTAACACTGCAGAAGATAAAAAAAAAACGAGGCATGAGCAAGCATGGATATCTGTGCCCTTATGAGCAAGAGAAAAGCTTTATCAGCAAAAAAAAAAAACAACAATGGATCCTTCTATCTTTGCGATGTTTTCCCAATGGTCATTTAACTATTACTTTTTTAAAACTTACTTTCCGTTGAAATGTTTGTCAACTGCGTACGTACGAGACGATTTGAATAAAGTACCGGCCATTATCTTAAAGGCGGAGCTCAGGCGTATTCCAGGTTGTTTTTTTTTTTCACGACACGCTCACAGCTGCGTTTAAGAAGTCGTAGTTTTAATGGAGGTCAGTTTTTTCAGCTGGTCGAAGAAAGACTTTTTTCAAATCTTTCAACATTTCACTGTTTCAATGTTTCAACGTTATATAAAACAGCCGCTCTACGCTCATTTCAACTTATTTCTCCGAAGGCAATTATAACAAGACGCTGACCACGATAAAAGCAACTGAAAGCTTTAGTTTTATTGTAGTCAGCGTCCTTTTTTCATTGTCTTTATGTCTGTTGCTCACAAGACGGGTTTCCTTCCAACTATCAAGTTCAACTTTTTTTGTTTTCTTTGTTCCGTTTTGTTTTAAAGGACTTGGTGCAGAGAAGATGAAGTTTATGATACTTCGGCTGCGGTATTTTCTGTTTGTTAGTCACACATCTTGTGTTCGACATTATAAAATTTTGCGTCCTTATTACTCCTTTTATTCGATGCGATGTCTTGTAAACTAGAAAGAGTAACCGGTGCCCCCATAAAGGCACCAGCCCTTTCTATTCATCATTTAAATTTCAAAAAGAAGATGGCATTGTGTTATGTTTTGTGCAACAGGTTCCAGAACTCGCATACACTTCATAACAAGAAGTTAATAACAGAAAAACACTGTGAGCTGGGCATCGAACGTGTACGAAAATTACGGAGAGCAACGGTTGTTGATTGCGAGCAGACATGCACTAACCCTTGCGCTATCTTGCTAACGTTGAAGATCGCTCCTTTGTTCTGGGTAAACTATAGCCGTGCAGAAAGCGGTTCGAAGCAGGAGGAGCAAAGCAAACATTCTAGTGGCTTTCTGCACCATGGGCGCCGTGTCTTTCAGCTTGAGATACCGTGTCCGATTATTAACATCCTGCCTCTTAAACGCCAAGAGGACGGAAGTTGGATTCGATGCGTTCGATTGTCGTCCGTACGATGAGACGTAAATCTGTCATTATTTCGGTGCTGCGCTCATTAGCTCGGCAATATTCATGAGCTTGCGAGAGCGATACTTCCGGCGTCGGTACTGAATGGCTGTCTGTCAATTTGAGATTCAGAGCAGCTGCGCTTGGTCTCACAGAAAACAAGTCAGCTTTATTGAGGCGAAAACATCAGCTTTATTGAGGCGAAAGCCTCAAATGCCTCCGGAAGTACGAAAATAGACAGTCGGCGCCCGTGGGGTCGGGGAGGAGCGAACGAAAAATCACGAGCTGATAATGTCACAATATGACGACATCACGACGTCACGAATAGCCTAAACTTGTGACGTAACCTGACGTAAGGTCATACCACCACATCCGTTGAAAAACGGTGCAAAAGAATATCGCAAAGGTGGATTACTTGGTTTGGGTTCACAATGATTGAATTATATAGGGCAGTGTTAGGACGAATACGTCAACGATAAAAAAGCAAGAGGAAGGGTGATTAAATTATTATCCGGTAGATAGAGTCAGTCTATTCAAATGAAGAAGAGGAGGTCGATAGAAGAACTTCATGGTGGGACGAAATTTAGTCTTTTTCTCTGCTTTTCGATGCCATGAAATTCGCCAGAAAGGGCCTTCAGATGTGAGACTGACAAATTCTCGACCACATCTGAAGCCTGGAAGCCTTTACGACGCCGCCGTTTGGTGAAGTTGATGTGCGAGGTTTACACATGCGGTGACCGAGATTGCGAAGAATGGCATCCGGACAACGCCTGGAACTTCGCCATTTAGAAATGCTGTATCCCACTTAGATGCCGACATTGTGTCGCGACGCTGCCGGCCAGTGATTTCTTTCGTTCCCTACACTGGATCAGATCGTGGAGGCCCTGCTCGAAAGGCGGAGTCAAGTACTGGAGTCATACACGCGAGCGATCGCGAACTTCGAAAGTCTTCCGCATTTAGATTGACCATCAATAATCGAGTGGCCGAAATTCTGCGAAAATAGACTGAACAGTATATGCGCTTCTCAGATGAATAGACAGAGTTAAAATACGCAGTTAATATGGATTTGTATGTGGGGCTTAATGTCCTAAAACCACCATATTATGAGAGACGCCACAGTGGAGGGCGCTGGAAATTTCGACCACCCTGAGTTTTACCGTGCACCCAAATCTGAGCACCTGGCGAAAAATTGTTTTTAGAAACTTGGCTGGGATATGAATGTATATTGCTGGTATCCTGATTGGCGTTGTATAATGTGATGTGCATTGCGCCTGCGTGTGCCTGTCGGCTGTGTATGTATTTTGATACACTTCTGAATGAAGCTTAGCCGCGAGTCTCTTGCGTGAGGTGGTTTCATTTCTCGCCTGGAAATTTCTTCATTTGCTCACCCCCTCTAACATTCTACTGTGCTCGATTTCGTTTCACACCCACTGGCATCAATATAATCATTCGACCAAAGTTGCAAACTTTTTTACATTCACTGTGACAAATATCGAAACTGCAGATCCGCCACAAATTGAATAAAAAAGTGAATAGCTAAATATATGAATAAATAACAGTAATCAGAGTAGTATTCTGCTAATATAGGTTGTTTTACGTTTCAAAATACAATACAAATAGGTAGCATGCTACAGTTGAGGGCTCCGAAGATTTAACATTAGGTGTTCTTAACACGCACTGACATCGCATGGTAGACGGGCCACCATCGAGATGTGATCGCCGCGGCTAAGATTTCATTTCTAGACTGTAACTACTGTACCATGGAGGTTTACCCAAATTTAATTTTACATAACGAGACTTTGTTCGATGAAACTTGCACAGTGACACGTTTATTTACACGTGTAATTAAAGAGTGTAGGTATTGCTGCTCGCTCTTAAGCATGCTCAGGCCGGTATTCGGGTCAATGACCAAGCACCATAACTTCGAGGCAACCGTGGCGGGTGTACGTAATCAAGATATCGCATTTGAACAAGTGATGTTATCTTGGAAGTATCAGTACCGTGAAAAAACATTTCGGGGTGTTTTTTTTTGTCTTTTGCTTCATAAAACAACGAACTTTGAACAAAAGAGATTTCATAAATTTCCCCCAGTCTGAAGTAACACCTGCTGTGAGCTGTATTTCTTTTGACGAAAATTTTCTGAATCTTTTTATTATTGTTTATTTCGTGTGGAACAAATTAAACTAACATTGGTTGTTCGAAGAGCCTTTTCAACATTAAAAAATGAGAGCATACTTATTATTTTGAGCGTCCTTTGTCTTCATCAATTGAAGAAACGCGTTATGAGTCTTGCAATATTTTTTTATACTTCCGGGCGTCCCACAAAAAGAATAGTATACATATCCTCGCCAAGCTCACAGCCACATAAGCGTTCTAGTTCCAATTGTTTCAATTAGCCCCTCACTTGCTCAATATTATGCTGCATCTGGGGCCAAGAGCTGCTTTCGAGAAGGTGTGGTATACTACATTTTTCGTTCTCAAGAACGTCTACTGCTAAAAATAGAATATCCAAACTGCAGAACCTGTTTCCCATTTTTGCAGCACAAAGCCTTTGGTATATAATATTTCGATATTTATTGTCGAGTTATGTGGAGCAAACAGGGCTGTTCAATTCACCAGAGGTCGCTAGGCTTTAACATTTCTGGTCGAAGCACATGTTATTGAAAACTTCAAATTCAGTTATCCAATGGAGGCTCTTTAGGAAAACTTGCGGCAAGCAATTTTTTTTTATTTTGTGCTTCAAAATGAAAAGGTGGAAAAATATACAGGACTGCTATGTTAGTATAGAAAAAATAACGAGACGTTTCTAAAGAAAAGTTGCAACATTTCTGCTGGATATTTTAAACTTACTGATGCGAAGATCAATTAAGCAATAAACATTAATTACCGACACTTTAGAATATGCATAGCCAACATATTTGAACGTCTCAGACAAATACACAACACTTGCACTGAACATTTTTTGCTAGAGTTGTTATATTAGAAATTTGAGGAAGTAAGATTTGTTAGTTAACCATCCTGGCATATTCGAGAAATATTCTGAATCGCTGCATAGAGAACAGTGCAATATTGGCACCATTCGACACGAGTGAAGTATGTTTTTTGTAGTATCAGACGCAAGTGGACTGAAACACTGTGCATGAGGTCAGTGATTAAAAATTGGGCCTATGCTGTTCCTGTTGTTGGTGCTGACTGTGACCCAATCTGTTCGTCTGAGGAAGGATACACAAAGAGCTAATGCCATCTGTTTATTGTGGACGCAGTTATGAAGCTAAGTCTAACTTGCCTGGGAGCCATTCTCTTGCTTCCGGAAGTCCTGGCACACAATACGTCATACGTCAAGCGAAAGTGTGGCAAATGTGAGTCAATATTTTGCTGGATATGCCTAAGTATCTGTTGAAGAGCATGGAATGAATTGCGGTGGATTAAAAGACACCGACAAAACTCACATCGCAAGAAACCTATAATCCCTAGATTGAGAAATCAAGTGGCCACGTCTGAACGTACTAATGTGATAGCATTGAAGAGCTTGTTCCGCGAAAATTCCGGTGTTGGCATTGGTGTGCGCATCGCTGGTTGTGAGCGAAAAGTCATCAACTTGTAAGTAAGGAAAAACTTGAGGATGATCCTAATAACCTAAAGAATCAATATTTCTAGGTCCGAGTGAGGATATAACCCAGGCCACCTTTGTGGCGAGCAAAGTGTTTCACCACGAAGCCATCATATTTGTTGAAACTGCTTTGGGAAAAAAAAGGTTAACATAAATGTCACGTACTTGAGGGAGTTTCCTTAGCGCATCATACATTGCGTGGCGGAAGTGTAGAATTGCGCCAGGTGTCCAGAAAGGTGAATTGAGACGGGTACAGGTGTTTTCAAAGCTCACCCTCTGCAAGACACTCATACCTACTAAGTGATAAGTTAAGAATCACCAACAAAGTCAACAGCTTCGTAGACATGTCGCCGGACACATAGTGGGCCATTCGCTAACTCGCAAAACGAATAGTTATGGCATAGTGGGTCCTTAACAACTGTGCTTGAAATAGACATTCAATTGCGCTTTGAAACAGCACCAATTACACGCACAGTGATTTGCCTTCTTACGGCATGGTTGAGGCATGCACCGAGAACCTAAGCAGGCTAGCAGTTCAGCGGGTGATGCACACGAGGCTCGAATATGCTATCGTGACCAGCTCTTAAAGGAGAAGCTGAAGCGTCCTCCAATTGATGGTATTGGTAGCGCCACCGAAGTTCCCGAACACTATAAAAACATGATCGAGTTTAAAGGGTGTCTTTTTGTCCCACCACAATAATCATCACCCCGCTTGCCTGCACTGCCTTTCGTGAAAACTCGGCACTGGCCGCTTTCCTTGTAGAGTGATTAGTCACGCCGATAAAACACACGTGGTTCATTACCTGAAACTGCCGGGTGTGTGGCGATAATGAAGGGGAAATAATGCAAGACAGATGATGATTGTTACTCGATAATTTATCAGAGTAAACGTTGAAGTCAAGGAGCTTCGCGCGGTAGTTTGTAAAAAGGAGCGTCGACGTTTGTCAGTAAGAAGGAGCTTCGCGCTTCAGTCCGTAAACAGTTTCGCGTTACAGTCCGTAAGAAGGAGCTTCGCACGATAGTCCGTATGAAGTAGCCGCGCGCTTCAGTACGTAAGAACGAGCTTCGCACGATAGTCCGTAAGAAGAAACCTCGCTCGAGAGTTTGTAAAAAGGAGCATCACGCTTCAGTCCATAAGAAGGAGCTCCGCGCGATAGTCTGTAAGAAAAAGCTCCGCGCAATAGTCCGTAAGAAAAATCTTCGCAAAATAGTCTGTAAAAAAGCTTCGCACGATAGTCCGTAAGAAAGAGTTTCGCGTGGTAGTCTGTAAGGAAGAGCATTGTGCGATAGTCCGTAAGAAGGAGCTTCATTAAATAGTCCATAAAAAGGAGCTTTGCGCTTCCTTGAAGGATCTTTGCGCAATAGGCCGTAAGAAGAAGCCTGGCGCAATAGTCTGTAAGATTTTTTGCTTTTACCGTAAGAAGGAGCTTTGCATTTTGGTCCGTAAGAAGGAGCGTCACCCGTTAGACCGTAAAAAGAAGCTTTGCCCGTTAGTACGTAAGAAGGATCTTCACGCGGTAGCCCCGAGAAAAGGAGCTTCGTGCGGTAGTCCGAAAATATCAGCGTCACGTGGTGATTCGAAAAAAGGAGGCTTTGATAGACTCCAGAATTGAAAACGGTGCGATCACGGCGTGCAGACAATTGGAGCAAATCGTACCATGCTGTCGTATGCTCGTGAGTTTAACGGTGTTCCACGTTGTACGATGTAAATCTAGCGCGAAAGCACAGAAAAGAGTTAGAAGCACTCATCAGAAGTGCTGAAAAAGACCTGTGTGCAAAGTTTTTGCAACAAAAGATGACCACGCTACATATAGACGAAAAAAGCAAAAAAGTGGCACGTGATTAAGTACAAGTATTTTTAGCGTGTGTGAAAAGTACTGAACACGTGTAATTATCGTATATGCATGCCGTGTGTCATCTTTTTTTTTGTTTTCGTTTATAATTTTTGTTTATATAATACCTCTTGCAATCAACATGGACACATTAGTTATTTGCCCCTTGTGTTACCTGCCTTTTCATCTTGGTCCCACTTTCCTGACACTTTTCATAGGAATGTCTCCTGTATTCTGTAGTTCGTATAAAAAATTAGATTTGAATTTTGAATGCAAGACATTGGTGGTTGTGGACCCCATTCGTATTTTGGAGGGTCACTCGAACAATCTTTGTAGCTCTTTGCTACACGAAACCACTTCAACACCAAATGCTCCTGCCAAGCAATTTAGCCTGCTTTCGTGCTATACACAGGAATTATCATCATTGAGTGATTTTTATTCTTTCACAGTGACTGAAACCGCAATAGCCTGCTTGAATACTACAAGTGCAGAGGGACTACCTTCCAACATCAAGAGAATAGTAAGTAAGAAAACTGTTACATGATGTAATTCCCGCTTTTCAGAAACAACTTTGATGAATTGTTTGAGTGATGTTTGCGGTTTAATGTCTCAAAACCACCATATGATTATAAGACACGCCGTAGTGGAGGGCTCCGGAAATATTGACCACCTTGGGTTTTTTAACGAGCACCCAAATCTGAGCCCACGGGCCTACAGAATTTTCCCCTCTATCGAAAATGCAGCCGCTGTTGCAGGGTTTCAATCTTGCAGGTCAGCGGCCGAGTACATTACCCACTAAATCACCATGGTGGGATCACAAAAAACTTTGTGAAATGACAAATATTATATACCAATAGTGCTAAATGCTACATCATGAACATAATGTCGTAAGTGCAAGCGTTGAACGTATAAAACATATAAGTAAGAATATTGGCTTATACATTCCACCTAGTAGTGATTCGAAGAAATGATGTGTTCCCATGAACTATTGGTGTGCAGATTGTAGCAGTTGCCAAAGGCACGTGAGCGGCAAATGCAACTTACAACATGACTTGATAGCTAATATTCGTAACGTGGGATATGAAAAAGTAGAATTTTATTACTTTACAAGTTAGTGTAATATATTTTATTAAAATACATCCTTCTAAACACACAAAGAAATCACCTATTAGAGCTAAGCTGTTTGTACTGAGCTGAAAGATCGAAACAAACTATTCAATATGCTATTCGCACTTCGCGACACCTGGTTGTAATTTTATGCTTCCACTACGCCATACCACTTCTGTCGCAGTCACACTGGCATGTTTCACATAGTTTTCTCCGACCTGTATAGTAAAAACGCCACGCAAATCACGCTGCTGACGTGGGAGGGGGGAGAAGGCTGTGTCCAGCTCAGCTGCCAGGAATGAGGAGAGCCTCGTGGAGCAGGCGCGGATTTCAGACTATTCCAACGGAGCCTCAGAAGAGGGACTTACCCAATGATCTCTTGTACTAATTCCAGCATACCATTTCCTGCAGTAAATGCTTTATTCATTCATTCATTCACTCATTTCCCGACATGGAGCTTGCAGGGCCCTTCGCAGAGAAGTTTCAAGCCAATAAAAGCGATGCTTGGGCATGTCGGTACGACATAGCGAAAATAAAACAGCACGAAAGACGAAACGCCAGTAAATAGAAGGCACAAAGAATGCTGACTGGTAACAAAGGCTCTATGTCTCTAATTTCTTCTCATTTTATAGTACACCAAGTATTTCTTTCGCGGTGTTGATGAATAAGCCTTCTTTTAAGTCAGCGCTGTCGTTTCGTGTTTTTCTTTATCTGGTGCTTTCTCTTTCGCACTGTTTTTTTTTTCGCTATAAAATTCAAGCCCAGGCGTTATACTGTAGTAGAACACTAGACTGTCACGCCGAGAGCTCGGGTTGAAATCCCAACAAATCCTGGATAGTTTTTTTTTTATTTTGCTGAGTAGAAATTACTAGCACCAGCGGTGGCAGGGGCAAACAACTGCGCCACCAAAAGCAGCTTTTATTATAGTATCATAACAGCTTTCGCACTAAAAGGTGTCTGTTCTCACATCTTATATATTTTTATGGAATAAAACGAAATAATGCATATTTTTGTGGCAGCACACCTGTAAAAAAGACTTTCTGTGCTGCACCTAATCCTTCATGCCGGAAACGAGAACCTCCACTGCACTTCCGTAATATTTGTGAGCGACAAACGGTAGCCACTAGCCTTGGAATGGGGCAAAGAGTGTCCCTTATGGAGAACTACACATCATATTTACACAATTGCAGATCGACCAATTTTGCCTAGACTCGAAATCCGAAGTTCGAGGACCAACTTTACATCAAAACTGAAGCTGAATTTGGCTGCAAGCTCAGCTTATAATCCAAATCTAAACAAACATAAGATCAGGCACACTGTGGAATGGTTAAGTTATTATTTTTATGTGCTGGCTCCACCGTGTTTGCGTGAAAATTAGGAAATGAAAAGCACAAAATAGGGCGCAGGACAACTGTTGTCCTTTTCGTAATTTAACTGAGTTCATATTCGTTCAATATACGAAAATGTTCAGTTTCCTTGGATGTGGATGCTACTAACTATAAGAAGTGCAAGCACTCGTACAAACAAAACAGATGTCTTTCATGTTTCGACCTGCGATCAGACTTCTTTTAAAATGTCGCGTAAATGTTTTTTGTTTTGTTTTTACATGTGCCTTTTCTTGTTGGTTGATATATGCATACATATACATACACATTTATAATAATTGTCAGATAAAAGCCCATGATGAAGCCGATGAAATATACGAAAATGAACATTAACGCCATTTAAAAGGTTAATGCGTTTACTAACGAATTTTTTGTTTGTTGCACACTATTGACGTTGCTAATGCTGACTACTGCCAAGGTTTACTTTATAGGGAGCAGATTTAGTCTACAGTGGCTCTTTATTGATGTACTATCAGCGTCCAATGAAACCCGAACAGCGGCTAGCCTTTGCGATAGCGTAGTGCGGGCCGTCCAGTTATCACTATTGGCAGGTACGCACATCCTGTTCGGCAGCTCTGCGCATATATGCGTGCTTGTCAATGGTGATAAGTGAACGGCCCGCATAATACCATCACGAAGGCTTGCCGCTGGTCGGGTTTCATTTGACACTGATAGTACTGATGAAAGTCATTCGTAATTTTATGATTGGTGGTAGCAGTAGTACGGGTACTACTAGTATCAGTAGTACTAGTACAACTAGCACTAGTGCCACTAGCACTAGTACTACTAGTGTTAGTACTGCTATTACTGGTACTACTAAGACAACTAGCATTAGTACTACTAGTACAACTAGCACTAGCACTACTAGTACAACTACTGCTACTACTAATAGTACTACTAACAGTACTAGTATTATCAGCATAGTAGTAGTAGCAGTATTAATTGTCTGTATGTTAATTGCCAAATTAACATATGTATTCACATATACGGGGGTGTTCGTGCTTGTAGTCAGGTCTGCCTAATGGAGTCATTAATATTTTTTTTCTCTCGTAATCTTCCTAACAGATGAGGAGAGATGGTTTCAACAAAAAGGTACTGAGCTGCTATTACGGAAATGAAAACGTTGCAAGTGCCAAGAGTATGTGCCAAGGCCCTAAGTCGGTAAGTGCTTTCAGCCTACTACACTAAGTTTGCTGGCAAAAAAAAAAAGATTTCAATAAGCGTGCCAGCAACGCAGAAAGTGCTTTGGACCCCTGAGTACAACCTCAGTGGGGGTAAGATTGTTCGAGAGGGAATGCCCAGAAGTAAGTCTCCTTCCTTGTTCGACTCCTTACACGAACACGCGAAACATTGAGGTAGAAGGCATGTGCCACGAGCAGCACGATAGAAAATCAATTATATTTTTGAATATCACAGTACAATGTGGTCAGACCTGGTGCGAGGGCGTGCCAGGGTTGACTAGAATAGTGAGGGCCACGTCACTGGCTGGAACTTCGCAAAAAAAAAGTATAAGGACGTAATACCGGGTGAGAAATCACATTAACATGTGTAACATTGGATAAAAGAAGAGAAAAATAACACCCGGCGTCACACAACGCGTATTGCGTCACAGACACGTTATTTTAGGCTCCTTGATGATGCTTAGGGTTCAGCTACACCGCTTCGTAATCATCCACAGCACCAAAATAGTGTGCGGCTAGGCAAGTGTGCATAATTCCTGACAGATGCGAAATGGCTACCTCGCTACACCAATATATGACTAATCATGTCGTATATATATAGTACTTCCCAACTTCGCAAAATCGTAACCTTGGATATCAGCCTAACAATTTTGCCTGTCGGCGTGATTACAGTGTTCTGATGTATCAATTTAATCCACTTACTTTTCCATCTCCATGTGCAGTTACAACTCCTCATGACTTGCATGAAAACTACATTATTCTCTGTTAATATCGGGGTAAGTACGGTTTCGGTATTATGCTGTGATGAAACCATTTTACAAAACGAACAAAAAGCTGGACGATATAACAAAAAGAATTGCCGCAATAGATGCGTGTATGCACCACGTGTCGGAATGCAACTGTTCAATCTCACAGCTGCATTTGTAATAAGTTATTCATTACTGAACAATTACAAGCAAATGTTTTTGTTTTAGCCTATTGAAAGTATTCGTTACGCCCATCATTCATATTTTTACTTTTATTAGATATTTGTTATAAGAAACTCTTCCCGCACAAACACGATGTTTTATACGACAAATGTTTCACTATGGCACAGTTAACAGAGCTGTCTGGACGTTTTATTCTATACCGAGGCAAGTGAATGTACGCGACGTCTTTATTATGTCATACTGAATTTATTTTCTAGATGCCATAGCTTTCTACTTGTGATCAAATAAAGGTGCGCCAATCGTTTTTGAAGACAGTTGACTAAATTCAATAAATTACATTCAACTAAATTCTGTTGAAAAATATGCATGTCTTCAGACAAGAAAATTATTCAGCTCACGTACCTTCAGACGAGTAGATTTCTGTTTCAGTACGTGTGTTTTCGTTGGCCATGAAAAAAACAAATGTTTTCAAGCTTCACGGAAAAATGCATAGTTTTATTTTCACCCTGCTGCATAGGAGATGTTCTTAGAAACAGTAATGAAATAATAGTAATAACTATCTATGTTATTCAACTTAGCCAGAGCTACTTCCTCTTTCTGTAAATTGATAATTTTTAGATTGTTGATCACCAATACGCTCTCTAAAATCGCGCAAATAGGAGCAGAACATCAGCGAAAAAATCTGCCTACCGACCTTCTGTGTTCAATAAACCATACCAATCAAACAGGATGTGTGACGTTCAAAATCTCATGCTGTTCCAGCCGTCATACCACAAGTCCGCCTTGCTTGATTTGGCGGACAGAATTGCGGTGAGTGTTTCTTTTGAAATGTTCTTATCTTCACTATGACAGTTATGGCTGGCGCTTCTGGAACATACCAAACATAGCGGGACTACAAAAAGGAAACAAGATAAACAGTGTTGGTTTGTGTCAGGCCACTAGTACTGAAAATACGCGAAGACAAATGACACCTGCTGAATCAGTTTTTCTTCTTCGTAGAGATGAATATGGTTCGAGTAATAAATGAAATAAGATTAACGCAGGCTCCTTTTCATGTCCTCCCTGTTATATGGTTGTGTAGTTTGTGTTAATCTCGTTAATCGACTCAATAAGTATCATTGCCTGTGTTAACATATAAAAATCGTGGCCGCAATACACTAGTCGTGCAAGGCCTCAAGAAGGAGCCACACAATTTACGACTAACTACAGCAGTTTCATTGTGAATATGTCCTATTATTGGGTTAAATAACAAAGAAGCTGATTAAGGTCGAGTTCAAGCCCCGCGAAGAATAACCCAGCTTCTATTGGGTACGTCCTACAAAAATCGGCAAACCCCCAATTCATCTGCGGTCCGAGAAAATGAGGCTGTCTATAGCAAGTACAGCGGGCACGAACACTGCGGATAGTGGGAAAACCACTATAAAGCAAACTAGAGCAAATAAAATAGAAATGTCATTGCCACCAGCTCCACTCCTTAATAAGTCATCGTGACGGCGACGTTAAATCAGGAGAAGCTGCTTGAAAATTTTCTCACTGAAAGCTTCGTATATACTGCTGTTTTATTGCGACAAAGACTTGCCCTTAAGGCAGAATATTTTAGTGAGTATGTTTGTTAAACGTTAATCCAGCGGTTGTAACTGGTTGTGTCGCTGTATAGAGAAGGCCGGCCTGAAGGAGGTGACTGGAGCGTCCCGGCTGTAACTCTTGACATGTCCATATGAGGTGGTATGCGTCTGCTTGCATCACTGGAGTGGTACGCTTTAAGCTTCCCCGAAGCTCCCCTTTCCATAGCTCTGTGATTCGCTGTTGACATTATGAAAGCCTATAATACAAAAGCATCAGAAAAGAATGCACCGAGGCACTTAACGGCGCAAGGTCCCGGTTGTGCACATGGACGTCGCACAGGAGGAACGGATTCACTGTTAGCGCTCGACTTTCGAACCCAAACAAAACGCTTGTTAATGGTGTAACTATTTATTATACTGAAAAATGTTTTACTCCGACCTTACCTCAATCGAAGGTTTGATGAAATACTGAAAACGTCGGATGTTTGGAAAGTTCTTAGATGCCCAGTAAGATGGCGTGGATTTTGATTAGGTCCAAATGCTACCTTGACTACCATTTTAGACCACACAGTACTTGAAAATAGAAAACTGGTGAAGGAGTTTCTGTTAAGAAAAAAAACCTCTGCCATTTACTTTGTGAGGAAGAGCAGGATGATATCGACAGTAATGTCTAAGTGAATTCAGTCAATATTGAGCAAACAACATATTTTTTACTTACCTGCTGCGCTTACAGCAAAGACAGTCCGTGCGACAAACACCCAGAGTCAGTAAAGGTCGCAATATTACCTGAAGTTTTGTGAGTCGAAACCACGAAATCATTACAAGGCGCAGTTTTTTATTAGGCATGGATCACCAAACCATCTATAGCTCTCAGGTATGCCATGTTTACTCGCCTAGAACGTGCAATGCATAATATTGGCTTACCGTACTGTTAGCCAAATGCTATGTGCTGGCTGTTATAAGTGTTGACTGTATAAGTATTATGTATGTTGGCTGTTATAACTGTCCGTTGTTATAAGGTGAAATTATCTTAAAGGCTTATCAACGAATGAGTGAATTGGCCATCAACATTTTTGTGTAAACTAGTTTGGTAGCAATAACAAGATCAGAGTACAAAAGCTAGAAAATGAGTCTTTACAGTTAGTCGACAATTGGTATGCTGGCTATTTTATTGCTGATACTAATCACGCAGCAAAACTGTGATTTGGACTGTTTGGTATTCATCTTAATCCGAGAAATGTGGTGCGCTAGCACACATCTACAAAGAAATGTTTCGTCGTTTTTTTTTTCATTCTGTGCGTCCGCTTGCCATTACAGAAAACTTATTATTACACACTTGCCATTAGAGAAAACTTCAAACTTGACTAATTTTTTGGTGAAAAAATTACCGTCCATTCCTTGTTTATACGAAACAGAGTATTTTAAGCATTGTCATCTGTTCTTGCTTGCAGGACTGCCTCGCCACTAGAATGCAACTTCATATGCCTTATGGTAGAGTCGCCATTGAATCACAAACGGAAACATGGATTAGTCCGATTCCTTAGGATGCCCTCTATAGCACTGATGCCTCGGAGCAATGCTTATTTTCAAATAAAACATAGGATTGCCATTGTACACTTGTCGCTATAATGTTCCAATGGGCCATTGTTGGAACTCAATAAACACTCAACGAACTGCCATCTGAATTCGGGAGCCACTTCACCCGGGGAAAGTGCATGGCCAAAGGCATGTGGAACCTTACTCCTGAGGAGCAAAATTCAAATCAAGGCAAGTTATGACCCCTCATGAACAACAAATTCGTTGCTCCGAATGACACGCGTGTTTGGGTGTGACGTAGTGAACGACGTAACTGAGGGCGCAGCCAATGGAGACAGTTACCGTTTCTCGTAGCGAATGGTTATTCATTTTGCCTAGCTAGCCTTCGGTGTAAAAAAAAAAATGAACAGAGGTGGCACCTTATATGCCTAGGTTAAAAAAATCCTTACGAGGCTGGGAGTAAGTATGGCATTTCGCTGCACGGCCCCACAACAAACTGGCGAAGTTTAGTCACAAAGCATGCTCAACAACCGAAAAGCTGCAGAAAGTAGCGTGCTCATCCATTCACCATGTGCGCAACTTAAATTGTTCGCGAAATACCTTTCTGTGCGGAAAAGACTATGCTGACCAGACGGGGTGCTGCAAAAATGATGGAGCGATTGAGCAGGCCCTAACTCAAGGAAATAAGAATGGTGCGCACTTGAGAACAGATGTCGCATGTGGATTCACAGAACGCTCACAGACACTTTCTTTGGGAAAAAGTAAAACATGGTAGCACGGGAATGTTTGTGGGCTTTTGCAAACAGAATAGGGACAGCGATTGTGAAGGCGAAATTTCAGTCTGCACGAGTCAGAACAGCCGTGTGCAGAAAGTTTCCGATACTGTAACTAGCTAGACGATGACTTAAACACCATGCGCAGGTATTAGCTAAAGATGGAATCGTTAGTCCGTATTCCTCGTAGAATTAAAAGCGGCAACTGAGTGCCCATTCTGTCTCTTCGTTTTTTCGTCGTTCAATATAGTCCTGATTTTGATGCAAAGTTGCCTACTGATTCATTCTAGGTATGCGAGTAAATTTTGTCGGATAGTATCGCACTGGTCGCCTGAACACAAGAAGCATAGGAGGAAGTGTAAAAGTAACGCACACTCTCGCGTGCAAATATTACAGGAAACCACACTAGTTCATGCTCATTCGTTTTCGAAAGGCAGAGATAGTACCTACGCGGAATAGTCACATGGTAGACTTTATTTATTTATTTATTTATTTATTTATTTATTTATTTATTTATTTATTTATTTATTTATTTATTTATTTATTTATTTATTTATACTGCGGGCACAAAGTCCATGCAGGGAGATAAAACACAATCAAAATGTAAAACAATCTTGTTAGTTCAACTATACGGTCTTTATTATACCAGTGAAAGAAATAACACATTTAAGTAACCCACCTTACAATATAATACAAGTGTGCAAAATAAAGGATGCACTTGCGTAAGATAACTCGAAGGTGAATCCCATTTTGCTCTGTTCAGCACCGACCACAATAGGGGGGGGGGGGGGGGGTTCTCGTACGCTGTCATAAGCTGCGGTCGTATGCTGTCGCCGTCGCTTCGGGTTACACGGACAGAAAAAACACGTAGAGAATAGCCGTCTGTGGCATATTAAGCGCGCTCGCGCTAAAGAGAAGTTTTCTTCCTCATGTTCTTCGAGTGTCTTGATGACGATAGTTAGTCATGCACAATTCTGGGGCCCGGGCTGTTATATGCTGTCACCAGTTGCCGCAACTCGGGCAGAGCCATGCATAAACACTGAAAAAAACATTGTAGCAAAACTACCGTTTGGACTAGTTGGTAGCGGTTAATTATGAAAGGTAGAAGTGGGGCGCAGTGCGTCATAACGACTCCTGCAGTCCGTTACGTACTTCACCCCACAACTATTTTTCATATTGAAAAACAGGAAATAAGCGAAACCCAGAAAGCAAGAGAAGAAACTTAAAAAAAAAACCGGCAGGAAAATATATATAGATATACCCAAACAAAAACAGAAAAACCGGAGAAGACAAAAAAGAGGGCAAAGAAAAACAAAGAATGCAGCCCAGCTCCGCACTATACTTAGGTCTTGGGAACTATGGGGCACGCTGCTTCAATTTTCTTATCTTGCGGCTGCATTTCCGATGGAGGCGGAAATGTTGTAGGCCCGCGTGCTCAGATTTGGGTGCACGTTAAAGAACCCCAGGGGGTCCAAATTTCCGAAGCCCTCCACTACGGCGTCTCTCATAATCATATAGTGGTTTTGGGACGTTAAACCCCACATATCAATCAATCAATCAATCTTCTTATCTTGCTCACAAACCTGCAGGACACGGTTGCAGCCTGTGGCGGTCATCGTTCACTTTCCGACAAGCGGGTGACCACTGCGATCTTCGTCTATGCCGAGAACTGCGGCACGACGCCCAAGTACCAGATATACGAGCCATCGTGTTCTCCTGAGCTTGGGATGCCGGCTTTTTAGCGCTCCCTTCATGACGATTCAATCTTCCGGTTTGGACATGTTATAAGCTTTCTCTTGGCTTCTCATTCACTGACTTTGGAATCACCACCACCCATATTGGCAATAAACTGTTCTTACTTCCGTAGTACTTTGTTGCGAGGTGTACATTCCGATAGCGACAGCTTCACTTGGGCCAGCTGGTTCATACCAACTGAACCGTGAAGCGATGAACGACGAAGAAAATCGATGATTGATATGCGGGGTTTATCGTCTCAAAGCCACCATATGATTATGAGAGACGCCGTAGTGGAGGGTTCCGGAAATTTCGACCACCTGGGGTTCTTTAACGTGCACCCAAATCTGAGCACACGGGCCTACGACATTTCCGCCTCCATCGGAAATGCAGCCGCCGCAGCCGGGATTTGAACCCGCGACCTGCGGGTCAGCAGCCGAGTACCCTTAGCCACTAGACCACCGCGGCGGGGCTCCGGAAATTTCGACCACCGGGGGGTTAGGCTTCTTTAACGTGCACCCAAATCTGAGCACACGGGCCTACGACATTTCCGCCTCCATCGAAATGCAGCCGCCGCAGCCGGGATTTGAACTGAACCCGCGACCTGCGGGTCAGCAGCCGAGTACCTTAGCCACTAGACCACCGCGGCGGGGCTCCGGAAATTTCGACCACCGGGGGTTGTTAACGTGCGCCTAAATCTGTATGGGCCCACCGGCCTTAAGCATTTTGGCATCCATCGCAAACGCGGCCGGGATTCACTCCCACGACCTGCGGGTGAGCAGCCGGGTGCCTTAGCCACTAGACCGCCGGGATGGCTTTTGCAAACACTTTAACTCGTATTTCGTCCTTCACTTAACCGAGTTGAGCACGGCGCCGTTGCTCGACTGAAAATGACGTTGCGTGCGCTTCTGAAGAACCGCTGCACGTTATCGCCGATGTGCATCGACTTGGCCGGCCTAGAGGCGGCGCTCCCATCGACTTCATGGTACAACTGAACGCCTAAGCGCACGAATAAACAGAAAGGAAGAGAGGACAAGCGCTTTGTCGCAACTAAACGATTTATTAGAAAAGGAAGAATATATAAGCAGGCAATAAAAAAAACAACGCATGCGTGTGCAAACAAAAAGTAAACCCGTGGCACCTCGAGAAGATAGAGTAAAAGAAGAAAGATTATCCATGCATATCCAACTAGCCCAACTTTCGATTCTGTCCCATCGACTTCCTCAAGTCAAGGTAAAGCGTTCAGCGAAGGGAGGTTCTGATTGATTTGTGGGGTTTAACGTCCCAAAACCACCATATGATTATGAGAGACGCCGTAGTGGAGGGCTCCGGAAATTTTGACCACCTGGGGTTCTTTAACGTGCACCCAAATCTGAGCACACGGGCCTACGACATTTCCGCCTCCATCGGAAATGCAGCCGCCGCAGCCGGGATTTGAACCCGCGACCTGCGGGTCAGCAGCCGAGTACCTTAGCCACTAGACCACCGCGGCGGGGCTCCGGAAATTTCGACCACCGGGGGTTGTTTAACGTGCGCCTAAATCTGTATGGGCCCACCGGCCTTAAGCATTTTGGCATCCATCGCAAACGCGGCCGGGATTCACTCCCACGACCTGCGGGTGAGCAGCCGGGTGCCTTAGCCACTAGACCGCCGGGATGGCTTTTGCAAACACTTTAACTCGTATTTCGTCCTTCACTTAACCGAGTTGAGCACGGCGCCGTTGCTCGACTGAAAATGACGTTGCGTGCGCTTCTGAAGAACCGCTGCACGTTATCGCCGATGTGCATCGACTTGGCCGGCCTAGAGGCGGCGCTCCCATCGACTTCATGGTACAACTGAACGCCTAAGCGCACGAATAAACAGAAAGGAAGAGAGGACAAGCGCTTTGTCGCAACTAAACGATTTATTAGAAAAGGAAGAATATATAAGCAGGCAATAAAAAAAACAACGCATGCGTGTGCAAACAAAAAGTAAACCCGTGGCACCTCGAGAAGATAGAGTAAAAGAAGAAAGATTATCCATGCATATCCAACTAGCCCAACTTTCGATTCTGTCCCATCGACTTCCTCAAGTCAAGGTAAAGCGTTCAGCGAAGGGAGGTTCTGATTGATTTGTGGGGTTTAACGTCCCAAAACCACCATATGATTATGAGAGACGCCGTAGTGGAGGGCTCCGGAAATTTTGACCACCTGGGGTTCTTTAACGTGCACCCAAATCTGAGCACACGGGCCTCGACATTTCCGCCTCCATCGGAAATGCAGCCGCCGCAGCCGGGATTTGAACCCGCGACCTGCGGGTCAGCAAGCGAAGGGAGGCTCTAGAATGCGGCTTTGAGACAGGCTCACATGCAAAAAAGAATACAAGCACACACGTCTGCACGAACACATTCGTCCTCGTGCATACGTGAACACACAACAGGTATATGCGCAGAAGTTGAAAGACTGTGGTCTTTTCTGTTTTCACAAAGGCATGGCACTGTTTTGTGCTAAGGCTACCAAACCTTAAGAGCGTAGTCAAATGGGCTACTTGGTGCAACGTATTGAAATGGTATGATGTAAAACGGCAGGAACCGAATATTTTTTGTCATGCTTTTATAAACTG